CTCTCTCGCACACAATCGCGTCGTGCAAGGCACTGGAAACGGGGCAACCGAGGGTGCAACCACTCTCGGAGGGTCGCGGGGGAACGCCGTGCGACTTCCCGGAAAAACAACGCAAGTCCCGCCTGGCGATTTTCTTTCTCTCTCGCACTTATACGCGAGACGCTTGGCTATTTTCTGTCTCTCTCGCACACTTTAGCGAGCCATCTGGCTATTTTCTGTCTCTCTCGCACACAATCGCGTCATGCAAGGCGATTTTCTATCTCTCTCGCACTTATACGCTTCCTACCTACGCGATTTTCTATCTCCCTCGCACTTATACGCTTCCTACCTCCGCGATTTTCTATCTCTCTCGCACTTATACGCTTCCTACCTCCGCGATTTTCTATCTCTCTCGCACGTATACGCTTCCTACCTCCGCGATTTTCTGTCTCTCCCGCACTGGAAACGGGGCAACCGAGGGTGCAACCACTCTCGGAGGGTCGCGGGGGAACGCCGTGCGCCTTTGCCGGAAAAACAACGCAAGCCCCGCCTGGCGATTTTCTTTCTCTCTCGCACACATAGGCGAGCTGCCTGGCTGTTTTCTGTCTCTCTCGCACACACAAGCGTGTGAGGGTAGGGTGCAACCGCTCTCAGAGGGTCGCGGGGAACGCCATGCGCCTCTGCCGGAAAAACAGCGCAAGTCCCACCTGGCGATTTTCTTTCTCTCTCTCACTTATACGCGAGACGCTTGGCTATTTTCTGTCTCTCTCGCACACTTTAGCGAGCCGCCTGGTTATTTTCTGTCTCTCTCGCACACAATCGCGTCGTGCAAGCCGATTTTCTATCTCTCTCGCACTTATACGCTTCCTACCTCCACGATTTTCTATCTCTCTCGCACTTATACGCTTCCTACCTCCGCGATTTTCTATCTCTCTCGCACTTATACGCTTCCTACCTCCGCGATTTTCTATCTCTCTCGCACTTATACGCTTCCTACTCCGCAATTTTCTGTCTCTCTCGCACTGGAAACGGGGCAACCGAGGGTGCAACCACTCTCGGAGGGTCGCGGGGGAACGCGATGCTGCTTTGACGGAAAAACCACCCAAGTCACGCCTGGCTATTTGCTGTCTCTCTCGCACTTATACGCTTCCTACCTCCGCGATTTTGTGTCTCTCTCGCACACTTTAGCGAGCCGCCTGGCTATTTTCTGTCTCTCTCGCACACAATCGCGTCGTGCAAGGCGATTTTCTATCCCTCTCGCACGTATACGCTTCCTATCTCCGCGATTTTCTATCTCTCTCGCACTTATACGCTTCCTACCTCTGCGATTTTCTGTCTCTCTCGCACACTTCAGCGAGCCGCCTGGCTGTTTTCTGTCTCTCTCGCACACCCAAGCGTGTGAGGGTAGGGTGCAACCGCTCTCAGAGGGTCGCGGGGGAACGCCATGCGCCTTTGCCGGAAAAACAACGCAAGTCCCGCCCTGCGATTTTCTTTCTCTCTGGAACGTATACGCGAGACGCTTGGCTATTTTCTATCTCTCTCGCACACTTAGGCCAGCTGCCTGGCTGTTTTCTGTCTCCCTCGCACACCCTAGCGTGTGACGGTAGGGTGCAACCGCTCTCAGAGGGTCGCGGGGGAACGCCATGCGCCTTTGCCGGAAAAACAACGCAAGTCCCGCCCGGCGATTTTCTTTCTCTCTCGCACTTTAACGCGAGACGCTTGGCTATTTTCTATCTCTCTCGCACACTTAGGCGAGCTGCCTGGCTGTTTCCTGTCTCTCTTGCTACCCAAGCGTGTGAGGGTAGGGTGCAACCGCTCTCAGAGGGTCGCGGGGGAACGCCATGCGCCTTTGCCGAAAAACAACGCAAGTCCCGCCTGGCGATTTTCTTTCTCTCTTGCACTTATACGCGAGACGCTTGGCTATTTTCTATCTCTCTCGCACACTGAAGCGGGCTGCCTGGCTGTTTTCTGTCTCTCTCGCACACCCATGCGTCCTTCCAGGCGATTTTCTATCTCTGTCGCACACCTAAGCGGGCGCCCTGGCTGTTTTCTGTCTCTCTCGCACACCAGAGCGTCCCTCCAGGTGATTTTTTATCTCTCTCGCACACTTGAGCGTCCCGCCATAATGGGCGACCGAGGGTGCAACCGCTCTACCATTACCATTTTTCCGTTTAAAAAAAAGGAAAGAAAAGAAAAAAAATTCAAAAATTCAGGGGTGCAAAAAAACTTGTAGGTATTCATCGAGACTGCAGGCTTGATATAACCAATAACATGATTGGTATTGATTTCTCAAACAATTACAATTCCCATTTGAAAAAGAAGTGATAGGGGAAGGGACGGGTCCCTCAAACTTCTACATTCCTACAGTTCTCATTTCATTTGAAAATGCTTTCAACAATTGATTCGCAAAAAAAGACCCTAGAGGAATAACATTTTAAAACATTTTTCGAAAACTCTTAAAGTAACTGTTAAATTGTTCGTATTAGGATTCCCGTTTTGGCCATTTTTTAAAAGTAAAATTTAAGGAAAAAATGTTTTAAAAAAAACTCTGAAAATATCCCCGTAGTTTTTTAACATTTTTTCAGACATTTTTTGTGTTAAAAAAATACAATTGATATACTAAGAGTTTTTTGACAGTATTTTACTAAGATTTTACTTAAAAAATGCCCAAAGAGGGTTTCCTGATATGAACATTTTAGTAATTTTTAAGAGTTGTCTACTTGGAATTTAATAGTTTTTTCAAAGTTTTTATAACAGTCGTTGCTGCCATGGGAATGATCCAAAAGCCATGGATGATGGCATTTTTACATAAAAAACATAAAGGGTTTCCTCACTTGCATAAATACAATTGTCAAGAGCTTTATTTTTGATACTTAAATGTTTTTTTACTTTTTTTTCACGATCAATGCGACAAGGGCAATGAGTCTCTTTCTATTACGTTTTAGATACCTCCGCTATTTGCACTGACTTCTACGATGAGGTTGAATGGCTGAGAGGTGAACATTAGAAAGTGAAATATTAATGGAGTCTTAAATGCACTCTTACTATTCTTCAAAACTAAGGATATTTTAGGAATTGAGACTCTGGACACAGAATTCAGGGACTTTTCAAGATACCTATTCTGAAACCCACAGAGCAGATTCCAACAATAAGAACGCACTTCATTTGTCATAAACTGCATGAGTTTCCTCATCAACATTTGATGTGAAAAATTTAAGAAATAAGAAAGTGAATTTTTTCAGCAGAAAAATATTGCACTGAAATTTTGATTCTGTGTCAAAAGCTACTTTATTACAGTATAAAGTGTGGCGTCCGCGTTGGCAGGGGTAAAAAAAAAAAAAAAAAAAATTCTCAAAATTCAATGAAATGGACATTGGAATTCCTCCGAGTCAACATGATTCATCCAATGAAATTTTCATTCCAAATTCTCTAGCCGGCAGATCATTGTTATCTTAAATGAATCAACTTCAGTGAAGTTATAATAAAAAATGAGACATTGAAAATTCATCAATTCATTTTTTTAAAAAACCACTGTCGGGTAGGGGTATGGATTTCAGAACAAAGGGTTATTCATTTAGCAATTTATTTTCACAGTATTTACAAGTGTTAAACTTGAAGTCATAACAAAACATGATCTCACTGGAGACTATAATTGCAAGAGAAAAAAAAAAAGCAAGTCCGTTCAAAAAATGCTCCAAAATAAGGGAAAAAGAAACTAAAAATGGTACGTGTTAAGTAATACTATACAACTGAAGGAACAAAAAGATAAATTTGGTGATCACATTCTCCAATTTGTGCAAGCTTGCCTATGATTAAAACAGGTGCACTATTTCAAATTTATAAAGATTCATAACGTTAAGAAACACCCACAGAAGAAATGAAAAACCTACCTAAGAAACAACAAAGTGGACGAGATGTCTTTAAAACTTATGAGAAAATAAAAACAATTTTTTTCTATGAATCGTTATAAGTAAATTATTGGGCTTGCAGAAAACATTTCACTGATCTTTAAAATGGACAGAATGAAAAAGAAGAAAGCCAACGGCACCGCTACGCTTCCAGCCTGAGCAATGGAGATGTTGCATGTGTGAGGGATTTGCTATGTGACAATTGATTCATATGTAAAAGTTCGCAAGAGACTGAGAGATGAGAGATGGTGCCACTGGTTTTCTCTGAAATCAACTCCCAAGCTCAAAAAAAGCTCTCAAGTTGAGGCCAAAAATGGAGGGGATATCCCATGCTATCCTGAGAGTCCACCTCTGTATCAAGACAAACTCTCCATGCAAAGATAGGGAACAACTACATTAGCAGAGTTGCCGTGTTTTCAGTTGTAGAGTCCCCAAATAAAGTGGCATCACTGCTAATGTATTTGCTCCCTATCTTTGCATGGAGAGTTTGTCTTGATGTAGAGGTAGACTCTCAGGATAGCGTGAGATATCCCCTCCATTTTGGCCTCAACTTGAGAGCTTTATTTGAGCTTGGGAGTTAATTTCAGAGAAAACCAGTGGCACCATCGTGTTTCTTGCGAACTTTTACACAAGAATCAGTCGTCAAATCGCAAATTCCTCACACATGCAGCATCTCCATTTCTTATCATAACAAAGAGCCCAAAAGTTTGAACAGTTATTATTATTACTAACAATTTTTTTTCAAGTAAAGTAGAAAACAATGCGATGAATTTCACTTTTCTACACACATTATTCCCATATTGGAGGGAAGCTACACAATCTTGAGAAGATTGCAACGCACTAGTTCCATTTAAATGGTAAAATTCAGTACAGAAGTTGATAAGATAAAGTTTAGAGGATCAGCGACCCAACTCTTGGATCAACTACTAGGATGAGGCGGAAGCTGCAAACTAGAAGGTGGGTAAGAGATCAAAAGAGCAAGTAAGAACCTATTGTTCTTTCATATTCGCTTCCAACTTATTCTTCCAGACGGCCAAATTGGCAGCTCTAATAGGCATTGAAAAACCTGAATTATCATATGAGGAGGCCTTCCTGTGATCGGTTGCTGCTCATTGTTGCCGAGGTTTTTTTTTTTTTTTTTTTTTTTTTTTTTAAATCTCAGTACCACCAAAAGTAATGCGCTGTGTATCACCCCACTTTTCCACCTATTTGCTTCATCTTCCAAAAATTCTAGTTTGGCTTGAAATTCCAATGATTTTGCATAAAAACCCATGCAAGTATGTAACTTTGAAGTTTATTTACTCTTGCATGATTGCCGACGAAGGTAAGAGAATTCAAATTGAGACTGGTCCATGTTTCCATACCTGCAGTTTTTTGGTGCAATTTCATCAAAATTTACCGCTGAAATGGAATTTTTAAGTAAATCTGGCAAATTCCAAATAACAAAGAAAATTGTTGAAATGTTGGGGTGGTGAGGGGCACAGGAATTGGTTTTTAACACAGACTATGAAGTTAGTTCAAAAGAATTCTACAAAAACAAGAATTAGAAGCCTACTTTAGTTTACCTATTCTTTTCAAAGACTAAGTTGAGAAAACCCAAATTTACTAGCATCGAACGGCAAATTAAACAAATGTTGGCATAGTTCAAGGTCTATAAGCCTTGTGGAGTACAAATGGACATGTATTAAATTTTAAAAGAGTTCCTTCAAAAAATGAATAAAAGTATTGCAAAACTTGGTGAAGTAATTTGTATGATACATGCTTACTTTCATCATAAATGATAGATTTGACTCGTATACAATTTGAGCGTCTTGCAGACAAGACACTAAATTTCTAGGCCCTAGGCTACTTGAAACCGTTAATATTTTGCTTAAAAATTGATTAAAGATAACTTCGTTGCGCAAAGAGGTAAATAGTGCAGGATGTAAATTTTTATCCCATTTCAGGGTCTATTTTTACTACATAGTTTCATTGACGTGACAAACAATTTTGAAATTGATAACTTGCTCCATGCAAAATTCAATTCTCTCATTTTATTAAAAAAATAAGAGTAAAATAAATTTATGAAAAATCATTCAAACAATCTTCATACTTCAAAGCATTACTAAGATTAGTCATCAAATAAAGCAGATTAGACATTCTTAAAAATTAAAAAAAATCAAAAGTAATCATATAAGCATGATTTAAAAAAATTAATTACAACACATCCACTTTGGTAAAGAAGATACTCTTAAAAGGGTGCAGCAGGTTTCGCCCAATGCCCAACGGGCCTGTCGGAAAGACTATCAAAACCTAGCACTGACAGACAATCAATTTTCCATTTAAAAATATTCTACACATTGCTTTTGAAAATTTAAATTTTCATACAGAGATCCCAGTAGAAATATTTTGACTTGAGGCTATTCTTGGTCCTTGAAGTCCCGTATGTTCAGGTATTATGTTTCACTTCCTTAACTCTGGCATGTAAGGATGCAGTTTAAAGGCAAACATTTTTTTTTCATTTTATGAGAGGTTGTGTTTTCTCTTCACCATCAAGTTACATCATAACATTTTCTATTTTGAAGTCACGGGCGACTTTATGTTATTTACATGCTTTTGGTTTGTGGGCTTGCTCTTTGCTCAAAAAATTCCCTAACAATTAAAGGACTTGCGTTCAGGATATGAATGATTCACTTGCCGTGGTTGCATCTTTGCCAGATTGCGCTGGAATTTCAGCGCATTTCTCCCCATTTAACTTTGAGTTAAATTATTATCCATTAAAATGGATAATATACAGTGATTGTTTTGATTACAGACCTGGCAAACCTTGCTTGGTTGCGAATTATTAAGGAAAACTCAACCTTCACAGAATTGTTTGGTTTTCTTTTTAAAAGCAAGCCACTACTCTCAGAGATTTCATTACAATCAGCACCTAGAGTGATCAACATTATTTGCAATTGCAAAATGAACTGCAAAAGTAATTTTACAAACTTTACGACTAAAATCACAAATCTTACGGACAATTAATTATTTGAATATACACAGTTACAAATTTATATAAAAAAAATTAATTAAAAATTAATCCAAAAAATAATTTGAGGCTAACAAAGGCTGACACTTTATGCAAAGTTGTTTAAGGATGGACGTTATGTTCTTCCAGGAAATGAATACTCCATCATATGTTGTGTGATTCTCGAAAATGTAATGCTGCCCAACTTAGTCCACTTTTACGACACTGTAAATCTTGCGAATAAACCAGAAGCAGGCAAAGAATCCAATAGAGCCTGTGCAGACAAGTACAAAAAAAACTTAAGCCACCAAGAAAATGCGCTTCACCAATCATGCTTACCACTCTAAATTAAATCAAAATCACTCAATCTCAAAGTTCTTTAAGATAAAGTTAAAAAAGCAAAGAAAACAACGAATGATTTGCATTACTTAATGCTTAGGCATGAATTTTTTTCTCTTTCCTTTCCACATTAGTGGTACCTAAAAATCTAGAAAAAGAGTTTGTCAAAAAAGCTATTTAAAGTTAGAATTAACTTGAATAAAAACTACTAGGATTGCATGAGCTTTGACAAAAAACACAGGAGGGAGAATTTGAAGGTGAGAATCTTATGGAGTTAGCTAGTAGTAGAGGAGAATTTGAGGATCCTCTTATCCACGTTTAGATCTTCAAGAAATTAGGAAATGGCAATAATCTGACTGACTACACCTATTCCAAAAAAAAACCTATCAGAGCAGACTCATCAGATATGAGAAAAATCAAATCTTACCTGCAACTATACTCATTACAGATCCAAACTGAATGTATGTCCTATCCTATTCAGTGGTATATTCAAGTATTACATAAGCCAATACAGAAGAAGTTTAAACAGCCCCCCATTCTGTAGACCACCTGATCCAAGCTTTCATTCCCCCTTTTGAGCTTAAATTGTTCAAAAAAGTGACGCCAGATACCTGTAAAATTGGTTGATTTTTTTTTTCTGGAATGGAAGATACTTTCTTTAAGTTGGGCCTTACGTAAGCCTGGGTCCAACCCTCCCTTGTAAAAGCCTGACAGCCGAGCTCAGATCCCTCCTGTAAATGGCTTATTTGGACGTATTCCTATCAAACAGAACTATGTGCAGGTGAAAAACATGGGGTGAGGTCTAGAAAGCTGCATAAGAAACAATGTAAAAATGGGCGTGATTCCTTTTGAAGAATTGGAAAAGCTGGAGTTTGAATTCAGCGAACAGAACTTTGTGCCAACTGCATGCAGGATATATGAGCTGCAGGGATGAGACGAGATTGTTGTGGACAGGGCTCATGAGTTAAAACGCACTACGAGGAGCCGCGACCTAGGAGCTGCATCCATTTCCGTTGATGTCACTGGCGCTTCATTATTCTCATTCACTCTTACGGCCAGAGAACTGGTGAGCACATAACATATTTCTCACCAGCACATAGATCTGTTTGATATAAATACGTCCATTTGATACTTGAACAGCACCTAAAGAGGGTTTGCCTTCTCTCCTGATAAAAATTGAGTCCATTCTGACATGAAAATGAAAATAAAGTAAATGAGAGCAATAAGTACCTGTCATTAAGAAGAACAAGAAAACCATTATGAGCGTGTAGCCAAAATAGAGGAATGTTGAGGCTAGATCTTCAATATTTAGTCGTGTGTTGAAGAAATGGAAACAGTAAATAAATAAATATGCTGAGGTGAACCCGCTTGTCAAGAAACTTCTCCACCACCAGTGATAATCCTGGAAAAAGGAAAAGCAATGCTTTATTCAATATGAAGCAGTTTAAATGGGCAATTTCTGCTAAATCTGCCATTGAAGAGTGAAAAGATGCGCATACGCTTAAACATGGATACATCCATTTAAGTACGAAAGTTTACATCTATTAGCCACTTTTGTGAGTATTGCCACTTCTACTTTTTTTCTCTTACAAATTTGTAAGAGGATCTAGAGTGTCCTACCTTTTCCTCCTTATTAATCATCATTATGGTGCTTTGCTTGCTTTTTCTGACGATGATTCAATGGGCCTGTTGCAAACTTTTGCTAGAGCAAAAACAAGAGTTGTTTCTATTAGTAAATGTCGCAAAAAAAACGATGAGCGTATTGGCAAAGTTAGAAATGCACTCTAACTTCACAATCTGCATTGGAAATTTGCGTTTTCTTGAGCTTCCCGCTTCAAAAACGATACTACAGCACAAGTGAACATTTCGTTAGAGGAGTCGTGCTATTAAATCCTTTCACAATAGCAACACCCAACATAGCCGACGCTTCCACGCGCAAATCGCAATTGGGAGCACAAAGCCAACCAAAGTGGATCTTTATCAATGCGAAGAAATCGTGAATGTATACACGCTGAGTTGTTAAAAAGTAGTTAGAATCTCGTCCAGCCACATTGGTGTCGGCCATGTTAAATATTGTGTACTACCCTAGTGCACAGGGATTGGATAGAACAACACCTCTAAGGAATAGTTCACCTGTGCCGTAGTATCATTTTTGAAGCGGGAAGCTTTAAAAAACGCTTTCTTACGCAGATTGTGAAGTTAGGAGTGCATTTCAAACTTTGTCACTGCTCATCGTGATTTTTGAGGCATTTACTGATAAAAACAACTCTTATTCTTGCTCTAGCAAAAGTTTGCAATAGGCCCATTGCACCCATTCATTTAAATTCGGAAAGTACGGCTAGATCTAAGCATCAAGGAATTTTTCAGATTTTGATAATCTTAAATGGTGGGGGAACCCCATTTTAAAAATACCAAACATAGCGCCGGTTTGAATCAATAATTTAGGCAGGCTCTGATGACATAACCAAACAGGGCTTGCTAATTTGCTGAACATAACTTCAGCCATCGCCTTGCTACGTCAACTCAACTGTCCTCATTAGATTGGCTTTTCCTCCCTTTAGAAATGTTTTTTTCTAATTTTTTATGAACCTCAAGGTTTTTCCACAGAATTTTACTAAGAAAAAACCCTAATAGAACTCTGCAAAAATTATTTGCTACTGCCCCATGGTGACTGTCCATAGAAGGAATAATCGTCCATAAAAAATATAAAATTGAGATTTTGACATAACTGTAAAAAGGAGAGTTTTAATGACCTTTTAGTTAAAGAGTAGACAAACAATTTTAAATCAAACCAAAGTTATGTAGATTTGAGGTCTCCGGTTCGGAAGACTTAGTTTTAAGAAAAAGATACTTAGAATTCTAATTTACCATGTGCAGGCTACAAAACTGATATGCTACTGCGCCTCTATGGGTACAAAAATGAACTTGATAACTTGAAACTTATTCTTTAGGACATCAGACAAGAGTTTCCCTTGGGAATAGGAAAATGCTACAAAATATTTTTTATTTGGGTCTTTTATTGAGTTTTAGGTTATTTTAGCCCTCCATGATGAGGCCAAAAAATAACAAATTTGCAAATTTTACAAGTTGAGGTCCAGCGAACAGACTATAACCTACCATTTCTTAAACCGATTGACAGGTTCTGAATAATACATTATTACCTTTATCGATAAGCAACAGCTAATTTTGGCTCATTTTCGAACACTGTTTCTCCTCTTTGCCTGACTGGGGGAATACAAAAACATTATTAAAATCTCTTTTATGTGTCAAATTTGATTACTTTGTCACACTTGCAAAATGATATTAAAATTTTGAAAATCGACACATACAGAGTGGTGGGAATGGAATCGTTGGCTTGAATAATTTTGAAAAGTCATGATTTAATATTTTGACATTTATGCAAACGAAAAAAAGGAATAATGAAAAATGTTCGTCACTTACCTCTGCACAAAGATGGAAGTAGCAGAGCAGAATGGTTGTTTCTGAGCAAGTAATTACTAAGATTAAAAATACAAGGAACAGAAAGCCGAACATGTAGTACACTTGACTCGACCTGGAGGAAGAAAAAAAAAAAAAACTTTAGCAAAAACTGAAACACTATGTTGCAACTGCCTCACTGTGTTTTTTTTTCAATCACAGAAATTTCAAAAAGAGACAAAAATGAATGCTAAAACATTGAGAATATATCTGCTTTCACATATGTAAATGGATTGTATCTTAACCTCTGTATCTTTAAAATAGTGGTCATTTTGATTTTCCTTCATTTATTCTTACCTAAATTCTGCAAAAAAAAGAGATTTTTTTGTTGCTCTGAAAGGTTTGCAATGTATTCCATTGGCAACAAGGATGGAAAATATGCCTGCTTCAAAAACGATTGATTTCAAAGGTAGGTATGATGAAAATTTGATTTTTGGTCCAAAATTACCTTAAAAATGTCATTTTTAACAATCAATGGAGCACATTTTAATCAAATCTTTCTAAAATATAAAAGCTCTTCACTTGAGAAAAACAATTCAAATGGGCAGCAGTACTCAGAAATTTTTTTTTTTTTGCCGTGTATTTGAGTAGTATCATTTTTAAGTACGTATGACAGTAAGGAATTTGACGGTGTTTTAAATTGACTCACCAAAGAGAGTTGAGAATAAAGTAGAGCTGTATGAAGATGCAACCAAAAGGGAGGACTCCACCCATTGCGATACCAGGAATAGGCTGCGTGTAAACGCTTTGTTCAGGAATCTGTCTGGGAATTTGATTGGTTCTCACCGGATGTTGGATTGCCTGAAAAACAAATTGAACTCAATAAATGGGGATTTATATCGACCAATGGTTTTTCTTCATTCTTCTTTGTACAATTCAAACTCTGTAAAGGAAAATAACACCAAAAACGGTTGGGTTACTAGTAATCTAATTTTATACCAAGCAAATTTCAGCTGTACATTACCAATGAATGTGTGGTTGTAAAGATTAAATTAAAGTTTGACTTGCATTTGATGACAGCAAAGTCTTAAAAATCTGACAGTCTTTTGCTGCAGCCTGCTATTCAGTTGTAGTTTTATTAAATAGAAAGTAAAGACTCGACCATCATTAGAATACGCCCTCCACATTTTCATTTTTGGTCACAGTTCATTCTATTGTTTTCCTGAGCCAAGTTCCACGATTTTTGCGACTTTCGAAAGGTGATAGTCCCAAGATGAACCCGTTCTTTTCAGATTTCGGAAACATGACCCAGGTCTTTTTACATTACATGATAAAGTTGTGAATTCTCTCAACTAAAGAATGTACATTAAATATTTATTTTTTGACAAAGTGCGTTTTAAAGATCTACAGGGTCGATGTTCATAATTTTTGCAACTATCTGTAGGAGCTAGTCTTTTAAATTCTACATGGGCCTGCTCAATTGGGATTAACTTATGAAGGCTAGTAAAATGGGCCTTAAAGTGTGCTAAGCGTGCTCTGGAGGTGGGGCTTTATAGCAGCCAGGAGGGAAAGCCCCCACGTACTTTCATATGATCTGAGTAATAAATTAGACGGATGAAAGTGACTTACCCTCTTACGGAAACCAAAGAAAGAGCCTATGAATGTAAGTGGGACCGAGACACACAACCAAAGGGACAGGAGAGCAAGCAATGTAAAGAATGGAACAGCTGCAGAACTTCCTTTAGACCACAAGATAAGATTCATGACGAAGAAGATACCAAACACAATCCTGAAAAATAAATATGAATTTACATTGTTAATTCTATCAGAATATGATGAATAAGGCCCAATAAGTTTGAAAACTACATAAATCCAAAGGTGTTTTCTTCCAGAATTATGATATTTCCTCCATTATCAAAGTGACCATAAACTGGAAGTCACCGTCATCAAGAAAATAACCTTTTAGAAGCATAAAGGGTGTAAGAATGAATGCTTGGCAAACCTTCGCTCAGTTGCTTGGCATTAAAAAATTGCCCACCGCTAAGTACTGCCCAATTTGTAATCTACATCTACATATTTGAAATTTTTCCTTCATACACATCTCTTTGTTTTTAAAAGAGATTTAATGTGCGAATCTCTCTTTTAACATTTCCAATTAAATAGCAAGGAAAATTTTTGCTCTATCCAATAAGTCGGACAACTGGGAAATGTCAATTAAATCTTCGGCTGTGCTGCAATTTTTTGCTTGATTCTACACAGCACTACAATTATGAGTGCTCAATTTTAGGCTCATTTGCAAGTAATGACTAGTGAGTTCATATATTTTCACATTTTGCAACTTTTTAAGAATCACTATGCAAAATATGAGGACAATTTATGTAAATAATTCTGAGAGCACGGCTTCAAAAGCAGCTGAAATCTTTCTGATTAGTGGTATTTAATACACTTGCACGTCTCCTAAGAATTATTTTAAACAGTTCATCTTCAAGTTTTGAACAATAGTGTCTAGTGCTAATACTACTGTACATATAACGAAACACTCTTCACAATTTCGAACTATACAGGTTGTATGAAGTTTTGAGACTTGATATTGAGATGAAATGATTATCTTTTTTCTAAAAAAACTAAGTTGAGCCATTTAATACAAGAAAAAAAAAGAAAAAAAGACAAAGCCATGACACTTGAAACAAAAATTATATGCTTACCCAGGACTGAGCATTGCTGTTAAGAGAATATTGGATTTCCATTTTTCACCTCCAAAACTCTTGTACAACCTTGCTGAGACATATCCAGCAGGCGTACCGAGACACACATACAGAATTAATGCACACGTCATGAGAGCTCCACGATTGGCCGGTGACAGGAAACCAAGACAAGCAAAAGCTGCACAAAGTCAGACGAAGTTTATTTAGATATGAAAATTTTCGGAGGCTCATTCATAATTCTTAAAAAATATTTGTTTACGAAATTATCTAAAGAAACTTAATTTTGCTGATTTGATCAAGGGCTAGCCAAGTCTAGTTTTGCGGTTATTTATAGATTTCTGTGAGAAGAACTGACAGTTTCAATCTACCTCCTGTTTGAATATTCATGTATTATTTAATTTTTTTGCTTTTTGACACCACTAGGTGTGTTTCCTGAAGAGTATCAATGAATCAGTGAGAACAAAAACATAGCAACTCGGTAACTCAAAAATACTCAATTTCCATTGCTGACACTTAATTTACATAAAATTCATTGAAGTTAGCGCAACTGTTCGAACTTGGACCTTCAAAGAGTCTATAAGCACTTCGACGGTGTAAGTTGGCAATCACATAACTCGGTTTGCGACGTCGCAAACTTCCTGTCATACTTTATTTTTTAAACGGAAAACTACTCAACGGCAATTCTTTAAAACTGCCGTGATTTCTCTTCTCTGTGCGAAGAAAATTCTGCAAAAACTTCAAGGGATGATGTCAATTTGTTTTCCTTCAAAATAATAGCATAGAGACAGAGATTTTCGGACACCGCAGACGAGATAGGTGATTACCGACTTGCACCGTCGACTTGTCTTTCGGCAGCAAAATATTTTTCTTTAACTAACTTCTTCACCTACTGTGCAGTTTTGTGTAGGTCTTGATTATTGTCATTTTTTCGAGTTGGTGTGTTTTCGTTCTCACTGATTCAAATAGAAGTTGGTGCAGAAAAGTAAGAAACAGTAATATTGATATCATTGCAAGTAGAAGTTTCCAAAATATAAAAATATACAAAGTTCTAACGGTATGAAGTTTGACATTCAATAAACACATTTTCTATTTCAGGATTCCATATACTCAAACGCACCTTTTTGGCAACCTTCGCTCTTTTCTCTGAGAACCTTCACCATTCTACCAAGATTTTAAGATTGTGAGATAGTAGGCTTTTGCATTTACTGAATTTTTTCAAGGCAATACTGTTTCTTGCTTGAGCAGAGATTGCAATTTCGATTTTTTGACACAAATTGATATTCTAAATGAATTTAGAAAATGAATCTTTCAGTTGGAACCTGCAACTTTTGTTTTATGCTGTAACTTAAGTTTTACATTCTTAAATAAAAACACAACTTGGAAAAATTAAAGGTATTAATGAATGCTTTGACGATGTGACTGTTTCGGCACAGCTCAAAATTCAAGAAATTAAAACCTCTCATTAAGAAGGCTGATTTTGGTCTTCCTCTATCAGAGATTTCATCAATAACTGATAACACTTCATTAAAATACTCCAAAAGATATTCTTTAAGGTTAATAATTCATGTGGAGGAATAAAAAATTTTCAACTACCTACATACTCTACATCTCCATGTTGACATCTCACTATTTCTTTTTACAAAAAAAGTTGCATACAAAACAATAATTTCAACAGTATTTTTAAGAGAAACAAAATTCATGGGTAAGGCATACCTAAAGTAACCAAAGCCATAAACAAGACTTGAATTCCAGAGCCAACAAAGACAGACAAGAGCATTCCCTTTCGTGGAGGGCGGAACACATCACCATGCACCAGCTTCCATCCAAATTCTTCTTGTACGTCCTCTCCGCAATCAATCTACAAAAGAATTAAACTTACGATTAGCATCAGCAAAAGAAGTGCTATTATCAACAAAACACAGAGCCTACTACAAACTAACCCAGCGGCAAACATCATTTTCTTTTGTTGGTTCTTATTACCAATACCTGAATGCTGAGTTTACGTACATAAGAGCCGCTTTCACGGTGCTCTCTGACGTTCTGCGACGCCACACTGCCCCTGTAGCCTAACCGCCCACAGCCCTTGGGAAGTTGACACTCCCTCATTTCATAGAAAACTCCCTGTCATCGTCCTTTCACTGGGCATCTCCTTTGTCTCCTCCCAAGAGGAACCAAACAAGCATCTTCTTTGGCAGCCTTTCTTCCATCGTCTAGTTGACATGACTATACCAGACCAGCTGTTTGGTCGTGACGTCAAATGCAACATTATTTTCTACTTCCATGATCTAAATGCACTCTATCACGACCCACCCGATCTCTTCTAAAAATTCCTGCAGCCCTCCTCTAAACATCCATCTCTGTTACTCTTAGCATATCTTGTGTCTGTTTCTTCAACTGCCAGCTTCACATCCATAGTTGAAAATTCTTTTCACTACAGCATTGTAAAGTCTACTTGTCAGCATTGTAGAGTATATTTGCAAACATTTCTAACATTCCAGAGATTGAGGTAATTGAGAGGAAAGTTGTGACATGCGGAAACTTAAAACATTTATGATCCTCCAGAACAATTTAAAGTAATTTATAAGCAAGCCCAAAGACAAAAAATAATGGATTTTCAATAGATTGTATTAAAATTATTGAAAGTTTGAAGCAGCACCACAAGACATTGAAATTCATTATATTGTGTGGTGAAGATAGGCTACGTCTAGTTTTGTCCTGCCGATTTAGTTTCAATAACCAGACCGGTAACTGTACCAGTAATTGGCACGTTAAGGATTTTTTCAACTTTGAAGGTCCATTTCTCTGAAAATTTGAGACTTATTGTTGATATGTTGGATTTTAGCAGAAGAGCATACACTCCTCTGTTTAAAAATGGTCCAAAGTAACAATTTCCATGCTTTTACTAGATTTAATATTGATATTCATGGAAAATGAGAAATGTACCAGTAATTGGCACCCGAAAATTTGGATTTCCCAGTAATTGGCAGGCCCTGCACCAGTAATTGGCAAAGCATTTATTTTATGCATTAATTTCGATGTGTTTTTAATTTTGCTTTTTTGTTTTGTTTTTATTGTGTTTTTGTTTGAAGTCTTTCATTTTTTCCCCCTTAGTCATCCAAAATTTCAATTTATTAACCTAAAAACACCTTGTGCCAATAATTGGAACTGGTCAAAAATTGAGTGCACCAGTAATTGGCAAGCCTGTGTTTTCATAGTATGAATGTTGGGCTTTTTTATTATTTTTTTTCTTAGTCATCCAAAATTTCAATTTAATAACCTCAGAACTCCTAGTGCCAATCATTGGAACAGGTCAAAAATTGAGTTCATCAGCAATTGGCAGCCATTGCCGAACACTGGTTATGCCCATGTTTTCACTGTACAAAATTGTTGCCTTAAAAAATAAAATTTCTAGCTTAGCTTTAAATGGAATAAGGCAGCATAGAGTGTAGAATCCGCCAATACTTCAACTTTTATGATTCATTCAAAATTAAAACTGCAAACCCTTAATGGAAGAGGTGCTCACTCTTACGACTTTTGATAAGAAATGCCGGTTCTTTGATGGTGCACGGAGGTGCTTGTGTTTACTAATAATTTCCTTCTCCCACTTCTTCAAAGTCAGCATGGGTGTGTTAACAGCTCCCTTTATTGGTATGATTTGAAACTAAATTATCACCAGTTCATAATATCACCAACAGAGCTTGTTATTTGGGTTAATAATTGAGAGTGCTAATTACTGGCACAGTTACCTTAATGAAGAGGTTACAGTACCTGATTGTAGCGGGCAATATCCTTGTGTAGGGTTCTCAATATGATCATGATGACCATTCCAGAAAGAAACAGAACAATTGTCAGTGAGTTAAGGATACTGAACCAATGGATGTTTGTATTTGGCATAGATTCCAGGATGTAGTCCCATCTTGATGACCATTTGATCGTGTTATTTTTCTAAAAATAAAAAAATAAAAAATACGTAAAAAGAGAAAAACAATAAGATTTACTTACAAGCATAAAATTGAATGGGTTCACAAATTTGAATACAGTTTACTAACATAAATATTATTTGAAAATAAGGTAAAACCAATGTTGCCAAAGAATTTAGAAAATAAAATTCCTTTAAATTTCTGTCACATTTTGGAAATATTCCCTGAAAATTGAAGATACGGCAGATGCTTAACCCTTTGACTCCTGAGTATGTGGTTCAGAGCGCGCACCCCTGGCCTAGGTTAGGAATGAGAAATCATGCATAATTGACAGCTTTTAGTTTTCTTACCGTCATTCAATTATTTCTCCTCCAAATAGCTTGAAATTTTGTGTGTGTCATGCCGAGGGTATGAGGAATGAAGATCAGTCATCAAAAGTTAATTTCCAGCACCCAAAAAAATGTTATAATCAAAAAACACTAAAATTTAAGATTTTTTACTTTTTTTTTCTGAAAAATTATTTATTTATCATCACTCAAGTGGCAAACTATCACCAAAGAAGAAAACATGCGAAAATGCATTCTACATGCTTTAGTAAAAAATTTCAATCTTTGAATTAAAAAAAAATCACTTCATAAAAACACTATATTAGGAATCAAATTGGAATAAAGAGAACAACCGAGGCTTGAAAAAGTTTCCTCAAAATTTTAGTTGGGTGTGATATTTCTGAAAGCATGGTGCAACACATAGGGTTACTCTACAATCAAGACACTCATAGCGACTTTCTCTCCTCTTTTGAACTCCTAATTTTGTATTTGCACAGACAAGACATTTACGGGTGACGGATATCTTCTTTTCAGTAGGCGGAATGAATGTTGGAAAGTGGCGTCCAAGTAGTCTTAGGGGTGTTTCACTTGTCGATGGTTTTCCACCTGATGGTCTTCTCTTTGGTCCTTGATGCTGCTCAATGAGCTGCTCAATTATCTTCAGTTTGTACTCATAAATAGATACTTTTTTGTTAGTCACTAATTGAAAAAGAACATGTGCGTTCAAGATAGAGCTGTCCAGAAGATGAAAAAAAACTTTCTTGTACCATTTGACGGTCCTCCTCACACTCTCAGTGCTGCTCAAAAGTTGGTCAGTGTGATCTACACCCCCCATATTTTTGTTATAATTCAAAATGCAAACTGGCTTGAGAACAGTATCAGTGATGTGCGCTTTTTTCTTAGGGGGCTCGGCCATGGAGAACTTATCAATTGTTGACAGCATGTGCACATCTCGTTTGTCAGTGTATTTTAGAGCCATCATCCCATCTGAAAACTTAGCAAAAACTTCTCCTTTTTGTAGTGGTGGGAAAATAGGCATCCCTTTTCTGTTTTTGTTGACAGTTCCACAAATATTAGATCCTTTTTGCCTCAACAGAACAGCTAGAGTTGGACTGGTATAATAATTGTCAACAAATACGTTATACCCTTTTTTGAATAGAGGCTCTAATAAAGTAGTGACAATAGCCCCACTTTTGCCAATATGATACTTATCTGCTATTTCAGTCTTAGCACCTAAGTATAACATTATGTCCCAGATATATCCACTGTCACTCTGGCAAAGTTTATAAAATTTGATACCAAAACGGGCTCTCTTCGTTTTGATGAACTGTTTGAAACTTAGACGTCCTTTGAACAACAAAAGTGACTCATCAATGCTGAGGTTCTGGAAGGGAGTGTACAGATCTTTGAAGCTCTGTCTTAATTTCTCAAAAGAAGCACGGATTTTATACATACGGTCATTCTTCGGTTGCTCATTGTTTGAAGAGAAGTGTAAAAATTTTAAAATGGCTAGAAATCTGTCCCGTGACATCAATTTGGAGAAAATTGGTACATTCAAGATATCCCTGGTTGACCAACAATCCCGGATATCATTCAATCCATGCACTGACACCAGCAACCAGACACCAAAAAATAAATATAGTTCATCCACAGTCAGATCTGTCCACTTAGCGAAGGAAGAATACCGACCAACGCGGCCCATCGCCTCACCAGCATAATCTACAAAGTTGTTTGTCTCAGTGACAATCAATACCATGAGATCTTCATTAAAAAACTCTTTGAAGAAGTCAAGCTCCCTGTTTTCACATGTCAAATTGGAATTATATCCGACATTTACCTGGGTGAATGGATGGGGAGAGGGCCTTCGCTTTTTAGACTTCCATTTGATATTGGCAGTATCGAAGTTGAACTCATCATCTGAACTACTGAGTTCATGAACTGGCTCACTCTCTGCTACATTATTATCAGGGTCCACTACACCACTTTCTATATCGTTAATATTTTCCACTGAATTTTGTATGGAAACAGTATCACCACTAGAATCATCATCTTCAACAGGTAGTTCAAAATCCTCATTTTCACTCTCTGATTCACTCTGTGTTACAAGTTCCTGGATTTCAGATTCATTCAAGACACCTTTAGCACTCATTCCGACACTCAAACTAAATATCCGCCGCGAAAAACCCAGAAAAATTGCGATAAAAATAGTCCGAAAGTGAGTTCTACAGACATAACCCAACAACTAATTTGTAAACAACATTCGGCGAGGAAAATCATGTGTTGCTGAGGAACGCCGGCAACGAAACTTGTTTACGATTATTCCATCATGTAGTTCATTTCATTGCCGACAGATAGCACTACCTATTTAACCCTCTGCGACAAGCGATACTCGCTCAAGAGCGGCAAATACAAAAAGAAGTTACGAAACGACTATAGTCGGGCGTAGGCTGTGGGCGCGGTTTTCGAAGGACGACTTAAGTCGGGCGTAGGAGTCAAAGGGTTAAAAAGACATAATTTGCAATATGTAGTTTTTGACAAAAATTTGTGTTCGGAAACATCAAACTTATTCTAGAATGCAAATAAAGGTGATTTGACAATTTTTCCCGAACACGGAAAAAATTTTGTCACTTTCCTTAAAATTTTTCGGTTTTCCTTGACTTTCTATACTTCCCTGACATTTTCAGGTTTTTCCTGATTTTTCCCAGTTGTCCCGGTATTCCCTGACTGTGGCAACTTAGACATTGCTGTGAGAAATGCATGTCTCATCATTATTCATACATTGGCAATATTGAAAGACCAAGTCTTAAAATTTACACAGCTATCAGCTATCAGCGTCAATCTGACTTCTCTGGAAATATGTAGAAGATATTGACAAGTTTCAGAAGTGACTTACAAAAAATTTAACGGTGTAGGAATACGTGATGTCAAAGGGTTGGGTAAACTTCTCTGGAATAGTCATGGGCTCCTTAGGGCTGCAAGACAGCTTACCATTTTCGGTCACATGCTTGATTGATGATGGAATGACCTTGATTGCTGTTGGAAATAACAGAAAGGTAAGTAAGTTTCTTTACCAGAACTCAAAAAAATCTTTAAATCTTAGGAGTGTATTCAAATCAAAAACCATGAAAAAGAAAATATTCGACTTGTTGCCAGCAACAGAGTTGATTGGTTCTTTCTTAAAACCTATGAGGAATCAAGGTGCAATTATTCACTCCCAGTGGTATTTAAGCAATTTTAACAAGATCAAAAAATTGGGAAAACAGGAAACTAGGCAGAGGAATTGTTTTGATCAGAGAATGAGAGAGATAGGGTAAAATGATCATACAAAAGAGATTGGATAAAGAGGCAAATGTGTAAACTGGAGGGAAATGCACTTACAGATGATGCGTCCTCCATTTTGTTGAAAAGAGTTTCCCCAATCTTCCCCTTCACCGCTGTGGTACGTGATATGTAGGTCAACATGGTTGAAGAGGTGATAGGCATTTTTTTGTGCACTTGGCTGGAAAAAAAGAGGAAAAATCTGTGACAACTTGAACAAAATTTTATAAAATGGATGTGACATGTGATGAGAATCTCATTGCTTGGTGAGCAGATAATTCATCATCTTCTTGAAAAGGAATACCGCCTAGGTCATATTTTTGGCAAACTAAGAGTTAAGGGTATTGCTGCATTCTGAGATGAGAAAGGGATAGTAAAATTTGTCAAGATAGCACTGAGAAATATATTAAAAAAGTAACATTCACCTGTTATTCCTTAAAATGCAAGAATCATGTTTTAAAGTAAAATAAATGAGCACTTACTCCAATGATGTTAGAGCAAATTTCCTCAATGTATCCACCAGTGTAGCAGCCCATCGGGAAACCTGTCTGGCAGTACTGCTGTCCTTGCAGGCCTTCAATTAAGTAGCACCAAGTTACAGGCATGTTGTCTGAAAACAAAAAAGTCCCATACTCTATTAAAGACTCTTTCCTTGAAGGAGTTAAATGAATATTCAACATTACAAAATTGATCACTTAGATATAATTCAGGGTTACCACAACATTTTAAGAATGAAATTCCCTGGCATTTCCCTGATTTCCCTCTCCCATTCTAGTAAGATTTCCTAAAATATGCCAGATGTTTAAAGAGACATGATTTGAAGCAGTTTTCTCGGAAAATCTGTTGTTCAGAAGTTCGAAGCGTCAAACCCGTTTTAGAAAGCAAATAAAGGTGGCTCAACAATTTTTACTTGGCATTTTCCTCATTTGCCTTGACCATTCCAAGTTCTCTCAAACTTATAGACATTCCCTGATATTTCCTGGTATTCTCTGACTGTGGCAATCCTGATAACGAAATATTAGAAATTCTAAAATTCACATAAAGTCTTACCAACAATCCAGTGATGAGCATAGTTGAGACTGATCCCGCGTCTGAGCAAAGATAAGGCCTTGTCTGAAGTTGGATTTCCTGGATAATACTTCTTTGTACACAGCAGCTCACATGTTGTATTCTTTAAGAATTCAATCTAAAAACAGAAAATAATTGCTTGCTACAGAAAAATCAACAAAGCAACCATGAATAAGAGGCGTAAATCCTAAAAGATTACGCACAGAATACCGAGAAATTTAGCGTTGGCGAAATTTCGATACTATTTGATAAGATGTTCCTTACAGCCTCCTGAGCATAAAGAGCTTAAAAATTGGACATTCTACGGGCAAGTCTCAAGAAAAATGGGGCTGAAAAGTTAATATTTTGGCATTTTGCACGCAATAACTGGAGAAAATGTTGCAACATCCATCTTTTGTTTCCTCACAAGCCAAGAAGATAAGACAGATGGAATAGAATCAAATTCCAAATGATAATAACATGTAGCACACTGTACACATATAGTCCAACACTTCCAATAGAAGATGCGTGTAAAAGAGCCGAAAAATTACTTTCAATTTCTAATACATTTTTCCAGATAAAATTTAGATTTTAAAAGCTCATTGAGCTAGTTGAGGCTGTGAGGAACATCATATCAAATAATATAGCTTAATTTATTTGACACCAAATTACCTGATAATCCTAGTCCTTCTCAAGGACCTGCCTAAAACTGTAAAATGGCTTGATTTTCACCAATGATGCAGCTTGAATAGACAAAAAAAAAGTCCACATAGAGTTGTCTGGACCTGAATTGCTGCGCTGGAAGAGGGGGAAAAACATAAAATTCTAAAAGTTTGAAAGACACAAATGTAATATTTGCGTCGATTCTTGTTTAAATAACCATTTGCCCCCCCCCCCATTTTTTTATGGAGTGCCCTTTAAGTTACAATATTGAGGGAAATAGAAATTTTTACTACTTTCAGTAAATAGACTAAGTAAAAACTCATATACCTACTTGTAGATGTATATGACAACTCAAAACTTTCTGTGTCTTGTTCATAATTCAAACCTGGTTGCTAATCTATTGAAAATTCACTTCAGGCCTTTAGGAGGAGCTCGCAAACTGAGATGGAGGGTAAATTTTCTCATTAGATCAATTTCATCAAATTTGACTAACAAGCCCATGATGACTACAAAGCTAAACTTGAAAACAATCAGTAAGTACACAAAACATTTGAGATTGAAGTTTTCTAAAGTACCTTATATGGTGATGGCCGGATTCTTTCACCAAAGAGGACTTGCCCTAAATTTTCTGCTGGTGAAGAGCTTTCATTTCCTGTGCAGAAGTCAAAGCTGTAGGACAAAAACAACAATAATTAAAAAGAGAGTGATGGAGGATAAAAAGGAAAATAATAAACATTCAAGCCTGAGGTCGATCAGGGTTTGGAAGAGGTCAGTTTGGACGGATGATAATATGATAATAACAATTTGAAGAGAGTTTGAAGCAGCAGTTGCTGAATCTGAGGCATTTATTTCTTCCAGTTGATTCGGTAAGGGTTGCAGTATGAGTTTGCACCTTTGAGTCTGATTGCAGTTAAATTATTATCATTTCATTTTAATTTTTCATCTTTTTACCAGCATGTATTTGGTTTCTGAAATAAATAGATCTGTAGAATGTTCAATATCAATTACATTCTCACAATGTCAAAAATCTGTTGCACTTCAAAATGTGATGAAGGGCAAACATAGTTGAAAATTTCACCAGTTGAGTGCATTTCGATGGTAAAACTGCAGAAATGTGTACTTATATCCGTTTCCGGCGTTGCAGAATTCCAATATTACTTAATTTTCTGCATGGAAAACTACTAAATGTCATTCTTTGAAATTTCAGTGATTTTTTTACTCTTTATGAAGAGTATTCTGTGAAAAGTTCAAGCCTATATGTTGGTTCGGTCTCCTTTTCAAAAAATAAAATAGGAGCAGAGATTTCAAAACAACGCAACAGAGATACGCATTTTTGCGGTTTCACTGTCAACTTATGACAAGAAAGAGCCTCATACTTAGTTAAAGAAATATAATGTTTTGTAAGCACTATTTTTGACCTCCAAGGACAACAATGAAAGTTGGAAGGATGAAAATATGGAAAAGAGAGACTGACAAAAGGGTACAAACTTACTAATGGTATTCATATGGCATGATCAGTTCCTCTGTGTTTAAGCGATTGACATAAAGTGGTACATCCGACTGAAACAAAGAGAAAAAAATCTCAAGGGAACATAGAAGTTACAACACGATAAATCACAACGAGTAGCAGGCCCCTCCTACTATTAAATTTCATTCGAAAGCCAAATATCCTGGAAAATAATATAGTAGGTATCGGGAAGGTACTTACAGCTGAACTTGTAAGACGTAGATATGTCAAAAACGACACATCTATATCAGATTTCATTTCTGTAAAATTACATTTCTCCACTGACAAAAATAAGAATGCAGCCAAAGCCCCTGTCACTGCTCAAGTAGCAATGACCTTTAAAAACATTTTCAAACTCTAAAAAATTGTTAAAATATTCATATTACGAAACCCTTTTCGGCTATTTTTTTAAGTAAATTTTGCGAGAAGTAGAATTAAAGGAAAAAAGTCTCAAAATGTCACTGTAGTTTTTAAACATTTTAAGTGTTGAAAAACTACAGTTGATATTTTAAGAGTTGTTTTGACACTTTTTTACTCAACTTCACTGCTTGTAAATTTCACTTAGGAAACTAGCCAAATAGGGTTTCCTAATGCGAAAATTTTAGCATTTTTTTTAGAGTTGTCTTCTAGAAATTTAGGAGTCTTTTAAAAGTTTGTGTAACGGTCGTGGCTACTAGGGAGGAGAAACGCTTTTGATTTAAATTGGAGAAACCAAGGCTACTTAACTAGAGCCCCTTTCAGATTACTCTTCCACTTTTATTGCATGGAATTTCCTATTCTGCTCATACAGCAAAAGAGGAAAAGTAATCTGTAAGTAGCTCTAGTCTTCAAAAACTAACCTAAATACTGATAATGAGCATTTAACTGGAAATTTAATATAAATACACAGATATAGAAGAGCAAGACTGGACATCTGATTGAAAACAAAAGAGTGTGAGTGTGCTATCTGCTCTTTCTGCATTGCGCTGATGGTTAGATGTGTTAGATGTGTACCTACAATGACATATACTAAAATTACATTCAACACGTTTTCAATTAGAGAGTTAAATGACCCGGGGAAAACTTTCCTGCTAGCTACCTATCGTAAGAGTTTACTGAAAAGAAAATTACTCAAGTGCATGAAAAAACAGCCCATTGACACCACTATCGCTGGATTGGAATCAATCCCGTGTGAGTAGCGACACTAGATTCCGGGCTGATAAAAGCAGTGCCCTTTAGTTTTGACGCACCAAAGACTGAGCAGGAATTTCAGTGCCTAAGCTGAATGATCTGTGATACTTACTTCATGAAAATTAAATAGAAGAGAGTGCTCACCTTGCATGATTTGATGGCCTTTAACTCGGCTCGGCAATAGTTGACAGGCGCGAGACCGGGCAGATAGAATCCGGAGATAGTATGCAACAGTGCAAAGAGAAGGACAAGCAACATGTTTGCTCCTCTGGCTGAGCTCACTTTGGACGGCTGTTAAAAGAGGTTTCAGAAGAAAAGTAGAGCTCTGTATTACGGATGAAAATGGAACTCGGTTATCACCACTTGAATGGCCATCTTAGTTCCGCAACCTGATGTGATGAAAATCAATGGCACAATGGTTCAGAAAAGTCAACTGCCTACCTCGAGCGGAGCTCACAAGGATGGTCGAGGAAAATTCAGCAGTAAGTTTTAGGGCTCGGCCCTGAAAAAAATATTTTGGTGAGAAAAGTGACGCGTGGCCGTAGCTCAAGAGGCACGGGCACGGAGACCGCTAGAAAAGAGTGTGATGACGAGATAAACTTTACTTGATTACAGATTTCAGGTTTCCACTACCCGAAAGTAAACATTCACGCACTACAGTAATGATAAACCGTCTGCCGGAGGCAAAACTTTCGGATGACAAAAATTTTAACTTCGTTCAACGATAGTAGTTCTTTGATAAACAAATATGGGGTCCGAAGTTATGACTCCATACTCAGCTGCCGAATGTGACAATCAAAACACGCAATTTTTCAATTTCTGGAAATGGGAAATAGCCCCTTCGCAACGTTGAAATCGCTGGAATTTTACGCGCGCGCGGGATTGTATTCCTTTCAAAATTTAGCGGGAACTTTCGAATTGACGGACGTCACCTTCGTTGAGCGACAGAGCGCAGGGGAGAATTTCATGAGCCGCCCTGCGCCGCGGCGTGCTGCCGGCGTGAAACGCGCACTGACGCCTACAAATCTAAGGGGCTACTTCACGCATTGCGCAATTCTTGGAGTATCCCTTTAGGTTCACCGTACGAGAGAGAAAGAAAAACGCCTGGCTGAACGGTTTTGTGTGCGAGAGGAACGGAAAATCGCCTAGAGGACTAGTGCGGGTGCGAGAGAGACAGCAAATAGCCATGCAGGACGCTTAAATATGCGAGAGAGAAAGAAAATCGCCTGGCTGAACGCTTTTGTGAGCGAGAGCGACAGAAAATTGCACAGGGGGTTACGGGTGGGTGCGAGAGAGAGAAGGTCGCCTGGCGGGACGCTTGAGTGTGCGAGAGAGACAGAAAGCAGCAAGGAAGCCCGCTAAAGTGTGCAAGTGAGACAGAAAATTGCTTGACGGGAACAGGTGGCATCTTTCCGTCAAAGGAGTCATAAATCACGTTGGCCCGCGACCCTCCAAGATCGGTTTGACCCTCGGTTGCCCTTTTGGTGGTCGCCACTCACCGTGTGAGTCTTGGAAAAGTGTGCGAAGGAGACAGAAAATAGACTGGGAGATTCTAGCTAGACACGATTCTAGCTCTTCGCAAAGTGGACACCCTTGTTTTTTGTGACCCCCCTTATAATTGTTTTCGGTGATCCTGATCCCCCACCTGTTTTTTCCGAAATTTGGACCCCCACCCAAGTAGTTTACGGAAATCATTCCATAAATTCGATCATAAAAGCGCACTATATGTTGAGCGTAGCTCCTCGATTACCTCCGTTCTTTCCGGGGCTCTCGTTTATGATCGATAAGTTCGTTTGGCCGTCACGAATTCGAACTACCACCCTCGCAGAGAGACGAGCCTGAACCAGTATTTTTGAGACTGTGTGTGAGCACTTGGTGTCCCTTCGAGGAGCCGACACAGAGCCGTGACTGATCGATGGGTGCGAGAGAGATAGACTACAAAATAACATGTGGACCAAGATAGGTTGAGCCTTGATTCCTTGTAACGGTCAGGCTGTCCAGGGCTCTCATAAGAAAACAATTGTGCCAAAAATTGTTTAGTTCAAGGCTGAATCAATCCCAGTGAAACTGGTACTGGACAGTTTAGATAAAGAGAAAAAGTCATGTGAATGCAGTGATTTTTGGTTGATCTACACTTAATGCACCAATGACTCGATTGATTTATAATAGTGAGTTTTAATTTCATTGGCTTTCATTGATTTCTGAAAGTATAAAACTTTTACTTACTGATTGTACTTGACTTTTTTTTCCCTTTTTAAAAACTACGGCCATCGTCAGGTTTTAAAACAGAAAAAAATGAAACTTAAACGTGATTAAGATTTCCTGTAACGATTGCAGTAGGTAATTTTCCTCTCAATTCCCGCAGTTGTGACCCAAAGTCCTGATAACATTTTAATGTCATTTTCTCGTTTTTAAAATGGGCGCAAGCCTGGAACAGCCATTATTTTTTTAAAAACAAAATAAAAGGGGCAAGTCAGTACAAAAAGTTTTATCCAACGACAAACGAATAATATATTATCTCAATAACTTGTGCTCATGTGTTCAATGTCTTGGCGTATTAAGTAATCTTCTAGAATCAATTCAGGTTGCTATTATGGATTATAAAAGTAAAATCCTGTTGTCCACCATGGATATAAGATAAATAGACTGCGTTTAGTAGAAAGAAACCAAGTCACATCAGCTACTGACAAATTTAACTGGGCAATTTAATTTTTTACGAGAGAACGTTTGTGCAGATTCCTTTGAAAATTTTAGGGAATTTGCTTCTTACTATGCAGAAAATTCACTAAAATTTGAACAAAAATCCGCACAATCGTTTTCATGTAAAAAATTTAATTGCCGAATTAAATTTGGCAATAACTGATGTGGCTTGGTTTCTTTCTACTTAACGCAGTTCAAATGGAGAGAGGAAGAGAGCAAAATCAAGTGAGGCATTTAGGACAGACTGAAATACCAAACATAGGGATGCTATACGGTGCAAAAAAGACATAAGAGCATGAAAACAGAGTTCAGACTTTTTATTTTATTTTTTCTGATGCAGATTTTTTTCTTTACTTAAATATTCTCCTTACATTAATTTTTTGCTCATTATTTATTTTGGGTTTATTGATAGACACATTAACTTAAAATTAGTTTGTAGGACTAGACACACATACAGATTGTTTTAAACATATTTCTCCACCCATCTAGAGACAACACTGCATTTTTGTGCTTTGATCTTGAACAGTATGATCTTGATCACGGTCAGTTTCTTTTTTTTCAGTTTTACCACAGAGAAAACTATCAAAAAAATTGGCATGCTGAAAGTGAAATAATTTTATCACGCCTTTTGTGATGCTTCATGCAACAATATTTAATTTAAATCATTCCAATGACAATTTTCAGTCGATGAACACTGGCGAGGGCAAGGATTAAAGGGCCACAGGATATTTCTTCGTAAAAATTTTACAAGGAAAGGTACAAAAAAAAACAAAGTAAAGTTGTGAAAAAGAAACTAGCGTTCGGTGTTTAGAATCATTAAATTCAGTCTTTCTGATTGCGAAAGGATCAGCATCAGAGTGGGTCCGATTAACCATTAAAACAGACTTATAGAGGACAGACAGAAATAACTAGAAAGAATTGATTATGAGTATTTTGAAAATTGCTGATAAGATTTCAGAACAATGAATAAATTAATTTATTGCAAAGCACCCTGACGTTAATTTTGTGATCAGTTTCACTCAAGGGCACTTTAGTTTTTTAGCGAGTGGGAACTTAGAATTGCCGAGAGCAGAAAATGCTAATTTTCCACACTATTATTCTCTACTTATGCACTGAATTTTAAAATGTTCAATGTGCCAACTGTATTCCACAAAAAATTTTGATGAGCAACTGAGAGGTACGACGCTTAATTTCTTCCCCTGTCCAGCAATCTATTTCTGCTGTTAAAGTCTACATCTCGGAATAAGGCAGATACACGGCTCAATCTACTGTATGAGGGTTGACTCGCTTTGGCAAGCCCGGGTCCTTCAGATGTGCTAATATACCTGCGTTTCAATCCTCAGAGAATACCCCATGCCAGTCGCTAACCCCGCTTCTCAGCCACCACTTTTAGTGTCATGGACAATAGTTGACCAGTTTTACTTGGAAAACTTACAATGAAGGCAATCATTTTAAATTCTACAGAGCGGGGCACATGTATTTCTTTTTTATGTATAGTTGATAAGCGGTGAAAAGCAGAAAAAGTTTGGAGGAACGATGAATAAAATGTAAAAATCATGATATCCTCACTTTTCTGTCTAAAAATATTTCTGTCAACACTAACATCAAGTTACAAAATTAAAAAATTAATTTACATGATAACACAAAATCAGTCAATGTATTGTACGACATTCACACATATAGGATTTAAAGTGGAATCATTTTTTAATTTTCCTCGTGATTTAATATGATGGCAATTGAATATAGAGAGATTAAGAAAGTAGAATACTAATAGCAAGGTACTGGTATGATAATAGAACAAATCCCATCGCTGTGTGTATTAGTTAAATTTGATAATACCGTGAGGCATTCATGATATCTCAATGTTATGATGCCGTTATGTACAATCTTAATAGCCCAATGTGATGATGTAGTTACTGAAAGCACAGCAAATGAAACTAGGAAAAATTTACTCAAATGGAGATAAAATGATGTTGAGCCTACATTGCAACAGTACTTAGAGTACTCAATATTACATAGGGTGTTCAAAAAGTTTTGCACGCTTCCGGGTTTTGAGCGAACAAAAGCAGCTATCGATTTGCGGTTTGTGTGTGCTTAAAGTAGACGCAATTACCAATAAAACAAGACCAATAACAACTCTCTAGCTTAAAAAATGACAGAGATACAGGGTTTTGGAAATGACTTGTAGCGTGACCCCCTTCAGGATTTTTAGCACCAAATATGTTTGTCAAGAAAAAAAAATTAAATGAGAATTGAGTGTTTTTATTGAAAAAACTTACATAATCTTACGGAAATTGACGAATTCCAAGCTTCTACATCCGATGACACGGCTGACCATACATTTGGCTGTTTTTCGAAGTATTTTCCACCACTTTGAACACAAAGCTTCAGCGGTTCTGCCCACTTCACGAAGATCGTCTTTTCGAAGTCTTCTTGGCGGAGGGTTTTGAAGAATTTTTGAACAGCGGTTTTGATCTCGGCTATGGAATCAAACCGTGTGCCTCTCAGAAATGTCTTAACTCAGGAAAGAGCCATTCCACAGCCGAGATCAAAACCGCTGTTCAAAAATTCTTCAAAACCCTCCGCCAAGAAGACTTTGAAAAAACTATCTTTGTGAAGTGGGCAGAACCGCTGAAGCTTTGTGTTCAAAGTGGTGGAAAATACTTCGAAAAACAGCCAAATGTATGGTCAGCCGTGTCATCGGATGTAGAAGCTTGGAATTCGTCAATTTCCGTAAGATTATGTAAGTTTTTTCAATAAAAACGCTCAATTCTCATTTAACTTTTTTTCTTGACAAACATATTTGGTGCTAAAAATCCTGGAGGGGGTCACGCTACAAGTCATTTTCAAAACCCTGTGTCTCTGTCATTTTTTAAGCTAGAGAGTTGTTCTTGGTCTTGTTTTATTGGTAATTGCGTCTACTTTAAGCACACACAAACCGCAAATCGATAGCTGCTTTTGTTCGCTCAAAACCCGGAAGCGTGCAAAACTTTTTGAACACCCTATGTATATCAAAGAGACTGCCAATGACATCTTACAATGTTGTCAAACCATCACATTCACACACATACTAAGGCATTTTTGTCATACCGTCAGATCATAACAATTAGCTGTCCAATTTAGAGATTAAAAACCAGATTGCTGCTGATGCGAGGGTTGCTCAAAAATACAGTTTCCCTAATTTCCTCAGAAAATAATCTGAATAAGAGAGCCTTAAAAATACGGTTGTAAGGCTCATGCCTACAAGCCTACATTGTAGCCATTCAACGACAGTTTCTGCTTTTGATTTCTCAAAAGTTAAAGAATATTACATTGACAGAGAGCTGGAATTTTTAACTTTCAAAGAGTGTGTATGACATTTTTCTGGCATTACTGCGCTGAAACATTGATAGGAAAACTCACTGCCTGAACGGCCCACTTGTATGCTGACTTCATCGCTGGGGAATTTTTTTTCAATTCTAATAAGTACATGGAATGCTTTAAGTGCATATTTAAAAAGAGAGTTGTAATTACTCATCTTATTACAAAAAGATAAAGGCAAAAAAATGCTACCAAAAATGCATTGTCAAAGATTCAAAATAGATAAAGACTAAGCTACTAAGATTAGAAAACTGATAACACCTCATAACTCTTCTTTTTTCAAGTTAGATCAGTACTTTAATCCGGGTGAAAGAATTTCAATAAAATTTTTAATTTTATTTCACTTTCATTTCAGACAGACAGGCCTAACCAAGTAAGTGTTTATTTACTTATTTTCCCGAATAAACCTTTAATACAAATAGCTTTAAAACATCAAAAGTAGAGTTTTGTTACATTTATTTTCTCTAAATTAAAACCAGAACCTCCTGGATACTTATGTACCATTAACAAAACAAACAAACAAAAATATAATAAATAACTAAAAGTTCTACAAAAAACTCATTTCTTCAACACTTGAATTAGCCATTCTCAAAGAAACTCAAGCACCAGAAATAAAAATGCAAAAAAAAAGTAAAAACTGTATTAATCAACCCGTTCCAAATCTAAGGATAAGTATGAATAAGCTTGACCAATAAAATGCTATAAAATTGTGGAGCTATGAGATTTGGAACGGGTCTATTTGAAATTTTTTTGCGTGTTTTTCTTGAATTTTAATCTTGACGCTTAAAGTCTTTCTGAAAATGACTTATTTAATTTCTAGTTGCATCAGAAAGAATGGAAACTTTTACAAGGAAATAGATCCTACTCTACCATCACCAAAAAAAAAATCAATGCGGCTCATGACTGAGTAGGATTTTTTCATGATCCAACACAGTGTGAGTGAATGAACTTTCAGTAATTATATTACAATATAAAAACAAAGATGAATGATCACAAAGATAATAAAAAAACAGAACGCTCAAAGCTTGGGGGGGGGGGGGGGCAGCAGGTGGCAAATTTTTGAAAGATCTAAATAAGCGTGACTTTCTGATAAATTGAGAAATCAAGATTTCAAAGGGTTGAACAGAGCAAAATTCCAAAACAGAGAAGAAGCCAGCTGCAAAGTATCATAATAACAACAATAAACAAGAATCTCATTACTTACGAAGAAATGACAAGGTAAAAATGAGCAAATATAAATTACACAAGAGAGACCTTGATGAAAATGAAACTATGCACTGAGCTATTTAAGGCGATCACACCTATTTAAATTTCTTCGTTGAATAATATGAGATTTTAAGGTGATTCATCCCGGTTTTCAGCGCAATCGAACTGGCATGGGCCATGCGATATATTGCATCAATAAAGTAATGACTCTTGGCAGATTTTTAATACTTAGCCAAAAAAGGGATGAAAACCCCTGCGTGTGAGTCTAAAGAATCATTCTCAACCAAAAAATTGGCAAAATTTAGAGGAATGAAAGCGGGATTTTTTTCGGAAAACAACCTTGCATTCGATAGAGTAATTAACTCCTACATTGAATAAAAGGTTTTTTCCAAATGAGTCAGGCTTTCATTTCTCTGAAATTCAACGGTTTTTTGGTTGAGAATGATTCTTCAGGCTCATGCCCTGGAGCTGCCGTCCTTTATTAGTTAAAAATTCGAAATCTGCCAAGATTTTGAATTTAATTAACACAATAAATTGCATGCCAGAAAACAGGACAAATCACTTTAATGATCCAAAATTGCATCAGTGATTCATTGGATAGGTGGAAATGTCATTGCAGAACCCTCAATTTTTTAATAGTTTTACTATACAACAAAGGCCATGGAGGAAGAAAAGTAATACACTGTATTTTCAGCAAAATAATGGCAACATCCAGCTGGATGTAGATATTGGAAAAAATTGTATGCCGTAACCAACCAATTAAAATAATTGCCATGAATTGCTGCATATCCGACCCAACTTTGGGGACAGGTATTTGAAAAATGTCATTTCTACAGGTGGCTAATGGAAAAAAATAATGAAGACATTGTTCTTTTCTTACTCCCCTTATTGACCAGAAAGGCAAACAGGTAAATGATGACTATTTTTTCAGCTCCCACTTGCAACGAGTGAAAATGGTATAAAACTGCTTGATAAAAGTAAGAAAATAGGAAAGATTAATACCTAAGTGCAAAATTAAGCACAATTAAGGAAAACAAAACAAAACAATCTAACTTAAAATAACATCTTATTTAGGGAAGCTATCCTTGAACTCAACCGTGTCTTTGAACTGCAGATGTGAGTCGATTATCTGGAATAATTCTGGAGGCTGAGGTATTCTTCCTGTTTCTAATTTTGACCATACCGGAATATCTAAAAAGAGAAAAATAAAAATAAAAAATAAAATGGCAGGAGCAAGAGGAAAAAATTTGACTGACCGCAAAATAGGTACTTGGAAAATACATTTCTGATATTGAAGAAATAATCTCAACTCTCTGTACATTACAAACAAACTGCGGTTCAATGCATGGATCGTTTAGACTAAGTGTTAGTGATTTTGCTAAAATGTATTAAATTATGAAGAGAAAGCTTGTTTTGTTACTGATGTTTCTGGTTTGAAAAAAAAAAGTTTTTGAGAAAAACTAGCAATATGTGCTGATGAAAAATCATCAACTGATACAATTATCACACCTGGTAAAGAAAAGACAGAACAACCATTAGGTAAGGTTCTCCACCATTTTCTACAAAATATGCTGCAAAGACTGACTGAAAATTAATGACTTCCTTTTTCAGAGGCTCCTTGAAAGTTGAAAAGGCTTGAGCCTTGTAAATCAGCATGAGAATTCCCAGACAATGGGACTGTTGCAAACTTTTGCTACAGCAAAAATAATTGTTGTGCCTATCCCTAAATGTCTCAAAAATCACGATGAGCCCATTGGCAAAGTTTGCAACGCACTCCTAACTTTACAATCTACATAAGAAATTTGCGTTATTTTTTAACTTCCTGCTTCAAAAACGATACTAGGGCTCAGGTGAACATTTCGTTGGAGGAGTCGTTCCATTCAACCCTTTCGCAATAGTAATACCCAACATAGCCGAGGCTTCCACGCGCAAATCGCAGTCAGGAGCACAAGGTCAATCAAAGCAGATCTTTATCAACGCGAAGAAATCGTGAATGTAGACACGCTGGATTGCTAACAAATGGTTAGAATCTCGTCGGCATATGTGTTTTGGCGGATTGGTGTCGGCCATGTTGAATATTGTATGGTATCCTAGTGCACAGAGGTTGTATCGAACAACACCTCTAACGAAATGTTTACCTGTGCCGTAGTATCGTTTTGGAAGCGAGAAGGTAAAAAAACCGCAAATTTCTGATGCAGATCGTGAAGTTAGAAGTGCATTTCAAACTTTGCCAATGGCGCTTATCGTGATTTTTAAGACATTTACTGATGGAAACAACCCTTATTTTTGCTGCAGAAGTTTGCGACAGGCCCATCTGCCAAAAGGTTACAAAGATCAATAACCTTACTGATATTAAAAGCCCTTCAGGATGTTGTGCGGTTCGATCCATCATAATTATTAAATGGGTTGTCCCTTTCCATCCTACTCATACTAAATTATGGGCCGTTCCTAAAGCTTATGTCCTTATAGGAGTTATCGTTTTGTTCTCAGGAGTAGTATTGTAAAGTGTTTGCAAGAGATCTCTAAAAAGTTAAGTCCGATTTTTATCGGCCTTCAGCTTGCGATTTTTGCTAAACAATTTAAAACTTGAGATTTCAAGGATTAGCCGTTTTAGCCAATTTATGCTGACAAAAGTTCATCGCATACTTTAGATGAGAGATATCATTACAGGAACAGAGGCATGTTCCAAGAATGATACGGTTGCTTGGAAGGAAGTAGAAACTTCCAGACCATGCAACCGGATGGTCACAATTGATCGCATGCTAATATGGGGAGGTCCCTGAAAAGGGTTTTAAAAATGAAAAAGCCTCCATGAAAGAGAGTAAAAATTGCTTATTTTTTACATGATAGAGGCGAAAATTGCAAGTTTTTTGCTAAACTGAGGTGAAATGCACAAATTTTTTGAAAATAGAAAAAAGGGGATTTGAAAATGGGAAGGCTAATTTGAAAAGCAGGTGGGCAAGCAAATCTCTGTATCTCTGCTTGCTTGTCTGGGTACCATAGTAGATTGCCTAGGAAGATCTATACTTACAATGATCTCAGATCAAAATCAGCAAACATTGTAATGCAATGTCTAAAGGTAGTGGCACTGAATATATTGGAGTTTGGATTGTAGCCGAGTGCTAGAAATAATGTAAAATTTCTTTAAAAAACTTACATTTTATTAACAAATTTATACCGAAGCTTTTCGTGAAGCATTAAGAGTGATTTGATCTGACAGCTTGTTATCATTTGTTACCATTCAATGAAATCTGTTACCTTGTTTGAAATTTAAATTATGGCCTTTGTGATATTGATTTTGTGACCCTGACGATGAAGCGTTCGCTTCGAAAAGCTTCGGTATAAATTTGTTAATAAAATGTAAGTTTTTTAAAGAAATTTTACATTATTTCTAGCACTTGGCTACAATCCAAACTCCAAGATCTCAGATAAATGATGAGCATCCCTAAGAATTTTATTATTGGAACCATGCTCGTTATCTATACTGCCGTGCTAAAAAAGAACGCCGTATGAACATTCGAGAGTTGCCAAGTTTCCCCTCGGAAAATATTCTTTTTGAAGAAAGTTATCAGTATTTTTTCTTGAAATTTTCAGACTTCTTAGCTCAACTTGCAGACTAAATTATCTGAGAAAATGGGAGACAAATCTTCACAAATGATCTTGAAAATTAAAGATTTTTCCAAGGAAATTTGGCAACTCCTGAAGGTTCATACGGCTTTCTTCCCTAGCACGGCAGTATACTGATGACACAAGTTGAGCGATTTTGGAATGTTCTTGACAAGTTCCGATACATAATTGCTTACACTGTTTAAAATAACCTTATCTGATTGTTTCAGTGGTAACATTGAAGAAGCATCGTTTCTATACAGCTGAAAATCATGTCAAAATAGGTTTCTGTTGTTTGAACACCAATTTAATGTGGGCCATAGCATTGTTTTCCCCTGAAAGCATCTGTTGGGAGGCCGCAGTACAGCTACGGCATTATGAAATGAGGAAATTATAAGGACTTTGAGAGCAGACTCATAATTGAGAATTTCAGTTGTTTTACATAAATTTGGCTTATGAAAATTGATTCAAAAACTAATCCTCACTGCTCTCTTGTTAAAGCCAATTTTTCCCGATGAACTTGTTACACTGGACGATCTCTGTTGATGATTGACAGAGATTTAATAGGAAAAGAATATATTATGCCATCCAAAATACTGAAAACAGACTGCTTATCAACTCCTTCATTTTGAATACCCTACTCCCAAAAACCACATTTACAGAAATACAGAAACAGAACGAATAACAATTGGAAAAAAAAGCTTACCATTTAAAAATATTTCGAATGCACCGGTAGAGACTAAATTACTTTCAATGACATTGGTCAGGAAAAATATCATATTACAGGCGTAGATTTTATTATTTACACACCAAAGCCATACTGATTGAGGTATTAGAATACTGAATGGATTCACGTTACAAAGAACGCAAATTATGAGTAAAATTTTTCCTATGCCCTGTAGAAAAGAGATAAAATGAAAGTTACGAAGAGATAAAAAACAATTGAGTAGGCGAGAGAAAGAGAAGCTCGTGAATCATGGGTGACCTTGAGTTATTATTCACAAGAATATTATGCCCAATTGAGCCCCAGAAAAGGAGCAAATTTTATCACTACATGATATATTATCTCATCAAAATTTCACATAGAACACGATTTGTGCAACAAAAATTACCGTTGGTAACTATTGACTAAGATTTGAGATTATTACCTTGATTTTTCATTTTTGCGCAAACCAAAAATTTCAATAAAGTGCTGATTGGCTAATACGGAATTTTTCCATGAGACAGAAACTTTTAGACAGCTTTATAAATTAATTTTCTGATATTGGATACTTACAATTTTTTTTCCTTCTGCTTAGAAAAATATAAAGAAAATTGATAGACTACAAAGCACTTGCAGTAGACAAATGTTTTCAATTAATGAAAAAAGAGAAAGTAATAGCTAACATTTACTGATAGTTGCTGAAAAATTTTTGTACTTACAAATGCTTTGGCTAGGTACATGTGAAAACTAGAGGGCTCATAGTTGCCACCATAAACATTTATCTCCGGATATTTTTGTTGTATTATAGTTGAGTATTCATCGAAAGCTTTTCGATAGCCGCATGAATAGCTGTAACACATGCAAGAAAGAAAATTAAAAAATCTAGATTTTTCAAACAAAAAAATAAGCTTGTAATACTTTAAATACTGAGGAAATTCAAAGTGCCTAGGGTAGGTGGGATTAAAGGAAAGTCTGAAACAAAAGTACGCTTAGCTTTTTTTAGCAGATTCAAGCTGAATCATCAACAGTACCGGATCAGTAAAGTCGGTAACATTATTCATCACCTGTTCCCATAGTTTAGTTCCTGGCAGAGCTTACCTACGAAAATTGCAACAAAATTTCATTTCTTGCGATCCTTGATCCATATTTATGATTGCAAATTGATAGTTATTTAAACTCTCCATGTTAGTCTTAGTTAGCGGGATCAAACATGATCGGTGCCAGTTTTCAGATGTCTTTGGGTTGATCGTTCGGCTGTTGTTCCAAGACCCATACTATTTTCATTTGCAAAGAAGTAATGTTTGGGTGTGATGTCATAAGAGGCCATCCATAAATTACGTCACCCAAGTAGGGGGGAGGGACAGGGGTCTGGCGGTGGATGACAGGGAGGGGGAAAGAGGGGGTCAACCCTCGATGATTTAAGCTTCCTTGAAGGCAAAAAGGCTGAAAACACTACCATGTGATTTGATTTCTTATTTTATTTTTGAAAATTTGTAGTTCAGTTCTAAGTACTCAATTTTGACAATTTTTTCTATAAATGATTCCAATTTTTCTCAAAGCAATACAATTTGCATTGTTTGATTGTTCAGCTAATAATATATTGTAGCCTTCATTCCATCCCTTTTTAAAAAAACACAACCTATATTTAATACTTGATAAAATAAATTAATCATATTCTTGACGCTGCAGACTATACGCTGAGGATGACGTAATTTTTAGGGAGGGGTCTAGCAGTGGATGAGGATGATGGTTGGATATGGTGAGGGTGAGGTGAGTCAAAAAGTTGGAAAAAATGGGTGACGTAATTTATGGACAGCCCCTAATGGAGCAAACTTACGTACACAATTTTGGGGTGAAAGTACACACAAATTAAGCAGTGCTGCTGAATAGTGAAGAATCTAATGAAATGCACAGAATATGAGGAATTATGAGTTGTGAGGATTATTTGCGGGCATTTGTGGAAAATGCATAACTTTCAGCAAAATTAATACTTCCTGGAAACGCAAATTTTTTTGTCCAGTTTGTTATTAGGAAACCCTATATTTTTTCTCAACAAATATCCAGCGATTACTCGATAAAAAAAAAGCCCTTAGGTTAACAGAATACTATTAGGACTATGTCTGCACTTCAGATCACACAAAGAGATGAATTAATGAGGGCAAATACATCAAGGGTAAAATTAGAATAGAACCTACTTCAGCAAAAATCTACATTTTTTAATGTTTTTTCCTCCAGTGAGCAAAGTTTCAATTTTGCTACAGATGCGTTCTCTGGAGGTGTCAGGTCAACTGTTGGTTACCTGACGAGTACCGTTAAGAGTTTGACGATTGTTCCTAAAAACTTGCTGACCTCTCGCTAATTACTCGATGACTGTTATGACGGGTCATCGGCCAACGCAATCATCCAGCACCTTTAGTGTCCAGCCCACTGCCAAACTGAGGCTCTCAAACTAATACTGATTCTTTAATTTCTCAACCATTTCTGCACAAAATCGTTGAAAATTTCAAGATCTGCTCTGTGATGTGTCCTGAACACATTGTTCACCTTCAAATATTGTCGGGCTGACGAACTTTGAAAGGCAACAGCCAACAGTTCCATCAATGAACCTCTTAGAAGCCCCAAATTTGAAAGTGGACTGGATGCTTTTCAAAGATGCTGGGCAAGGCCGCTGAGCGTTAAGATAACCTCAATGTCTGGTTGAGCTGCCATGATAGCCAGATGATGAAAGTTTGTCATCAGGTGATCCATGAAAAATCAGCAACATTTTTTTCTCTACTGCCTCCAGAGAACGCATCTTATTTCCAGAAATTTAGTTTCACTTCATCTTGATAATGAAAATATTTTCTGAACATTTCGGGTGAAAAAATAAGGTTATAACCACTATCTTAGGACCCCAGTCTGGGCAGAGGAACATACATTAAGCCAGGATACTTACATCTGCAGGATCACCACTGATGTGCTAAAGTCCCAGGAAAATTACCAAAATAAAATAAAAGAAATAATGAGGGAGAACTTCTCCACTTACCAGTACAAAAATTGTAACGAAGGTCCTACATTATTAGCTGCTAGACTGACTTTGGAAACAGGAATTTCCTTCTCTGCAGAGTTAACAAATACATCTTTCATGGTAAAAGCAGCAAAGAATAGAAACAGAACGGCACAGACTAGTTTCGAGTTGTCAACCATTGTGAGAGTTCTGAGAAAAAGCTAGAAAGAAAAAAATTTAGGGGCACTACAATTAGAAGAGCAATTGAAAAACAAAGAGTGAGAATCACTGGCACACCGTAAATATGTCTTCATTTGGTGCCAATAAAAGAAATCTGGATTGACTAGTGGTATTGGTTTAAAATAAACGCGTTCGTAAGACACCGAAGGCAATTCCGAACTTTATACATTTGAATATAAGTTCTAACTGGTAATGAAATTGTAGATAAGTGATAACACACTATTAATTCATTTATTTCATTTACCGAAAACACAAGTTGAAAACAACAGGAACTGGGCAGACTTGTTTTCAAGCTACATTCATTGACGTCACACCTTGACCATCAAACGAACGTGAGTTTGCTAGAAAGAGCATTTTCTATTGGCCACTCTCGGTCGACTTGGAAGATGGCGGCTGTCAAATAAACATCAAACAAATAATAAGCCGATGGCCTCCGTGTATTTGTAATCGGTTTTTCTGCCGATAGAGAGCGTTACAAGTTGAAAAATTGTTAGGTGCGTTGTCGAAGTCAACTTTCCGTTTGCGTTGGGCTTCTCAACGCTAACGGATATCACGTGACAGTTGACTTACCCGTTGGAAAACGCGTTGTTGGTCGTCTCTGTTGACTAAAAATTGTTGTGTTTTGAATGTGACACCGCGTGCACAATATCATTTAGAGGTTAGCTCAACGCTCTCAACTACCTCCTGAGACCGATGACTTGTTGACTTCCGTTTGGTAAACAGTCCAGGACATCGGGCAATCCCAACGGAAGTCGAACAACGCCGAGCGTTGGGCATCAGGTAATTCCATTGCCCAACGCTCCTCAACAGTTGACTTCGACAACGCAGCTGTTGAGCGCAAGACCACGCAGAACAAAACACACAACCTGACACACAACAGGACTTCCAGACAGGGGGAGGGGAGACAGCCACTTTGGTTCACGTTTTCGGATTCCTTTCGTTCAAGTTCCTAGTAACGAAATTGAAATCGACCAATGCATTCGAGCTTGATGTAGCTTGGCGCTCGAGTACGTATTTTTTTGTCTCATGGTCTTTCGTTCGTACATTGAATGGGATGACGAGACGAGGGTGGTGGTTATAAGAGGCGCGGGTGGGAGTCTGAAACGAGAGCGGATGAAGAGGGGGGAGGGGGCGGACTCACAATCACCTAAGCCAGAGCCAGATAGGAGCTGCCATCAATCACCCTCACCCACCCTCCCCTCATCCTTTGCCACGGAAATACCATGGACAACAATAATTATGACAAACTAAAGTTCTGTCGTTATTTCGTCCGGATGAACATTGTTCTGCCTCCAACAATAAAATATACTTCAAAATATTGAGCTATCAACTTAGTTTGATGATAAACAGAGAAGCTTTCGGATCAAATCGTTGTGGCAAGATCGTCAGGGGGGGGGGGGGTAGCTTAAGTGAAGGGTAGAGGGCCAGGTGGGAACCTGCGTTCACATTGGCTCACAATTAAAATTCGGGAAAAACTACCTTAAATAGGTAAAAGACAAGAAAATTAAATAAGTACCTATTTTTTTTTTTTTTTTTTTCAGATAAATTCGAGCGAATCCACCTATTCAATCATACGTGCCTCACAAAGTGCGACGGAATAAATTGACTAGATCCCTGCTTAATTTTCATTGGAGGTATTCGTTTTAGACTTTAGTACGAGTCAGTGCATCCATATCATATTCTTTTTACAGCTGTACTTAAACTAACCAGTCTCGAGCAAAGGTTTTGAGTTTCTAGCTAGTCGTCCTCGTCTAGAGATGTGTCTGAGTCTGTGTGTCTGTGTGAGTTCTTTGACCGGCGAACAATACATTCCTTCTCATCTCGGAGCTCCATGAACCATTTTCCTTGTCGACTTTGGGGAATTTGGCATGACATGATCCGTTCGTGAAGAATGGAGCTCTGTCGGTAGCTGCCTGTTTCGCAATAAATATTTACCCGATTTCGTGAAGAAAATGGCTAAAATTCATCTGTGCAGTTGTTTCGAATGACTATCCACTTTTCTTTAATACGGTTAATAATTTGTGATACCTCCGTTTTACCTAGGTTTTTCGTGTATCATCGACGTTTCACTCCCTGTTTGTGATCATTAGTCTGTATTGGATTGTTTGTTTAAATTAGACTAACACCCAAGTGCGATTCGTTCTCATTGTTTTTACAGACGGTTTATTTCTGTTATTAGTTTTCCATGGTCCTCAGAATGAAGTCCTATTGACCCTCATCTCAGGACTCTCTTGGTTAGACATTCCCTCCCCAGAGCCACTAAAAAGTGTTGAGTGCATCCTTCCACTGGTGGACCAACAGCATATCAACATTAGTAAGTGGATGAGTGATAATAATCCAAACTCATGTGAAACTGCATTCCACCGTAAGTCCTATTGATTTGCAATGAATATTTTCGAGGAAAGGAGTGTGCCATAAAAAGCATTTTGAATGATTACATTAATCAGAGGAAGCAGTTATGGATCCTGTCGGACCATGGTCTGCCTGTGCCACTTCTTACAATAGCCTGGCCGGGGTAACTGGCCTGAATGCTAGTGCAAGTGAGATTCATCATCAATTGGCAGCTAGTGGCAATCCTGGATCAATGAACCAAAGTGGTGCTGGATCTTCGTCCAATGCCCAACAACAAGCTCGATCTTTACTGCAAGCAGCGCAAGGAAATCCCGGTGGAAGCTCTGCAAATGTTTCTTCTTTCAATGTCGGAGGCTTTTTATCACCCAATAACTATGGTTCAGTTTTCTCTTCCTTTTTCCAAGCTAATTCCAAAGTACCGCTCAATAGTGTTACTTCAGGTGGAACAGGAGAGCGGCAAACATCCAAGCACGAGGATCCTAAAATAGATCTGCCGTACCTAAGAGAGAATCCAGCTTTAGCTCATCCCATAGGCAGCAATTTTTACAGTCATTCACCATCAGTTTCATCTACGCCTAGCACACCTTGGTCTCAAGGAAACAGCCAATACCCAAGTCCTTTCGGATTGCTGCCCCACGAGACAAGTTCCAAAAGTCTCTATGAAAATGCATTCAGTACAAATTTTTTGTCTGCCCAAGCAGTTAACCAACTTAATACTCAGTCTCGAAGTTTTCTTGATGATTCTAGAAATGACTCCAAAAAGTCAAGCTGTCATTCACCTCAAGTTGCCTTACCGAAAACTACATCATCTCTTGCCACCAATTATAGTTCAGTGAATTCAAGTTTTTATCAGCAATCCAACAATCGTGCGTACAGTCCCGCCAGTGAAAATGCCCGTCGAAGCACACAGTACCCGCAACAAAGTTGTCCGACAACATCATCGGTCACATCAACTAACCCAAATCGACATGTTTCTGGTGTGAGCAGTAAGACGTCTTCAGTAGCTAATTTCGCCTCTCTCAGCCCTGAAAAAACATCTGGCAAAGCTAATTTATCGAAAAATGTCACAAATAAAGTACAATCAGAGCCTCAAAGTAAGGTTTACACAGAATTGAGATCTGTCGATGCAAGAAATGTCATCGAGTCGAACAAATCTGCCTCCTCAAAAGCCTCCTTCCAGAAAATGCAAAATTGTCGTCCTGGTGCCCAGAACTTCAGTTTGTCTCCTTGCAGCTCAGGATCAGTTTCGTCTGACTCACAGCGGATGCAATGTCAGCGTCCCGTTACTCAGCAGAATCCAAGCGCATCAAATTACAGTCAGTTTGCTAGCCCTGGAAGTTGCTCAGAGACGGATTTTCTTGTAAATAATAGTAGAAATAAAACAATGTCTGTTTCTGGCGATTCCCCATATTCATCTAGTTCCTCCCAGAATGGGTCTGATTGCAGTGTGAACACCTCTAAGAGAATAAGTCCACATCCCAATCAAGCCAGCCCTGGTCGTCATATCACCAATCCAGCATACTCTCTGTATAGCAACACTATGTCAACTCTTACATCCCCTAACACACTACAACATCAGCAGCTATGTGATCCTACGAGTAACTTCTTAAATGGTAATTATGCTTCAAAACAATCTACTCCCACACCCATTTCACCCCAAGACTCTTCGAATCTTCGAACTGTTGGTCACAATTATTCAAACTCTTCAGCGTATCCATCAGCCATAGCTAATGCTAAAACATACAACTCGCCTGAATTTAGCAGTAAAGCATGTTGGAACAGCCCTGAGCAAAGTTCAAGAGGGAATTTTACCAATGAGTATAATCAAGAAGCCGCTTTTGGAGCTCATGTCCAATCGCGAACAGCTCTGACAAGTAATGACCCACGCCCAGTATCGTATGATAATCAAGGAAGCAGCCAATTATCATATCAAGATCTCAATACTTCCCGGATCAATAGTTTAAATACCGCTAAAAATCTAAGTGCTGCCGAGTTAACAAAGAAGAATGTGGAGACTGAATTGCGACGAAGTCCTGTCAGAGGCACCAAGCCAGGAAAAAAGAAGAGGAAAAGTTCTGAGGCAAGTGACCTGTCAGCGCAATCTGCTTTTGTTCACTCAAGTGAGATGTCTCCTCATTCCACTGGTATACAACCTTATCCATACCCTTACTATGATTATGGGAGATGGAATGCACCGAATCCTCAAAACCTTTTCAAGCCTGGTTTTGACCCTTCGTTTGTTCCTCAGTTTGCCAATAGAGGTGGAGAAAATCAGCAAAACCAATTACTTTCACTACAACAGTATCAGAATGCTCAGTTTTTATCACATCGACCAACTCTACACTCTCTCTCTCCTGTATCGCAGAAGCAACTTAATGATCGAGGTGTAAAGACTGTTTTCGAGACTGGAGGAGGAAGTGAATCTTCAAAAGTAATTGTTCCTGATGTTGATGAGGAATTAGAACATTTAGCAGGTGTTATTCCACCATCCAAAGATTGTGATGCTACAAATTTAGATGGAGGGAGTAAAAGTGCTGAAAACTCGGAGAGCTATCCTCCCCCTCAATCTACTGAAAAACGCATCATGAACATGGTTGAGAAGTCTATCGTGCCTGTAGCTAAATTAAGTCCAAAGATTGCCTCTCCTGGTTTTATTGGTAGCTTTTTAAAGTTTCTCCAAGGTGAAAGAGAACCATCACCACCCCCCTCGAGTCGCCCCCCACGAGCCAAGCTCTATCAGCCGCCTGAACCCCCCAAAAAGCCGGAGATTACATCTTCAGTCGAGCAAAATGTTACTCTCGGAGTAGGGAATGAAGCTGCCTACCCTACAGGAACAACTGTTCCTTCAAAGCAAAAAAGTATTACGAGCAATGTGTCTTCCCAACCAGCCATTGACCCTCGAGATGATCTAAGATACTTTCCACTCCCAAAGTCCTCCAAGAAGTCCTTAAATAGTTCCAGTGAAGACTCTGACTCGGAAACCACACCCAAAGCTACTCCTGCACCCAAATCACCACCATCTCAAACCCCAAAGGCTGTTCCTGCTGCCCCTGTGGACAGTAAACCCAAAGAATTACCACCGAAGAAGAAATATTACGTGAAAAAAGCTGACAGAGTGCCTCCTACAGAACCAAAACTACCAAAAGAGCCAAAAAAGAAGGAACTCAAAGAGATTATTCCTCAGCCAAAACCTAAACCCACTGCACCCATTGTTAAGTTGAAGAAAAAGCAGAAGAAAGACAGACGAAAAGGAGAAAGCTCTGATGAAGGCTCAGAAGATGAATATGAAGGTGTATCCAACAATGCAAAAATCAATCGTGAAAACATAGATGTTAAACTTGTCATAAAAGACATCCCAAGTGATAAAAGTAAAGAAAAACCTTTCAAGCAGAAAATATCTCAAGGCAAAAAACCCGTCAGTTCTAAAGTCCAAGGAAAGGAAGGTGAGTGTCTACAAAATACATGACTATCCAAGCACCTGTTATTTTTTGGAACCACTCTTGTCAAATACTTACTTTATTTCCACCTACCACTGTCATTCAGTCATTGATTGCCTCTAGAATTTTAGTATGACTCAACATTTATTCACTTTAAGTGGTCTCCGTTTGTTATAACCTTACCTAAACTATTTTGTCATTTCTTTATTCCCAGTACATTTAAATTTTGATGAAGAGGCAAGTATCAAAATAAGGTTAAAAGATTGCTTTACTCTCATCTCATGAATCTTGAACTTACTTATTCTTATTACTTACTTATTACTTATTTACTCATATAAACCGTTGAACTTCTTTTTCTTTGTGACAAGGAATGTTAGTGTGTACTTCATGTCCTTTTTTATTTTCTCAGTGCCGAGAGCTACATCACCTAATTTACCAAGGCGAGAAACAGTGGGTAGAAGAGCAAAAGAGAAAACAAATATCATCCTAGCGATGAAAGACGATGAAGATGATGATCCAGAATTCACCGATTCGGATGAAGATCCTGCTTGGACTCCGAAGGCAGCAAAGGTACTTAAATCATGTACTCAGAAATGGCTTATTTTTTTCTGCCTTTAAAATGAGCTTTTAAGTGTTTTCAGAATCCTAGTCCTGTATCCTCGGTCATTCTAGCTCTGCCACTATTTAATTATTTTACTAATCTTGAGCCTATGTAGGTAAGACTCAACTAGAAAACTACTCAACGTTATTGGGACTGCATGTTGCAGAAAGGAACAAAGCCATATCAGCCGTTGCCAAATTTAATTGGGCAATTTCATTTTTTACAAGAGAACGTTGGTGCGGATTCCTTCAAAAATTTTAAGGAATTTTCTTTGTACCGTGAAGGAAAGTCACTGGAATTTGCAGAAAAATCTGCACAACCGTTTTTATGTTAAAAATTAAAGTGCCCAATTATATTTGGCAATAGCTGATATGCCTTGGTTCCTTTGTGCTGAACGCAGTCCAATTCTTTCAAACTTGATGATTTATCTTCTTTGTGTCAAGAAAATTATTTGAAAACTTCAAGGCATCATGTTGATTTGCTCTATCTTAAAAAAAATAATGGGAGCAGCTAACAAGATACGCAGTTTGGAACGTCCATCAATGATAAGTAACCTTGTAGTTTAGAAACAGTATCATGTACTTATCTGTGTTTATAATCTGTGGAGGTACCTTCCTTTTTTGAGGCAACCTAACCATGCCTTTTTTTGGCCATAGGATGAAGGATCTGATGAAGAGGAGAAGAAGAAGCCTAGCAGGAAGAAGTTGAGACTGTCCGTAAATCTGACAAAGAAAAGCAGTCATCTTATCGAAGATAGCAGTTCTGATCATGAAAGTGATGCAGCTCATTCCTCTAAAAAACGGAAATCTGCTGTTAAAATATCTGGTAAGTATCTAGGGGCTCATATTCATTTCACTTCTAGGGAGGATTGCCATGCATATTCTGCCGTGCAGCGCAAAAACGCCATAAACGCCACTTTACATTTTTTGGAAACAATATATCATAGCAGAAAAACTTGTGCACCTGGGGACAATTTTTTACAGACCTCTTTTGCAAATACTATCAGGAACTTGGGTAACCTGAAAATTTAAGGTGCATTGGTAAAATAGTTTCTATTTTGTAAAGTGTTAAGTTCCAAAAGACGTGAGAAAATCTTGATGGATTTACAGCGCTCTTGCTTAGCATAGTAGTATTGTTAAAGGCTGTGTGACCCTTTACTTTATTATTTTTGGAATGGAAGTTTTATCAAAGGTCTTACTCATCATTTCTATGGGAAAAACATCGGAGTAATCCCTATGTCGTCCCATTTTTCTGCACTATATTTCAAAGTGCAATTTTGGATCGGGCCTCTTTCGGTGCGCATGTACCCAAGATTAGGGTATTTATAGAGGGGTAAATTTATTTATCAACCTCTGATGGTCTAGCAGTTCTTTCCTCAAAAGATACGTAAAACGTTGAAGTGGAATATTTTCTCAATTGGCGAAAGATTGCTTCATCCTCGGCAATTTAGGAATGTGGAATGTCTAAAACTCTTCTCTCAAACTTGAGTAAAAGTACGTTTTTTATATTTAGATTATTGATAATTTTTCTGAAAGTTTTTTGTACTGAGTAATTATTTTTCCTCTTGATCAGCAAACATGTACAGGATTCTAGCTGATATTCAGTGACTTTAGATTTATGATTAACCAAATAAGTCCTGAAAACTGTCAAAAAGGTTGATCAAGGTCCAGAATAGTCCAAACATATGAAAGACTTGGTTCAGTTGGAGGTATTTGATGTTCCGGTAAATCATGCCACCCACTTGACCAGCCTCTATCTAATTGAAATATTCTACTCTGCAACTGGATTACCTCAGTTTTTTTTTTCACCATCTCATTCATTAAAAGATTTTTCAAATTTCTTCCAGGTAACTTCAAAAACACTTCCGGTGATATGAAGTCCAAAAGTGACAAAAATGCAGCTTCTACTAAAAATTCAGGCGAAAAGACTGGTGATGCAAGGAATAACAGTCTTGAGGCCTGTAATTTCGGTGTAAGTGATATGATCATTACCTTTTCTTTTATTGTTTTCCTCTACTACGAGTTTTCTTATATTTGTACCTGGGCAGAATCAGGAGTTCTCAGTGAGGGGGCCTTTGCTGCCCCCTCCCCATCAAGAAGGTATCTGGAAGGCACTAGAAAACGGTCCACCCACCAAGGGAGATCAGTGGGACTCCTCAACTTCGATGGGGGATCTTGGGGGGGGGGGGCTTCGGAAAATTTTGAAAAATCGAGATGTCTCGACAAATTAATTAAGCAAGACTCTTCAAGTTTGTTCAGAAGGGCCAAGTAGATTTGAGTATTTTTGCCAGCTCCCCTAGTTCAGCGTATGCATGTATAATAACTTAAAAATAGACGATGTCAAGCATGATGGGTCTGTTGTGCTGGTCAGAGAATTGTGTTTGATGCTAGATTCTTGTAGATGAGCTAAAAATAATAAAACCTGTCCAAACAGCAACTCTATGCTAAGCATCAACGGAGATATTGCGCTTTGAAGAATTCGGTTTATGAGGTCATCCACCTAATCTACAAGGATCTAGCATCAAAAAACGATTCTGTGACCAGCGCAACTGACCCATTAACTGAAAATTTTTGCCTCCCAATTCACTAAATATAAATAATTCATGTAAATTTCAAAATGTTTAACTGTCACAACACGTTCCTTGTTTAAATTTTCTTTTCATCCTCTTTTCTTTTTTAAAAATTATCACATAATACTTTTACCTTCATATTTTATGAGGATTTCATGAATTAATTACACCCTCTCTCCATATAACAAATCCGCAAGAAACGGACTGAGTTTTCATTGAAGAGACATTTTTTTTAATAACAAGCTCCGCTCATCCGACATTGAAAGTTCTAGAGACTTTATCAGAGAAATGTTTGTTGTTATAAAGAGAAACTCCTGAAGAGCTCATGATTTGTGGCTAATTTTTTCCTGAAAAGAATTATGAAATCGGAAATGGCTGTTGAATTGCTCTTCTAGTGTCACTCAGTTGCTATTTTTAATTACTTTTTCCTCCCTCTTTTCTCCAAGTTTTATGTACTGTATGAAGAATCGATTTTCACAATTATTTTGCTTTTCAGAATGGAGACTTTGTAATAGTCAAATCTGATGTTCCACTAGATCATCCCCCACTGTGGCGTGCAGATGGCAAAATGTTGCTTCAGAAATTTGAAAGTTTTGAAAAGAATGGTGAATGGTTGCACAAGAATATTTCCACGGTAAGTAATAACTTATTCTATCCCTACTACGTCCTAAGTCTTATTGTTGAGTACTTTAAAGTTGTATGTACTCGAGAGAAGCGAGAAAAATGATGAAGACATAAGCTAAAATTAGTAAAATTAAGAACGGACCCATGTTTGCAGAGAACTGTTTCTCACCCATATTTTTTTACCTTAACCAATCTGAGTCTTTGAAAATGAAGGAAAGAAAGCCAAAGTCTGTCGAGAACACAATTTCAGTCGTAAAAAAGTTTGCCTTTTTAGGATGAAGTGAAGGTTATTTCCCTCCTTCAAAATAGTTTCAAGTTTTGATTCAGATTTTCGAAATTAGCGATTTTTTTCCCCCTGTATTTCACACGTTTCGAAGTGGCAAATCATTGCAGTCCCCTACAGAGGTCTATTTCCCATGTCAACCCACTTAATTTTACCAAGGGCTCGTAAAAATTGTCCTTCATATGTTATGCTGAAGGCCTCTATAATTACCATGTAAACCTCATGGGACCCCTTGAGAAAAGGAGTTGTTTAAGGAACGACTTTGAATATGACCCTTAATCTATGATCTTTTTTGCCCTTCAGTTTTCAGGATGGACTCTTCACAACAAACACAACTATGAGCCAGTATCTGTTAAAATAAGGCAAGTCACCAAACTGGAAACGATAGTAAAGTTTATTCGTCCCACTGGAAAATACACAGCTGCAGATAAGTAAGTCATTTGTTTACTTCACCATTTTTCTTCACCATGCGTAAATGAAGGACGCGTCTTAAAAATTGGTGTCCTTCTGCAAATTTGTTAGCAACCCAAAAGACTGGGAAAAGCTGTGGAATTTTGATGTTGGTCAGGGATTATTCGTAATTTATGTCTCTGCAGCATGATTTAAGCAGCAGCATTACCAGAGGTGATAGAAGCGGGCCTCAGTGGCATGTCTTGAAAGTTAAAACCGTATATTTATGTGTTTAGTAAAACATGTATTTCGGACGATCTGGAGAGTTGCTATTTTATTTCTATCTTATTCGCTTTAACACTCATTTCATTTGCCGCATCTCCTTCCAAACCTGTCTACTGGAAAACCGTTCAAAACTATGTTTCAACAGCTTTAGCAATTCACCATTTTTAGGTTCTTGAGTTTACAAGCTGTATTGCGAGTGAATGAAAAAGACAAAATGTCATGCGAAGGTTTCTTTTATACATCACAAAATGATCAAAACATACCAGAAGATCATGGTGTGTTCTTATAATTATGTGATGTAATGAATAGTTTTTAACATCTTGGTATGACGTTTTGTCCTTATTCACTTGTTTAAATTGCTTTTACGTTGCATCATACTAATTTACCAATTAGGGCTGTGCGAATAGTGAATTTTCCGAACGAAGCAAATAGCGAATAATTTCGGTAACTATTCGCGAATAGGAAGCGAATAACGAATAATTTATGTCAATTATTCACAGCTACGAATAGTAAAACGAATAATTGGAAATGACTTTTTGAAGTGTGAAAATTCGCGAATATTACAAAAGTCGACAAAAAAAAATGTGATTAATTTTTTAAGAATTTTCCATTTACTCATACGTCTGCACAGAAAACAATGAAATGCTATGATAGTAGCCTAGGCTGTTAAGAATTTGTTTGAAGATCTCTGGATGCTGGCTTGACTGTCCCTGCAGTTACGTATGCATTTCCAGGATTTGAGGGTAACTGCACGGGCAGTCAAGGTAGTATCGAAGGATCACCAGACACATTTTAGTATTTTATTTTTTTTTGGTGTAAATAAAAATGTGTTTATGAACTTTTTTTTTCCATTTCAGACATTTCTGTGTCTTTCAATCCTTAATTTGAGCTCTTTGCTTATTCCCCCAATCGCAATCGCGCTCGCTGTTCGTAAACTCGGCAAAGTCGGTGCAGATCACAGGAGATCCGCCGTTCGCGATGTCTCAGGTAGAAGCGGAAGCCTTGCGCAGGTCCTCGCAACGTTTCACGATTGCCACTCTAAAATTCGTTATTTTTGATGGCGCGAATTTTTGAAAATTCATTCCTCGCGACGGCGCGAATATTTGGAAATGTCAGTTCAAAAATTCACTATTCGCGACGGCGCGATTATTCGCAATTTGCGAATAGTGCGCGAAGCAGACGAAGCGATATTCGCCGAATATTCGCGGCGCGAATAGTGGGAATTGCGAATATTCGCACAGCCCTATTACCAATGCTTTGTGTTCTTTTTTTTTGCGGAAGTGCGTTTTGAACAGAAGAAAATTTTGTAGTTCAGTCAACAGATGTAGAACATATTTGCCAGTTATTCAACGTTTATTATACTTGGAGAGTCTCATGTTTACTATATTTTTCAAGGAATTTTATTTCCAGTTCCTCCTTTCTATATTCTAACTCTTTTCTAATTTTCTCTTTCAGCCAAAAAATTGAAGAACTAATGAAAATAACAAACAACTTTCAAGATAATTTTGAAGTGTATATTCAGACATTGATCTCTCAAGCTTTAGATTCAAGTTTTTTGAAAGAAATTCTCTCTGAGAAAGGTAATATATACGTTTTAGCCAACACTTAATTATTATCAATTGTTTTATCATTACTTCTTTCCGTTTTCTCCGTTTCTCAGTTGAGGATGCCTGTCAGTGTTAAATCTTTGTGTTGCTCCCTGTGGAGTCATGCCAACTATCTCTAAAAATTCTAAGCACTGGCACTCTAACTCCTCCTACATCGACGTAATTCTATCAAATGGAACTATGTGCATCAAGACATGAGCCCTGGGACCCATAAGAATATGTGTATAACAGGGCTCACGTCATAATGCACATAGTTCCGTTTGATAGAGATACATCCACATCATCACTGTATAACCGGATGATATTTGAAAACTGTTTCGTGAACAAGGAGCAAAAAGGAAAATACTAAATATAACAGAGTAAAATCTCAATCTATCAGATTAAGCTTGAGCCACTAAAAATTCTGATAAATTCAGTAGTTCTTTAAATTGAAGAATTTAGTTAATCACAATTTAAGATCGAAAAGAATTCCAAAAACCATTTATATAGCTATATTTATATAGTTTCTCATTTGGCTCATTTTGCAGTTATTTTAATCTACCAATTAAAATGTCTAACTTTTTGTCTCCTATTTAGCACAGCCGCACCTTGTCATAACATTTCTCAAAACTACATTTTCCTGGGAACAACGTTCATTTTTTCTAGTCCTGCTCAGCCTCTTCTAGTTGAGGAGCTGCTCGAAGTAGCGTTACGTTTCTCCGAAATTAACCTTCTATGTACTTCTGATTCCCCTCATAAACGTTTGAACGAGGTACAACTCAATCAAAGTAGAAGTGAATTTGATTAATTTTCTTTCTACCTCCTTACAGATGAATATTTCTTGACCAGTGTGAACGCAATCGATGAAATCACCCTAGATAAAACTAAAAAACTCATCCAACAGCTCAATTGGAAGAACGATCTGGTAACAGCTTTACAAACTTACCCCTGTTTCAACGAATTGACCAATCTCTCTCAAAAAGACCGAGAAAGCAGAATGTGTGTGGGGTGCTCTAGCGACCTTCTAATGTATCGCATTGTAGTCTATGGACTACCATATGATAATATAACATTAGCAGGAGTCACATCAACAAGCACTGCAACAAAAAAAGTAAGTATCAATGTTAAGTCCTTTGAATTTTGGTATTATCAAAGATTTCTTTCTTCTTATGTTGCACTAGTATGATTTTTAATGGTCTACATTTGCTGATTTATTCTGTAAAATACCTTTGTCTCAAACTGCAAAAGGTGTAAAATCTGATTTGTAAGTGTCTAAAAAAATGGACCACTGGAGCCTTGAGAGTTTTTTCTGAGCTCGAAAGTTTGTTTCAGAGATCACCAGTGGCAATATCGTGTTTCTTGCGCACTTTTACATATTAAGTACTTAAATTGTAAATTCCTGACACACACAGAAGCCCCGTTATCAAACACGACAATGCTAATTACTTACTTGTGAGTTAAATTTGGAATCTCTCAATGTATCTCCCATATTCTAGTCGAAATTTAATTAATAAACATGTATCATAAAACATCGCCTCTCATCATGTCCAGTAGTCCATCACCATTTTATTTCTTATCTTTCATTGTTTACTTTCCTGGGGAGATTCCATTTCACAGAGATAATAACTGTAGCTGTGTTCTTAAAAAATAGCTTTATAAGGGTATACATCGTTTCTTAGTTGTCAAATTCTTAAAACTGGCGCAAATTTAGCAAGCCTTCAACCAAGTAAAAGAAGACCCTAAAGTTTTTATGTGATACATTTTGTGGTTTAAATTGAAAAACACCATGAAGAGCTTATAATCTCATTGAATTCATTTTGTGCATTTCGCCTTATGCATTCACAGCTCATGCATATAATTTTGTGAAAGATGCAGGTTTTTTTTTACCCCCCAATTTATCTTGTGATTTGAAAGTTTACCAATTGTGGATCTGTTAAAAGGTGCATATCGTTTACAGTATCCCAAAATCATCGCCTTTGTTTTATCACAATAAAGGGGAACCAAGCAACCAGAACTGTTGCTTGCAATTTTCTCGGAATCTTCTTCTTACAATGAATAAAAATCAGGGTAGTTTTCAAGAAATGTCTTAATTTGTTTTCATTTAAAAAATAAATTATGACTGGAAGTATGCACTGCTGCCAATCAAGATGAGCGTTTCTGCAGTCTCACGGTTAATTTGATCTGATCTGAGGCAGCATAAAATTCATCTCAATAAGGCTGCAAGAGACTGTCTTTAGAATAAATAAAAATTTTCCATAATAAATCATAGTAACTTTTGCACAACCTATTTTTTCTCCTGTCGACACTATTTGATGAATCCTTTTATTTTACTCGCTCCCTAGGAATATCTCATGTGTCAAGATTGTGATGGCAAGTTACGTATCTTCAACAAAGTTGCACATCAAAAATACCTGATGTTCATGGAATCCTCCAAAATGGTCGCTGCCAAAAAAGCAGAAGATAGTTCCAAAGATACAGCAGTCATTTTGAACGAGTTACTGGCAGATGAAGAATGGTTACATCAGGTACGTGTTTATCGTGAGAGGAGTGAATGCAAAGGAAATATGATACCATCAAGTGATGCAGCCACAGTACTTTACATATATAAATTCATTGCAGGACATTATAAGTAATTTTATTGCGATAAGTCGTAGGTTGTCACCCCACTCTACTGGCTCCACGCTCACCACTGTGGCTGTATTGAAATTGAATGGACAATTAGGTTTACGTCCCTGCTGCACTCCATGACATCAGTCCAGGCTTTTATTTCAAACTTGTGTCTAGAAAAGTCATGAATCTTTTACACTCAATTTTATTATTATTTGTTTAGTCAATATATACAAAAAAAGGATAAGATACACTTCCTGACTTTTCATTTTACCGTAAAAGAACAGCAATAAGTAATTTAAAAATTTGTCGGCTTCAATGCAAGATAAAAATCTGCAGAAGCAACTCTGCTTATTTTTACGCTTTGCTGATGTAAGGGCCCAACTTTATTTTTTTAGACAAGTCCTATGGACATTCTCTGCTCTGTTGCAACATAAGTTTAATTCGGAAAATTGTGAAAATTGAGTTTGATCCTGGTTCAATGTGTAGAAGACTAGAAAACATTGCAAAAACACCGGGAAAATGAGAATTTTGAAAATCTCTTTTAGAAACAGAAGTTGCATCTCCAGTGGAACTGGGACGTCTACAAAGCAAGAAAAGTACAAATGCTCTTGGCTCAGTAAGAAAGTTGCTTCTCCAGCGATCACCCTTGGGGTTGCAACATATATCTCTTGAAGGCTAATACTTAATTGTCGTAAATTTATTTTTCACCTTTTCACAGGTCTGGGGCTAAAACTTTCGGAAGTAAAGTTTTACAAAAATAAAGGATGTTTCCAAATTTCAAAGTTAAAAAAAAAATTGAGTAACTTTAATCATTGCAGTAAAGTAAATTTCTCAGTTTTACATTGTGTATACAATAAATACCCGCAGGTAGTGTAATGAAAAAAAAGAAACATTTTCATGTGATCTTTGACTCAAAGAAATATGGAAGTTAAGTACTAAATCTTGAATGTACTTTTCCATCAAATTAATGATCTTCTAAGACATTGAATGTTTGTTTAATTGGCAAGTTTTACGATTTGTTCTTATAAAACTATGGCTAAGTGTCATTTGTGATGAATTTGAAATTCAATTTTATTTTGTCTGTTTTTATGTGTTCACAGTTGTTCAAAAAGGTGCAGAGAAATTGGGCTGAAATAGATTTAATGGAGCTGAAGAGCAAAAACCAAAGTGGAATCTAAGGCTCTGTTCAAGCTAGCTACGCTGACTTCAGGAGTAATCTCAGGATGCTGAAATAAGCCAACTTGCGATATCACATTTTATCTTACTATCTCATTTCCTGGTGATTACATTTTACCTAAAACTGTAGCAAGCTACGAGCAGGAATATTTCTTTCCATTAAATTTGAACGCCATAAGTTAATCTTGTGAGAAAATAAGGTCGCTGAAACTGATGAAATCGTAGTGGAGTCATCAAAACATTACTTAATCTTCAAGTTTCCTCTTTTTTCATGAGGAAACTGCATTTTGTGGTCAATAATTACCCCATAGTCAGGATGCAAGTCCAGCAGCAAGTTCTAGTGTCATACGAAATAGAATTTGCCTCCTTCTCTGACCTTTGACTTTTTTTTTTTTTTTAGCTTTGACTGTGTTTCGACACAATTGATGTAACAGAAGTTATGAATAGATGAAGTCAGAGTCAATTGATACAATGTTACTGCAGGTCAGGGTCATATTCATAGTTGTTCCTTGTGCAGCTCCTTCCCTTAAGGAAACCCATATGTTTACTTTGCAATTAAGTAAGGTTGAAGGATATCCTAAACACAGCATCCTCAAAAGGACAATTTCTGCAAACATCCAGTTAAATTCAGCACTACAACTTTGGAAATTGATCCTTAGAAGGGATTAAAATGGTTCGCCATTGCAAAAAATACAACATATGGAAGGGGAAATTTCTTCAATTTTGATGAACTTCAAGATAAGTGCAAATCTACTTTAACACTTACAAAACTTGCATTATATTTTCTTCCGTGTTTTCTACTTTTTGCAATGGCAAATCATCGTGATCTCTTGTAAAGATCCATTCCCTCAGTTATTCTAGAGCCCGTTTTGGATAACTTGTCTTTCTTTGTTGTATGCATGGAAGAGAGAATTCCCTGTTCTACGCCTACGGCGGAAAAGGACAAGTTATGAGAACCGCACTCCACTGAATTTAACCTGAGGTTTGCATAAATCGCCCATTGTATGATACTGTGTTAAGGATTGCCTTCAACCTCCCTTAATCGCAATGTATATCACCTCCTTAGGAAAAAAGCTGTTAGAGGAACGACTATGAACACCTACAGCCCTTACTCTTTTATACTTAAGGAGTTTATCGTGCATTTGTAATTATTTTCTCCGCATGTACCAGAGACTCAGTTATCATTTGCTCAGCAGGCTGATTATTTTCGCGTCGATATCTGAATCGATAACTTGACAAAATTCATTTAACGATCGACCAGTAGACCATCGACACATAGTCGACGTGATTATTTTGCCGCATTTATCGATATCGTTAACAGGATAAACGGTTGCAACGTTGCCGTCGTGCAAACAAATAATCAACCTATCACAGACCGTCTACTGGTCACGTGATTGGCTGCCAGCGCTGCGGCTTGGAGCCGCTGCGGCGAATTTCAGAACTAACTCTATTTTGAGGTTATGTTTACTTCGAAATGGAACGATAGCCCGGGGGGCAACCTTTAGTTAACGACGCATTTATCGACCGATGCGGCGAAAATAATCACTCGGTTCTTGATCATGGCGATAACACGACTTTTAACGATATGATTCGGATATCGACCCGAAAATAATCGGCCTGCTGGCCTATCTATTCTTCCGTTCGCGCTGCATCTTAACTGACAAAGATTGCTCTCCCCTTAATCATTGTTTTCGTTTTTATTCTATCATCGTGCTATACAGTCTCATTATTTGTATTCAGTTAATTTTTCTTCACTTATGTTATTCTTTAATGAAGCATTACAATTTTTTTTTACATTTTATAGTATCGCTTTGAAAATTTCATTGAATCATAGAATGTGTAGGAGCTCAGTGTTGAGCATTTTAAGCAGCTCTGTCATTCTTGGTTAAGAAGCCGGTATAAAAAATTGTTGTTTCATCGCAAAATGTGTCTTGATTGTGGTAATCCCAATACTTAACTATTTTTTTCATATTTTTTTCTGGCTTTGTATAGAATCCATTTTATTTTGGTTTGGAAGAAACACATAAAATTTAGCTCCTTTTTCCAGCCTATTTGCAGGAAGCTTGCAACTAGTATAATGCAAGTCTACTGTCTCTTAATGAATTGTTCTAAAAAATTTCAAAAATGCTATGAGGTATCTTTCAGTTAAACAGTGGATAGAGTTGAGTTTTTTTAATTCAATGAGAATTATTAAATATTCTCCCTAAAATCTTGTCTGATTGAATTTATTACAACACATAAAAGTTGGTTCAGGAACAAACAGAAATTTTCAACCAGCTTGAAAGACTTACTTTTACCTGAACATGTTCATATTTATTCAAAACTTAAAGTATTTTGCAACATTTTTTTTAAAATCACCAGCCAACCTTTTCAAGGTTGCATTTTTGTTTGGAAAAAGTGAGGTGAGTTTTTATTTGTTTGCTTTCACTTTTCGCCATTGTCCTTTTTTTTTTCTCTCTCTCTCTCTCCCTTATGTACTTCTTCCAGATGTATTTAATGAGCGGGGCTCTAAAATTAGGACGTACAAAGTGTAACAATTGAAAGCATGAACGGTTACGTCTCTCTTTTAAGAAAATAAAAAAAGTGTTTCACTTTGTTTTTAGATCCAGAGATTCTTTGTAGCCTCTGCTACACTCAACTCATCTTTCACTGTAATCTAGAAGAAATCCTGCTTTAAAGTTGGTTTGCTTAGGTCTTTTCATACGACAAGATTTTTCATTTCATTTCTTTTATTTCAATGTGATGAGCAACTCTGCTTCTCGTACTTAACATGACACTGTGCAAGGTCCGTCTGATTTGCTGCATGAGAAAAATTGGTACTGCTAGGTAAAAGATGCATGATATGAAGCACGTCAGGGCAATTTTTTTAAGTATTTGAGACTCCATGAGGAAGTTTTAAAGCTTCAGTAATTTATTTCTCAACATTATTCAGTGTTGTCTCTTTTTTTTCTTTTGTTTTTTATGGTGCTACAAGTTTTAGTTTTCTGTAGGATAGAGAAGGAAATAAGAGAAAAATCAGTATTCTTATCTCTAGTTTACCTAGTGTTTTATTATCTTTTTTTTTCTTTTTGTACATAATTCTATTATTTTTTAAGGCTACTTGATTTTAAATCCAAAAAGGTTAAAAACTGAATATTTAATTCTCATTACTTCTTATTTATTTTTTCTTGAACCCTTGTTCCTTCTTTATTTATTTTTAAAATAAATTTTCAGAGCATTTTATCGATCAGTAATGTTTGGTAGCAGCATAATGTCTCAATTGTTGTACCTCCATCTGTCAATAATTTCTTTCTCTCTTCTGTAATCAATTTTACTTTCAAACCAGGTAGAAGCAGTTCTCAATTGACTCAAAATGCCAGAATTATAAATAATCAATGTTATAATTTCACTAATAAATTGTGCCATTCAAAATGAATAAAATGCAGGGTTTATATTACCCAAGTCATTGATTTAAAAATACATTTGCGTAATTTAGATCTGATCCATCTTCAAGTTAATGTATTTATGAAGCAAAATATGCGATTATGAGATTTTCCTCCTAAACTTGCTAGTTTAACTCTCTTCAATAACTACCCCCGGTTAGCATGTAAGAATATTCCTGAAAATTCGTCCTCATTTTAAGTCATGAGACAACTATCCCGGTTTTGATCCTGATTAAATTAGATCCATCCATCAGGAGAAGTACACCATAAAGTAACTTATCCTTAGACAAGATATGAATAGATAATTGAAGTAAGTAAAGTGAGTAATGGAGCAATTCGTTTCATTTTTAGAGCACTTGAAATTCCAAGCTGCAACAGACTTCAAGCTAGTAAGTAAGTTTTAGTAGACACCTCATTAAAATTAAACCATGAAAAGAAAATGGCGAAAAACTCATTTTTGTAATTATGTAAACCTTTCCAGGAGTATGTCCTGAAGAATAAAAAATTAACTCTGGTGCAAATTGATGAGGGTAATAAATCACTCCACTAATCATTAGTAGTAAAAGTTATGACCAAGATTTAATTTTTTTCCAATTCCAAGGACTGGCTGGTCGGCTTGTTTGAGAATTCACAACTTTGTCCAAATACTTAAAGCCATTTTGTTAACTTCTCCCTTACATAGGCTTAGCTCAAAATTTCTCAATTCAGTGTACGCCTGTAAGTGAGCTATGACAGGGACAGGCCTAAGGGATAAAAGACCAAGACAAAGTTTGCGGAGCTACCAAACAAGCCAGCCTTTCGGTCAATTTGCCAACTTCATGTCTTTTCAGTTTCCTTTTATGTAACAAGTGTCTTTCTGATGCAAAAAGCAAATGAAAGAGGAACTCTGCTTAATATGTTTGAAACAAGGTTGTTGCAAGTTAATAACTTGAATCATTTTTATGTATGTACTAAGACAGTAGGCCACAAATCATTCATCACTTATTTACTAGTTACCTTCATTATGTTCCGATCTTAAATTACTTTTATTTGTATTACATTTTCTCCTCATTCTATTTTTTTTTTTTCAGTTTAAAAGCAAAACGTTGCAAGTGAAAATGATTGTGAAATTTAAAGACTTCAGCTTTTTTTTTCAATTAAAAGAAGAGATGCATTATGTTGCAACAATATCTGGAAATCAATACAGGATATTTTTTATCATTTGTAGAATTCGCGACAGATAAGTTGGCAGTTGCATACTTTCCGTTCACAAGCAACTGTGCTGCTGTTGTCCTACAGCAAGCAAGGATTGACCAGGAGCCACAACGATGCCCTTGTGTCGTTGTGCGCTGATACAGTAAACCAAAACCTTCCTGAGCGGGGATATTGCCAAATCTGTCTACTGTGCGTGTCAGTGAAAAGTGAACGATTGCTAACCGATCAGATGCAAATTCTACCTTGCTAGAAATCCCAAAAGGAGTGAATAATCTCTTGTTACAATCATCTCTAGACGAATTATAGTTTTTGTACTTTTCTCTTTATCGGAAATTTAACCTTAGTTAAGTATTATTATCACTGATACTTAGTTTCTCATGAATTTGAACAGTGCTATGATTATTTCATTGTAAATATTAATACTAAATGTAAATAGGAAATTACTTAATTGTATCAGGGTGTAAAATATATCTGTGCAATTTAGTACTGGAGATAAAATTTTTCATCCAATTTTTCCCTCTCAAGGCTGTAATTTTAAGCTGTAGTGATTTGTTCGTGAATCCTTGATCGGTAAGTATTGCTAATTGGTCCATTTATAACAAATGAATGCAAACTTTCTCCTGAAACTCAATACTTTCAAATGAGAAATGTTCGTGTTACCATCTGCTACAGCTATATTAAATCAAGATCCATGCTTTAGCCAGGTTTTTGTGTTGTGTATCAGTGACTTAAATTGTAAACAATTTCGAAATACTCTAAGCAAATATCCCTGTGTAATTATCTATGCTTGTACATAATACATCCTTTAGTAATTGTTAAAAAGATTTTTTGTACATACCCTCTTGTGTGGAAAGTGAAGGAGAACGTTAAAGTAGCTCTCTCATTTCCTTAACTTCTAGCTTTCTTTATATTAAAGACAGGGTCTAAGTCCGAATTCCTTCAAGACAAGTTTTCTTTCTCTTGGCTTTCTCTCTAATTTTTTGAGAAAGAAATCTTAAATTTCCTACCTACTTTTGGGGCAAGCAAAAAGGCATCTCTTCATAGTTTGTAGAATGCTTAATCATTGAACATGGAAATATGTCAAGATACTTTAACCTATGGCTATTCCTGGAGACATACATCGGTTGGAGTGTCTCAAAATCTCTGCTGTTCGAATTTTCTATGAGAAAAGAAATAAATTCAATTGTCTTAGAAAAATTCTCACAGAGAAAAAAGAAATTATGGAAGTTCTTAAATAAAATGATGTGAATCAATTTGCATCTGGAAAAAAAGGATGATCACCACTGGTAATTTGCAACGTCTTTTACTGAGGTATGTAAATTCAGAGTTCAGCCATCTACAAACATAATATTGTTATTTCTCGCCAAATATTGTAGAGTTGATGCTTCAGTTACTCTAGTTAACTTTAATCGGTTAGTTCTTAGACAGAATTCACAACCAACCCATGATTGAAATTTTTTCTTAGTCAATGGAACCTAATATAATCCATAAAAATCGTTTGATGACATTTAGCTAGCTATCAGTTCTTTCTAGTTTAGTTGATTTCAGTCGAAATTTCAATCCAATGAGCAAGTAACAAGATTCAAACAATGATTGCTACCTTTCTATTTCATTATTGTCAAATTATGTTCTGTCAACTAAGACAAAAGGAATCGGCAAGCCTCCTAGGGGAATTTCTTGTCTTCTGGTCGACTTTGATATAACTTATGCATGTTTCACTTTCTTCATCATGCAGAAGAAAAGTTCTCCTGGAGGCTGGGAAATTCCATGAGTCATTTTTTAGTTTTTCTTGCTGTGCGGTTTAAACTAGCCCAAAACAAGTAATAGAAATATATGAATAGTGGCAAACGATGAGATGCTAATATGTTGAAGCTCTGGCCTTAAATGAGCCTTGAATCTAAATAATAAAGTTACTCAACTTTTTCAGAAAATGCATTTTAGGACGAGACTCCTTCAAAATGACCAATATCACAATATTTTTGAAAATTGTCACTCATCTCATCCACCTGCAATAAGCTTCATTTGGGTGTGTTCACAGCATCTCTTGCTTGAATTCTTAAGGAATGAGCGACATTGGCTCATAATTGGTCACTCCATTTTCAAATATCTCCGATCATTGAGTTAATGAAGGGCTCCGACTCAAGTGCTTTAATAGAAGAATTTTTGGTTGAAATCAATTATTTGGATTTGATAGTTAGGAATATGTGAGGAAGTTCTTTTATTAGCTTCTCCTGTTGTTGCAATAGGTTTGCTTGCCCTGAGGGTGATGTGTATATAATCTAGCAACTTTCTTCGTTAAAATGTACCTATCCCTGATGATTGTCTCGTGAAATATATTTTATGTAATCTACTTGAGGTTGTAAATATATCTCATTTATTTATTTCTTATCAAGTTGTGTAGATCGTCGAAACTTAATTTATTGAATTAGGATAGGTAATGCAAATAATCCGCAATATAGCCCAAGATTTGCATAATGTGATTAAGTATAAGCAGGTCTTAGAAGCAAATCTTTTTTTTCCCCTTTTAATTTTCATCTTAAAAAATGTAAATAATAAAAGTATTCAGAAACGAGTGCACTTTCAAAGTGCTTTCTTTCAAAGGAAGTGTCTCAAAGTAATAAATTTTATTATGGAGAAGGAAGAAAATACTTGCAAATGAATGCTAACGCAAATTCTGTTAAATATGTAGGTATGTAATTGAGAATATTTTTGTTATTTTCTTAATATGTTTTATAATTCTTTTAATATTTTTTTAGTTTCTTCTTTAAAACTAAAATTTTTTTATCTAAACTGTTCTTTGTTATCGACTTATCAAATCTCCTATTTTTAGTATTAATGTTCAATTTAATAAAGACTTCCAAACTTTCATGTACACGCAGCGTTTTTTTTTCTCTCTCTCTCTCTCTCTCTTTCCCTCTCTCTCTCTCTCGTTCCAACAAAATTTCAACTTCCCAAAAAATCATTTGACTTCGAAGTAGGAAGACTGAACTACATGATGATGACATTCAGCCAAAGTGAAGAGGAAGAATCTGTGAGGGGAAGATTAGGTGCTCTCTAAATACCACCTGACGGAAGAGGTAATCAGAGAAGATGACCGCAGTTGAAATAATGTGAGGGGTTGGCAGTGACACCCAACCGCTATATGGAGGCTGTATCGTTTATTATTTAATGATATGATAGTGAAGGATAAAGTTTCCAAGCTTTCAGTAAGAAGCATTTTTCGACGGAAAAATCGCGATAATTTGAGGATAAAATTGTTGGCGGTTAGCTTGCTAGGATCATCATCATCTGAGCGATTATCCTCAATCTCATTGCAATTTTATCTCCTAAAAATCACGTTCAATATAATCAAAATCTTACCCCAATTTATCACAATTTTTGGTCCGATAATATTGCGATTTCATTGCAAACTTGTGCGATGAAATCGCAATTTTTTATCGTAGTATATTGCAATAAATGGACGTCTTTCAAATTGCTTTACATGCTATGATCAAATTGCAACCTGGGTTACTTGGGAGGGTATGGTAAGATGCAGCTGTCTTTCACCAGACAATTTGTCCAGGCACAAGGTTGGACTTTTTTTTAGTCCCCTCTAAATTCCTTGTAGACTGTTAAAAATGTTTGCATTACAACGCTTCTTATCATATTTGGAGATCTTGGCCCTGAACGAAGAAGAAAAGGAAGTATCAAGTGCTTGGCATGTTGAATTCTGAACTGAGACAAGTGACCCAACTAATCTTGTCTTTTAGTTGAAAGCATGTCAGTAAATAAGGGAGGGGAAAGCAGTATCGATATGACTAAATTTCTATCAACTCTCTCTTTTTAGTCTGGAAAGAGACTACATATCTACCAAAATAGTTTTAGTTCATATTTTTAGTGACATACTTTTCTGTAACTTCATCTTAAAATCATGCGTGAAGCAAAATTTCGAAACATTTTCTCCAACTGATGTCAAAACAACGTTCAAAAACATGGTTCCAATTACTGTTTTTCTTGATGTAAGGCTTCATACTTTCAATATCTTTCAGAAATGGTATAAATCAAGGTCGGCTGCAGAGTAAAATTTCGCATCATCAGGATCAAATGGACTGATGATGAATTGATGAGTTCAGCAGAGAGGAACCGAGTCACTAATGGATAAAATAAGACAGAGAGGTTCCAAGTTCTCTTTCTGTGTAGGGTTAAAAGCGAGACATATGAATACACTAAGTCCTCGTTTAGAACATCAAATGTTTTTCAAGGGCTCCGATTTTTTGGCAGGAGAAAATAGGACACTGCATAGCCAAGCACAAAATCAGTCATGGCTCAAGTTCCTCTGAATGTAAGACTTTGTTCGTCTGTACCTCAGGTCAAATATGACGCCAGAATATTAATTAATCCATTAACTCTTAACTGTAGAGGCAGACAAGAACATTCTCAAGTAGGAAACATTCGTGGTAGGCCTTGGTCAATCAGGGTTTGAGTAGGTTACACTTCGTGCGGAATCCGCTGAGGCAGGAAGAGAGAGGCCGTTTCAAGATTGTTCCAGCAAGTTTGAAAGTGGACCTGACTTTAAAGTTCCAGAACATCAGCTTTTGGAGGAGTTACAATTTGTGGTGATGAAAAACACGGTCTCATATGAGCAGCGGTGAGGCTCAGTTATTTTTCTCTTACAGCTTCGTTTTCCAGTTGAAAATGAAGTTTTAATACTACTCTGAAACGTCCGGGGTTTTTTATTTCACGTATTTGCAGCACTAGTCCCATTTAACGTCCATTTTGTGGTAGTGTCAGGCGAAAGGGATCTTACAGTAAGGGGTATAGAGGCTTGGAGGATAAAGTGCACTAAGTGCAGATTTTAAACGAATTGAGTTACTAATAAATTTAACTAAAACTAGTCGTAAAATATATACTCTGAAAAATTCACTCTCAAATTTCCATTTTTAACCATCAAAAAGAGAGTTTGAACCATCTTTTGGCTACAAGGCTTCATGCAGTTTTGAAACTTTCCTCAAGAATTTTTCAAAATAGCAAAAACTGTACTTAAATGCCTTGGCCACCAAGCCCCTTTAATAAGAGCTGTACCAGAGGCTAAGGTTTGTTGTTTATCATTAGATGCCCAAAAATTCCATATACCTATAAACTTGAAGAAGTAATTCAAAATTTGCAATTGCAAATCGTGAGAACTTGTTCCTCTGAACACTAATAAGACAATGAGAGCCCAAATTACAGCTAGACAGTTTGACCTAGTGTTTCTGAGTATAGTAGCAAGTGTTGAGAACCAAATACTAGGAAACAGATTTCCACACAACATAAATGGAACAATTTGAGTTCTCACTATAAGAGCTCTTTAGCCAGACTCTATTCGCAATGCTGATGTATTCCTCAGCACAACAGCTGACATTAGGAGGCAAACGAATGAGAATGTATTGGACCATTGGGTGAAAAATACAGAATACTCTGAACCTTGACAAAAATGCTGTGACCATGCAACACTTGCCACTTACAAAAGGAGCCTCACTTCTTTTCAACTCAGGTGAAGATAAACTTTTTGGTCCCTTAGCAAATGGAGGTTGAAAATCTGATATCTACTGGCAATTAATTGACTTGGGGGGAGGTAAAGAGGAAAGAATAACGATAATAATTTCATTAAATAAAAAATATGAAATTCCAAATTTATTCAGTACGCGTTGGTTGATGTGTGAGACACCGCAAAGATGATGGGTACGGTCATTCCATAATCAAATGTTTGTATATATATATATTCATATAGAAAAATACAAATATATATACTTAAAAAAAAATTAAAAAAACTGGGTAAAATATACAGCATAAAAAATAAATAAATTCACAGATTAAAATCATTTTGCTGCCCAACTTGTAAGAGGATTTGAAATTTTTTTTTGATAAGATCGACTTAACAACATTGCATCTGATGACCTAAAGATGTACGAGAAGAAAGAATGAACATTACCAGGAGTTAAAAGAGAGTTTCTCTTACAAAAAAAGAAAATTATGAACATTCGTATCTATGTAAATATATATATATAACAGAGTACAACATGGAAAGTGTCAAATAAAAAAAATCATGCTTACAAAAATTCGAACAAAAATGATTTTTATGCCTGGATCGAAGGCAAAAATTAAAATAACAAGCCTATAATTTGTCTAGGTACTGTTGTAAATCAGGAAGTCCTTCCTTCAATCCCTTTCGCTTCCTTGTTTCGTTGACAACGGCGTGTGGACGAGAGTTGGGTTCGAGTGGGTCACCAGGTAAGATTTGCCAGTGGTCGAATACACACTGTGGGAAAGCTTGGCCTCCAGTATTACTTCTCAAGTCAGCGGTAAAGCCAAATGATTCATTTACGGGTAGATACGCCTTTACGATGAACATAGGAGTACCAGCTATTTGCATTTCTTCAAATACGTGACCTCGCCTTCTATTTAATACACCATAAATACCTCCAACAGCTACTTCAGGACACTGAAACAAAATTAAAGCTTAGGTAAGTAATAAGCAACGAATTGAGAGTCAGGAACGCCACAGAGGTCTCTAAAAGTTTAAGTTATAGTGTATATTTTTCAGCTTGTAATCGAAGTTCACACAGAGATAGAATTGTTATCCTGGACCAATAAAGTTCCTAACACCAGGTCAGTTTTAACACTAGTCACTAAATCACTATTTATCTTTTGCAAGACATAAAAAACGGACATGGAGTTAAAAAATACCTGGAGTGCCAATTGCTCACCTAAAGACAACTTTTACTCCTTATCAACTTTGAAGTTTATACATGTCCTTACAGCAGCCAAATATCACTCAATTTACAAGGATGGACTATAAAGTTGATTTAACTTTTTCTAATGTTCCGTGCAATTAAAATTTTGAAGCTTGTCCGCTGAGGGAGAGTTTGATGCATTTACACCAAACAAGACTACACGGAAAAAAATAAATTACTGATTCAACAATTTAATTGCTAAAAACAGCGAGTGCAATGTTTCAATGTAGATTTTACAACAAAAAAATGCTACTCTAACCACATTGTAAACTAATTTAACCACGGGGGTGGGTAAAGTAACATTTTCCTGTTGTAAAATCTACATTGAAACATTGCACTCACTGTTTCTAGCAATTGAATTGTTGAATCAGCAATTTAATTTTTTTTCGTGTATCTGCAATGAGTTCCCTATGAGATTGTTCTTTTATTGCGTAAATAAGTCCAGTGTAAGCAATATTGATTAAATTAATTATCAATGAAGTCAAAGAGGGATTGAATTGAAGATGAGTTACAGATGCGTTGCTGACATAGAGGAAGAGGAGTTTCACTCCGTACAAGGATGATCTTCAAAGGCTAGTACAATGACACCAGAGGAGGAGGGGGGGGAATAAAAAAGACAAGGATGAGACTATTAATTACCTGAATTTCACACTGGTACACAGGCTCCATAAGACGGGGCGAAGCTGTTAACAAACACGCATACAAGCAACGACGGGTGGTGGGGATAATCTGACCACCTCCTCTGTGAATGGCATCAGCATGAAGTGTTACATCATGAATGTTGAATCTAACGGCACGCAAGTTCTCCTCAGAAAGTACACCTTCTTTTGTAGCCCATTGGAAACCGGCCACAACTGAGTCTTTGATTTCGTTCAGATACTGGACTCCCTTGGTACAATCCACAAGGAGATTGGGACCACTTCCGTCAGGACCGAAAGACCAGATTTTACGTGCTTCAGTCACATCGTATTCATACTTCTCGGACAACACACGAGCACGACTCTTGAAATCGTCTCTTGGATTAACTTCACCCTGGGGAGGAGATACAACAAATGATAAATAATACACATGTGCAATGAGCAACCTATCTGGCATATTAGCTACTTCTGATGTTTTAAGTTATCATCGATTTTGGATGGCTTGTAGACAACTGAAATAGCCTCACTCATAACTAGGGCCTGAACTAGCTATGCATCATCTTCATTGATCTAAATCTAAAGAGCCCTGCTGAACAAAGCACTGCCAGCTGTAAAACCGGATAAGCTAAACTTCTTCCTCCTGGGTAAAATATTCATGAGGGGAAAACATTCTTTCTCTCTTTCAATTTATTAATTGGTACACAGGAAATGGAATGTCCTACACGGAGTTTTGGAGAGATGTCTTTCAATATCCGTGTCCTAAAATAACCTTCCAATCCAAGAAAACAGAGAAACTAACAGGACTGAAATAAATAATAAGGAACAAGAATACCGGTTAATTAGAGAAAAAACAGCAACTACTTGAAAAAAAAAAAAATGAGGTAATTGAAAACTAATTGGTTTTGGTAATATATATTTAAAGAGAATTGAGGAATTTTAAGAGATCGAGAAACAAGGATAGGTGGACTAGACTGGAGGATATCTAAAAAAGTATTTGAACCTGGCGATTGTGGCTCTCAACCTAGGCTTGTGGCGTTGAGTTGGACATCAAGAGACTGTGTCCATGGAAGAGTAAAAACTAGGAAAAAGATGAACTAGTAGTTCATGAAACTAAAGCAGTAGAAAGGAGTTTAATGATAAGGCAACAAAGAAAAATGATGATCAGTGAACTTACGTTGTCAATATCTTCAGCAAGACCGTCTGGGAAAGGTTGGGCCTTCATGAAGAAACGGTTGTGCTTGTTGGGCGATTTGCTCAGACACATTTGGTCGGATTCTTCCGAAACAGTCTCACGGTATGACACAACAGGATCTGATTTCTTGATTGGGACGCAGGCATGATCTTCTTCCAAATCCTACGGAGCAAAAAAGAAAATAACATGATCTAAATTTTAAATGTGAACAAACACATAAGCACAGCAGAGAGATGCCAACATATAATATTGTTTTGTCCGGCAGCCTCAGAAGCTTCAACACCTAGTTAATTTTTTTTTTTTGGGTTCGGCAGACTACTCTGGGTATTCAGCCTGAATTTTGATGGGACGATTCCTAGCTAAATAGAACGGAGACGAATACAGCTTATGACCATCTGCCCTTAAACTGGTTCTAATTTTGGCATTTTCAAAACAGGGTATCTTTGCCAATAAAGGTTTAAAAAAATCTGAAAAAATTCCTCAAAGCTAAGTTCAGTCATAATTTCAAATACTGAATTTTAAAAAAAAATAGGTGCCGATCTAACTACAACCCATAAATATTCAATAAGTCACCCAAGTTTTCCAAAAAAAATCACAACATTAGATTTACATCCGTGAAATTGGCCTCCTTGAATTAAAGTACGTCACTGGACATTCACTTTCGGTCTAAAGAGAGGGAGCACACGAAAATAAATGCAACTGAATTGGGAAAATTTTCTTACCTTCAAACAAATTTCTAAATGTAGCTCACCAGCTCCAGCAACGATGTGTTCACCAGACTCTTCAATTATACATTGTACCATAGGGTCTGATTTGGCTAGACGTTTGAGACCTACATCAAACAGCAAAAAATTACTTAGCAGATATGAAACTACCAAATAATATCAAGGTTGAGTATACCGTATTTACCCACGTATGGTACGCACCCCAAGTTTTGGGGTCCTTCAAAAAAAAAAAAAAAAAAAAAAAAAACCAGGGGCATCTTATCTTGGGGCAATACTCAGGTATTGTACGCACCCTTGATTTGAGAGCCAAATTTTTTTTAAAAAAAGGTGCGTATGATACGCAGATAAATGCGGTAAATCTTTTCAATAAACTGCTGCAGGGAGATCACCATGGATTCAACTCCAATGACAAGATAATTCTTTGAAGACATTGAGGGTACTTAAGCGAAAAAGAACTTTTCTCCATGCGTACTGAAACAATCTTCATGGTTCTTTTGAGAGTCGTTAAATCACTATTAAACACCATGAACATAAGTCAAGAAACATGGTTTTAGGCCCTCATAAGTGCAATTTTTATTCTCAGGCATAACTATGTAACTTGGCAATTTATCATTCATTATCAAAAGGACTTGGGCACTGAAAATTACACTACAACAAAAACAGTAAGAACTATACTGATTGACCTTTTTTAAATCTAAGATTCGGTGATAATGTACTAATTCAAATAGAGGCTTTGATACTTTGGAGCTATGAGATTTGGGACAGGACAAATGAAACGGTTTTTAGTGTTTGACAGATTTTTTAATTCTGGATATGAAGTCCTTCTCAGAAGGACCAATTCAATTATAATTGAACTTGGCACCTTTGTAAGTGGTACTGATCGGGCTAAAAAAGAAATGAACTGATATCTGAGCATAATTACCTTCCACAAGCTTAGGTAAATCAGCTGGATTCTTGGGCTCCACAGCAACTCGCACAACAGGGGAAACACTGAATTTCATAACTCTCATGTTGTGAGCATCCTTGAATGTGGAGATAGTTCCGGTTTTCACCAAGAATTGATCCACTCCGACTAAACCACAGATGTTACCGCATGGTACATCTTCAATGGCTTCAACATAACGACCCATCATGAGGATTGTTCTTTGGATTGCTTTTTCATACAAGTCTTCCTTCTTGCCAGGGACATAGTTTGGTCCCATGATACGGCACTTCATACCTGATGCAACCTAAATTCAGAAAAAAAATCGGTGAAATTGCAGTGTGAGAAAAGTCTAGTAGAGTTTTCTTTCCATGCATTAACACTACAATCCGAGGATTATGAGGAGAGCACGAAAAGTTTAATGGTCCAAGGGACATTTTTGGCTCTCATGGAACCTCAAACAGATTGAGAGTCTTAATCTTCGGTTTAAATTCAATAGGTACTTCGAGTATTTTAAATTGAAAACCAATTTTTAAACCAATTCGAAACTAGGGATTTACGTTGTATAGCATGGTGTAGAACAGGGATGCAGATGGCAGGAAGTTCCACACCGATTTAGAGCTTTCTGGATTCCTCTGCTAACGGTCTTCTTAAAAAGAGCCCCTGAATAGCGCACCTAAAAAAAGCCTCTCTCCGCCAGGAGACCGATCAGCATGTAAAAGACATTATAATATCCCATAAAATATGGACAAAGCAAAATAAGTAAAACATACCTTGCCAGCGAAAACACGTCCAAAGGCGTAGAATCTACCCTTGTCAGAAGTCGGTACCATTTTGGAGATGTACATCATAAGAGGAGCGTTGGGGTCGCAGTTCTGAAATCAGCATGAGAAACTTTGTAAGGAATATGAAATCAATCAACCCTACTTTCAGGATAAAAATAGCACTTCGAATTTCTAAGCTGGGATAAAAAGTCAGATTAGGTCTTCCAAACAAAATAACTCTCCTCCTTGGCAGAGTTTGAAGAACTCTCGGACATGCTGTGGGTACATCTATGGGAGCATATTTATGTCTGAATAAAAAAAATTGTCTTAGTTCTCTCCCCATCATGCACTAGGGTAAATTAAATTTTAATTCTTCTGTTCCAGGAAAAGTATGATTATTGATGGAAAGTCTACTTTCGGAGACATTTTCATTTCAACAGAAAAAAAAAATTGTTGCCGCTTTCTGAGCATCGCAAAAAAATCCACCTTGAGACTGCTCCAATCTCAGGAGGCAATAATTAAAAAGGGATGCCACAAAGTTCGAGATAAAATTCCCTAACAATTCTCAGACACATTCTGGTAAAATTTCCTGACAATTGAGAATAGCCAGATGGTTTAAAGGATATAATTTGAAATGGTTTTCTGACAAAATTTGCTGTTCGAAACGTCAAACTCATTCTCTGGAAAGCAAATAACCAAGACTTAACAATTTTTGTCTGTCACTTTTATCATTTTCCCTAACATTTCCCGAATTTCTTTGACTGTGACAATCCTCTTCAGAAACCTGTAAAATTTGATCCCATTAAAACAGGAATAAGAGAAAAAATCTTACTGACGAAAAAAATGTAGGAAACTAGTGCGTATCAAATTATCAGACGGAGAAGGGTTTAAATGAAAGTGAATCTTCATTTTTTATCTGATACAATGCATCATCATTTAATCTGATACACTTGTGGAAGAAAAATGGGGTGGAAACAGATCATGATCTGTTCTCGATTCTACGAGCTGATGGAGGAAAAAAAGGACTAAAATACACACCCTAACTCCAAGAGCAGCCTCATCGTCTTGAGGTCCTTCGTACAGCATTTCAACACGGTATTTTTGAGCAACGACAGGTGAGGGTAAATGGATGGCTATCATTTGAAGAAGTGAGTCACCAGCTGGCAGCCAAGTTCTCATTACAACTTTGAGTAAAGCTTTGCCGTCCTTGTCTCTGTCTTCTGGTTTCAATTCAATGCCTAATTTACCCAGAAGTGAGGCAGTTTCCTCTTTCTTGAAGTTCATGATGCAATCGAAAACCTGTCAACAGAGAAATATCAATTCTCATTCAGATGAATAGAATCAAATAGCAGCTTCATTTTTCTCACAATAAGGGCATCGATACGTTGGTGAGAAAAGTCATGACTGCTGTCACTTTTGCAAGTAACATTAACTGTCCAACATTGCCACTATGACAAAAAGTTAATGACCAATTACTGAGCATCGAAAAGTCTCATGGTTCGCTTTTCGCGCTTCGGCGGTGGTAACTTTCAGAACCAATGATTGAAAATTCAATTTTGAGATTATGCTTACATCAATTAATGAAATACGGAGTGGGGCACATGTAAATTAATAGAGGGATTTCAGCCTGTTTATTGATTGATGCACGCTTTGGAGCATAGATAAAAGTTAAAATTAGAACACCATTGGCCTGCAGTTGCCAAGAGACACTCATTTTAGGTACATTCTCTTTATTTTCCTTTCTTCTTTCCTTACTCTAAGTAAGCTTTCTCATCTATCCCTTTCATATGACGTCAATGGAGAAGTTTGGGAGGAAAAATTTGATTATTGAAGAAATTGAAGGGGTTTTCATGCCAAAATTCTCAGTTGGCCGTTCTTAAAATGTCATTTAACATTAGAGCAGGCCTGTGATGAAGAACATTCATCATGGAAAGATACTGACTGCAGCATGTTAACTGTCAAAGATTGAGAGTAGTGAATTTAGATGATGATTCCTCTACTTATCGCAAGATTCTCAGTTGGCCGTTCTTAAATGTCATCAAACATCAGAACAGGTCTGTGATAAAGAACATTCATCATTGAAAGATACTGCCTGCAGCATACCAACCGTCAAAGATTGAAAGGAGAGAATTGGGATGATAAAAAGAATATATTTAGACGATGATCCATCCTTCAATTTTTGACAAGATTCTCAGTTGGCCGTTCTTAAATGTCATCAAACATCAGAACAGGTCTGTGATAAAGAACATTCATCATGGAAAGATACTGACTGCAGCATGTTAACTGTCAAAGATTGAGAGTAGTGAATTGGGATGATAAAAAGAATAAAATTAGATAATAATCCATCCCTAAATTTTTGGCAAGATTCTCAGTTGGCCGTTCTTAAATGTCATCAAACATCAGAACAGGTCTGTGATAAAGAACATTCATCATGGAAAGATACTGGCTGCAGCATGTTAACTATCAAAGATTGAGGAGTGAATTTAGATGGTGAAATCAATATATTTAGCTGATTCTGATTGGCAAGATTCTCAGTTGGCCGTTCTTAAAATGTCATCAAACATCAGCACAGGTCTGTGATAAAGAACATTCATCATAGAATTTAACTAAATTCATCAACTGAAGAAATCATCTGCTTAAAAAACGAAGGATCCAGGACTATCCTCTTAGAGCTGGAAAATTTTAGGTCAAATGAACTTTACTTTATCCGAATCAGAAGGCACTTAGGCAGGGGTGCAAAATATCTGTGATCTACGTGTGGATAACTGTTTTCTCAAATAACGAAAAATAAAAATCACATTAAATCCTACTAATTAGCTTCTTTTAATGTACACATTTTTCAATAAACTTAATTGGAAGCATAAGGCAGCTGAATTGGGTGACCGGCCTCATACTAAAACTAAGGATTCCAGTACCTGGTGTGCATTTCAGATGAAAATGCAACCCTGCATTCAGACAGTAATCCCAGGGCTTCACTTGACAACTGAAGTATGGTGAAAGAGAAATATTCAGACATCAAGAAAATAACTAACCTTGTAAATAGGATCTAAAATGTACATGATGAATGAACGCTTGTTGTCAGCATCCTTCTTCTTTGCCCACTTCTTCGTTTTGGGGTTAAAGAAGTTCTCTCCCCACAACCTGGACAAAGAAGATACTACTCATGAGACTGGACATACATGAATGTGAATATACATAATATTTGTTCTGCTACTCCTTGTACTGAAGATTGACAGAATTTAGCGATTGTTTCGACACTTAAAAAACATGGCACTAGCTATGATTGCATTTTCTAAAATTTAAACATCAAGAGAAACTACAATGCACTGATACCAAGAAATTCAATTCCACCTAAATTCCGACATTAACCGAGATGATGTTCCTTAAGGCCACTTCAGAACATGAGCTTTCGAATTGAAACCCCGGTGTGCCAGAAAGTTTAAAGAAAGTGGAGGATTCCTCAAAAGATTCATGCGTGGTTCTATGTTATTCTTTTTAAAGGATGCTATCTGTGAGAAGATAGTGAAGGAAAGCCCAATTTTGAATGCTTTTATTAAGCTCTCCTCACATTTGAAGCTTCTACTTCAATAGTAGGAGTTAATAAGTAAAATAAAACATACTAGGACTTCTCAGTTGGCCGTTCTTAAACTGTCATCAAAAATCAGAACAGGTCTGTGATAAGAACAATCATCATTGAAGCACAAACTCTGTGAATACATGGACATATGCATTGCTGGCTGTTTGCCAGCCAATCTGTTTTACGGCATTCATTTTGATTACAACGGTTAGGTGGGGAATGAAAGTAAAAATCACTTCTGGGACTTACTTCTGCATGAGCTTGACAGTGTCAATTCCGAATTTTTCTGAGTACATCTCACCAAACTGTTTGAGGGTGAAGGCCCAACTGTGGAGACCAGATCCAAAACCAACACTACCTTTGCTAGGGTCAACCTAATAAAAGAATTAGAAAGTAAAATCAGATTATGACAGGCAGCAAGTATAGCTAAGATAACTCTTACTTTGAACTTTTCAACCATCACAGGGGCCATTCAAAGTGTAATAAATCCTACAAAATATTGGTAAAAAGAGATGAAAACTCATACATTTCTCATGATGTAGGCGTTGTAATAGGCTGAAGTTCATGCATTTATGTTGGAGAAACTACAGTTCACAAGGCAGGGGATTCTCTGGTATATTTAATGAGCTTCTCGCAAACCCTTCAAGATCATCCGATTTACTAAATAAGCTTACTCGCAAACCCTTCTAGCCAAAGGATAAACAAACTGAGATTGATTGACTGTTGTCAGTATGCAAAACTCTGATGATTTAACAACCTACTCTTTTATTTTCCATTTCAGAAGAGATACTTAATATTTGGATGGACCTCACAAAATGATTTCATGAAAATGGTGAGAAAATATTGACATTAATATGTCTGGTCTGAAATGAAGAAGTGCATATATTAAGATAACTTACACGGACTTCACCCATGGGACCACCATCATCATTGTAGGTAGCGATGATGACGTTGACGTTTTCGACAATACGCTGGAAAGTTTGGTAAAGATCTTCACTGTCAAGCTGAAGTTCTAACAAAGCACGGTCCATCTTGTTCATGAACAATACAGGCTTGATACGCTCAGCAATAGCCTGACGCAACACAGTTTCAGTCTGCACGCACACACCTGAACAAAACCAAAGTCATTATTTAGGTGCGTAATTTTATGAAAATAAGTGGAAAGAGGATTTGGTAAAACTGATAAGATGAAAAGGCACCAACTTGAACTTTGGCTTTTGGCCACAGAATTTAGAAAATTAAATTCTCTGACATTTCCCTACACATTTTGGAATGCTTTTTTACCCTGACAACTGCAGACATGCCAGATGATTAAAAACTCATCATTCAGAATAATTTTAAAGCAAAATTTATTGGTCGAAACATCACACCATTTCAAGAAAGTAAATAAATGTGTCTCAACTATTTCTCCTTGTCACTTTCATCATTTTTCATAAGACATGTTCAGGTTTTCCCTAAATTTTTAGAATTCCCGAACATTTTCTGGTATTTTTTGACTGTGGCAACCCTGTTTAGTGAGATGCTGAATGTCACCTCAGCACATAGAAGCAACTTGGAATGAGGTGCTTTGATCAAACTGGACATCTTACAGAATATTGGGTGGTAGGTAAATGTACGACTCAGATTTTGACAATCACTATAGAACATAAGGATAGAGGTTCAGTGATTGTATTTCATCTTAGCCAAATTCTCTCCTTCCATGAGCACTGTAAATGCAGTCATCGGACATGTAAAGAAATAATCTGGACACATACTGCTGCAAAACTCAAATGTGCTGGAAGGGACCGAGTAGATGATAACTATTTGGCAGAAACTTAGATGAAAATAAGAATAAGAAGCTTGTGTCAACGTCAAGCATACAAAGGGGTGATCTGCAGAATTTATTGCTACAGCTCTAATTCCTTCGACACAAGGAACCACATTCATGAATGAAGGATGCCTGGTTCCATTTACTTCAGAATGGGCCAGTGTCTGCTGGAGAACATTATTGATACACGGCAATAAGTCTGATTACTTCTATCAGGTCTATGCTTCAGAGGAAGAGAACCATGTGGCTAATATTCCATCTAATATGACTTGAAACCAGCAAGAAAATGAGGAGTCATCAAAAAAGATGTTGACGCTACAGCTCTCGTAAAGCTGGTATGCCAGAGTTCAGAGGGCACAACTGATAAGCTTTCGACTACATGGCATAAGATAAGCTTGAGATGAAACTAGTCAGTGAGCACTTTGCATTAAATACCGTTGTCAAAAACTTCTGCAGCTTCATAGAGGCAAGATAAAAACCTAACTTCCACCCCCTCGCAAAAAAAATCTGTTAGATTTTATATTCTTTGGGAAGAAATTAAGTTGCTTGTTCTGAAGAGGTGGAATCTTCATGACCAGCAAGATCTTGATAATCCTGTAAGAATCAATGAGATTTGAAATTGCTTTTTACTATTAAACTTTTATAAATATTTTAACTTTTTCACCTAAAAAAGCACATAGACTGTGAAACTCCTCAATCATGTACCTTGTTTGTAGTGTTAACAAAACTCCGCTCACATTCAAATTTAGAGGTAGAGAATAAATCAACATAATTTCTTGAAGTTTTCACAGAATTTTCTTCGCACAGAGAAGAATGATCACTGAAGTTTTGGGGAATTGATGCTGAGCAGTTTGCTGTTTAAAAAATGAAGTACCTATGACAGGAGGTCTGAAATGTTGCAAAACGAGATACATGGTTTGGAAGTTTCACCGTCGACAAGTTGATTCTTAAATTGAGTGATCAATAATCTGAGCTTTAGTCTCAGTTTAATTAGGATCCTACAGATTGGTACGGTCAGTTCTACTTCCTATCTATCTGCTGGTAGGGAGTTTGAGAGAGTTTGCGAATGGAGTTGGCTAGATGTAGGAGAAAATTTACCTGAGACACAGTCTACGACGACAAGAGCACCATCCGTCACACGGAGAGCTGCAGTTACTTCACTGGAGAAATCGACGTGCCCAGGAGAGTCAATCAAGTTGATTAAGAATCCTTTTTCTCCCTTATCACGCTGGTCAGGGTTGGTGATGAAGACTAAATCTTTGTCTTCAAGCTCAAAGAACATAGAGATGGCTCTGAAAGGATATACCAAAGAAATAAAATCCCATCCAAGACAGTTCTGTCCTAAGTTAAAGTATCGTGACAAAGATAAATGTTTTTCAAGACTCATCTCCTGTGGTTGATGAAGTTTAGACTATGGGTAAAATTCAGGGCTGGTTCTACCACCTCTGGTCAAACTGCTGGCTACATTTGATAAGAGCATAAACACAAGAGAAGCGTTTCATCACCTCTTGTTAATTCAAATTTGGATTGATATAGGGTAAATTTGAAAAATAATTAACAGGTACTTTGATCACATGTCAAATGCTTTAACCATAGGTGGTGTTTAAATAATTGTCTCTAATTGATTGATGTCACAGTCCACCATCAATTCCTTGTTTTTCTTTCGTTCCTCTTGATAACTGTGACAAACAGTGATACAGTTAATTACAGACTTAAAACTTAGCAAACTTACGTTGATTTGATTGTGATACATCTTTCTTGTTCATCCTTACGGGTATCAGTAAAACGGGTTTCTCCAGCTTTGGCACTGGCAATGATACCCGCCTTAGAAACCAGCGAGTCGGTGAGCGTTGATTTTCCATGATCCACATGGGCAATGACGGACATGTTACGGATGTTCCGCTTCTTGTCCATCATGACCCGGATCTCATCTACCGTAAAGTTAACCTGTAAAGAGAGATATACGATATAAATCGGAATAGGAGAGGACTCTTATAAAATACGTGCTAGATGCTTTCTGAAGGAATTTATACAGAATTCTAAGTTTTTTTTGCTCCCTCATAACAAAAGGACACTTCAAAATAATAAGTGAAATATGAAGTTGGTGGTGCAACTCGTGTATAACTTTAGCTTCATTGATTTTTTTCTTTTCAGCAACAAACTCGGCTTATTTGAACATAGATTAATTCTTAAAAGACAAAAACAGGCCCTCAGTGAGTGACAACCTGCCACTACATTTGTCATAGGTTTCCCATGGAAAGCTCTGTGAAAGCTTTGTGTGAATCATGAAACAACTTACTACGAGAAACTAGTTTTTACCTGCCAAAACCAAATATTTGTATAAGCAAATTAAAAGTCCAATAATTGCATCTGAGGATCTCAGCTTCATCAGAAATTATACATGGACCGTCTTCAGATGAATCATACCCTTCAACAGAAGAGCAGAAATTTCTCAAATTTACTAACACAGGGACCATTCTATCTAAGGACCAATGTTCTGAATAAATTAGGAACTCTTCTTGGCCCGGTGGTATTGTCTTTCAGCAGTCACATGGTGTCATAACCCCAATGTCAATAGGTTGTTGGCAGTAGTAGTGATGGATCATCCCATCAGTAATCCATAATAATGCAGAGCTCTCTTCACAGAGAATTTAAATGCTGATATGAAGCAGTTGCAAGGAGCTAACTGAAGAGATCAAGATGTCATTCCTCGGTGGGATTGAAATTCGGGTCTCCTGTTTACTTGCTTCTGTTACGTCAGGTACCAAAATGTTTGGAGGTGATGAATGCTACTAACGGCATTGAAATCAGCCGACTGGAAGGGCAAAGCTTGGCAGATTCACTCGTATGGGTATTGCATAATCGTGTTGAGACAAGGTACGATTTACTTATAACAGGTTGATACCTGGTAAAAGATAGAAGGTAACTAGCTACTGGCAGAACTCATAAATGCTTCCGAGACAAGTGGCAGTAAATCAACTTTAAGCTAGGAGAGTGCAGCCGAATGCTATCAATAGGGTAGCATACTGCGGTTAGGGAAAGAAGAGGGAAAGGAATTTCACTGCATAGTGCAATGCTTGCAGAAAATGAGCTGCTAAGTTCAAGAGGGTAGGAAGTTCTTGGCAATAGATGGGAGTAGGGAATCGCAAGTAACAACGAACAGGCGAAACTATCGGTAGACATGGCCCGTTGTATCAACCATCTTGGGCTTGAGGATAGGGCAGGACATGAGTGAGCCTGAAATGATAAGTGGGTTAGGTATGGGCAGAATCAGTCAAACCCACATGCGTCGGGAGTGATGGGAATGACAGAATTGCAAAAGCAACAGTAGAGAGAATAAATGGGAGATCAAATGAAAGCAAAGTGACCGGAAAAGCCATAAAAAAGATTAAATTGAGTGCTTCGTGAACCAGTGAAAGGAGAGGAGCATCGATGAAGAGGCTGTGACCAGGCCGAGAAAATAAATTTAAGTACTGTGTAAAGTATCAATTTAGAAGATCGGACATACGGTTTACATCCTCAAATACGTAAAACTGTGATTGGGAGTCAAATAAAATTACATACCATGGTAGATGATTTTAGATAAAACTTTCACAAAAACAAAGAAAGGAAAAGACACAACTTGCTGGCGATGGACGTGCCTGCCGAAAGAATGAGCTGGCGGCAGGTTTCTCAGGATCCCAGCGCGAACCTCCCGTCCACGGTATTGATTTCTTTTTCTGTGTGGTTATTTCTCATTAAGGACTCAAAATAAGGATTTATAATCGATTAAAAATGAAAAAATCCAAATTTTACAGCACAATAAATTCCTGCTCCTCTTTTCTGTGCAGTATAATCAAAGTTAATCAATTTAATTATTGACACAGGAATTGGAAGGGAATCCCGATGTTTGATGATAAGTTTGGCGAACCTGTTTCAAGCGGGAACCGGAAATTCAAACAAGTGACCGGAAAAGCCTCTTCAGAGCTAGAGCACTATATCCTTATTTATTGACTGGGGTAGCATTGACATTGTAATGATTCATAGACGTAAATAAATTATTCATTTCGAAAAAGAACGATTTATGCACTGAAGCCATGATGCAGGTACACAACGAGAACGATCTACTTAAAACAGCTTTAGACAACAGGTTCTATAATCTCCGCCAATTCAAACACCTTCCTACCTAAGTACCTACCTACTTACTGTGCCTTGGGAAAAACTTGTTATGAGATTTTAAAAATATCGCAATTTTAGGGTGTGACAAAAATTGCAATCAAAATTGCAAAAGGAATTGCAATAAAATGGCATAAAGAATTGCGGTAAATTATAAACAGATCCGTGTTAGGCTTACAGTTAGTCCCTGGCAAGTCACCTTGTCCCAAGCAAGCAGAGAGTATGGCGAACATCACTAAGTGTCCACATTGGTCAGTGAACCAATGATGAACGAACTGAGCTGTGAGCTACAAAAGTGGGCTGATAGAGGATGTTTATATTCCTTTTTTTCTCACTTAAAATGTTTCCACTTCGTTGAATTTCTTCATTTAAAAATATACTGGACTTTATGTTGGATTTTCTATTTCTGATTTTTTATTGAATTTTTTCCGTTCAGGCATGTATTTTAGTGTGTTATTTATTTGTTTTGCTTCAGTTTTGCAATACTTATAATAGTTTTTAGTTTTGTGTTGCAAAAGTCTCTGACTGGGCTCGGATATTCTTGCACTTAGCTTGTGTCTGAGAAAAAGAAAATAAAAATTATTAAGAAGAAAGGAAAAAACCACACAGAAAAGTACAATTGAAAAAGTCTTAAGGTAAGAAGTAGAAGTCAAATAAAAAATTTGACTTTTCCCTAGCTGACTTAGTGAGGAGGGGATGCTTTCATGCTTCAACATGATGTAAAACACCATACACTTATGAAAATCACTCTTTTGATTACAAATTTTTAAAAAATGAACAGCGCTTATTTACTTAGGTTGATCCTACCTACTTGAGTCCTTTTTTCTTTTCCCTTTTCCATGATTTTGAAGAAAAAAAAGATGTTCTTTACCTTCTGGTGCATTCTTCTTGGAAACTTTAAGTACTAAACTGACTTCATAAAATTTTTTTAAAAAATGTATTTCCTTAAAATTAGGGCTACAGGTGGAATTACAGTTGTAAGTGTATACACATATGTAAATTTTCAAATGCCAAAATTTAGCTCAAAAAATTGCAAAAAAATTCGCCAAACTTTCAACTTTTAAAAAAGAACTTTCATGAGAACAAATCTTCATACCTCTGATTCTAGATGTATCCAACAGTTGTAATTGCATGTCTGCAAAATTTCGGGCTTAAAAGTCAAGAAGTTTCTCAGAAAAGTGCACCAAGGAGTTGAACGGATTTTACATTGATTCAGATGGAACCAACTTCTTACCTTGAATGTTGTTATTCATTAACTTGTTTTTGATGATATTACCTATAGGCGGAACTGCAATTTTACAGTTAGATGTTGGCTAATTTTTAAGCTACAAGGTAAAAGTGTGTGTTAAAAAAAAGTTTTACGAAGTTTTAAAATTCCTGCTCATGGTTGGCATTGAGGCTGTCAAAGATAGGCAAGCAAGAAAAAAAAAACTACAAGTACAGGTTTTGTGTTTTTATTTCTCTATTGTTACTTTATTTGACTCATAAAAAAGGTAAAGACATGTATCAAAAGTCAAGAAATCAAATTTTCATTTTTTGAACCTCGATAGTTTAAAGAGAAATCTAAATCATTAAATACTTACAGTTATGCTCATTCATATATTTTACAAGTAAAAGTTTCAGACAAGAGAATAACTAAGGCAAATAAAACGGCATGAGAATTTTGCTTCACTGATCATGATTTTTCTTCTTTCACCGGAGCGTAGTTTGCAAAGATCTCAAGTTTTCACACAGCTTAGAAGCAAAGGTTAGAGGAGGAGGACATAAAGTGGAAACACATTTTGACTGACTGGCATGACCTGAAATGAATAGTTTGGAAAAGCTAGCCAAAGTATGGTTGTTACGTATCGTAGTCTTCATCAATGAGAAGAGATGAACTACTACTGCTTAATGCATAGGAGACAACAGGAGGTTGAAGCACAGGCTGAGGAGTTGCTTCAGAAGTTGATATTTCTCTGTAGAAATTTGGTTTATTGTGACTGGTCAGCTTTGAGCTGACGGCTATTGGTTCAGGTACCATCACAGGTTCACTTGTTGTACTACTCGACTGTCTTCTAACACCAGAGCTCGAACTGCGAAAAATAAAAAAAAAAAAATTAACACTAAAAATTTATGAGAACATAAAATTTCCACCAAGTGTACCTTCTCATTATACAGGTAGATCAGTTACATTGATGCTAGTTTTTTAATTACATACTTATTCCTGCTTTAACTTGACAAGGTGTGTATTTAATGTTATGATGTGTCCCTTCTCATCAAAATTTCACGTAGAGCATGATTAATACACTAGAAATTACTAAAAATGACTCTTATTTAAATTATTAAAATTTGTACTGAGGTATGTACTAAGGTAATGTTTACACAAGGTATCAACTTTTAGAACAGACAGAGAAGAGTCAGCGAATTGGAGTCATGATAGAAGCGCAAGTCAATGAGGAACACTGAATACAGAAGCGATCGCAGCAATTGAAGTGGCCTTTTCTTCGACTCCTCATTTTCTGTGGCAAGTAGACCAAACCAATTCACACATGCAATATAAAGTACACAAGAGCTTGTTGGATACCAAAATTGCGTACAAAGTTATAGATCTGAACTGGTCTAACTGCAATCATTACTTCCAAGAATGAGGCATTAACTGATTAAGCATTACAAACATTAAGATAAGTCTGTTTCGATTTTTCAACATTCAGTAAGGACAGGAACCCCCTACACTTTTACAGCATGCTCCCTTCAAGTCTGATATTCATACATTCCAAAGAATGAAAAAGGTTGCTGGGGTAAAAGACAAAAAACTAAAGGAAAAATTCATATTTTATGAGAACTTCACTTTTGAAAGTTAATTGTTTATAAACATGAATCCATACTTTTGAACAACCGCATTCTTCAATGATGTTGTACCTCTTACCTAGTTTCATTCTGAGCTCCATCATCCTCACTAATTGATATGTCCGGCAATGATTTCACTAAGTCTTTTAAAAAATCAAATCTGGTTTCTGATAATATACATTGTTTCCTGTACAATTACAGAAAAATACAGAGAAATTAATTTATTACATTTTAAAAAAAAACGTAAAGCAATGAAGATTAAAACAGAGCACTAGAAGTAATTATCATGGAAGTAATTATCATGGAATATTCTTCTTAAAAATTCAGTATTACAAGTAGAGAGTAGAGAGTAGTTTTCAGTTTAGGTAGAGAAACGAAGTGTTAGAATCATCAAGAATTTTTAGAGATTTCATTTGATACCAAATGAGGACACAAGTTCCATCATTCCTAGGGGCATGTCTGGCACAAAAATGATTTTCATTCAAAAACTAATTGGCACGCCTATTAATACCACCAAATGTGAATGTAGACTCTAAATATAAGGGCCCTAGCCAATTTCTAGCATGCTTAAAAAGTACCATAAAATCGGCAGGCAGTGAATGATTTGAAAAAGTTATTTCTCACAAAACCAAAAGATGCAACTTCAACAAATTCTTTTAAAAAAAAACCCTTTGGTAGGCTTCAAAGCGGTGATGCACTGTTGCGTTTTGATTTTTATAAAAAGAAGCTATCTTTCGGCCCACCCTGATGACGCCTCCTAAAAGAGGCATGCTTGATATCCTACTGTCCTATGTTGACACACTGCTTGGCTTCCGGAGCTGGAAGCTAACAGCCAAAGATTTTAATCATTTGCTTTTCAACTCAAAAGAGATTGACTGGTATTGAATCTTTTTCCAGAAAATGGGAGTGGTCTGATCATTGATACTTTTCATAACTCAGATGAATCTTGGAAAACTAGCTTTTATAGTGTGGCACAATTGGCATAATTAATGGAATAATGGGTTCAATGAAGTACGAAACTTACATGTGAGATGTACTTAAAGTCTTGGCATTCCTGGATGTTGTTATTTGAACAGCTTTGGTCAACAAAGACTCAACAAAGAGTTCCAGAGTGCGAGGTGAATATTCTGTCAAGGACTAAACTTTAAGCAGAAAATTAAGAATAACTTTTTTGCCCTATAGGCACCTCTCAACTTGTTTCGTTTCCAGTCGCCTTGACTCAGTTTCCCCATGATATAAAATCACTGGAATTTGGGTATACAAGGAAAAAATCTTGATTTTTAAATAGACTGAGGCTAACATTTGAATTTCCTTCTTCCTGAACTGAGCCTTAACAGCTTTGAAGAAATGAGATAGACAAGTTTACGAGCTTTATGAATTAAGAAATGATAAAAATTTTGTTAAACCAAAAGCTGCTTTTTTGCCAATGAAATAACATGCTCTTCATCACTCTTTTCAACCAAAATTGATTTTGGTTTTTCTACAAGCAAGGAGTTGGAATTGACTGATCCTTGCTTAACCTGCGGATGCTACCTATTTATTTAAGGGTTGACTTAAGAAATTTCTAATATGTTTTATGAGTTTTACCTGAAATTTTGATAAGCAAACATGTCATGTGGAGGTATAATTGGACTACATTTTGCAATGAGGAATTACTTACTGGCTCATCCATAAAATAAAATGAAACATACGACACAAATGCTGTTTCTGAAATGGGTCAAAAATTGACTACATTTTGCAATTTGGAGCTATCAATTCTGGCCCAACGAATGTACCATTAGTTTCCCTACGCTCATAAGTGTTTTTTCTGATGAGCCAGAAATTGTAGTTCCGAATTGCAAAATGCAGTCCAAATGATAATTCCTGATTGCAAAATGTTGCCCAATTGACCTGTTGCACAATTAGTTTCTATTGCTTTCATCCAAAAAACCAAGGCTCTTAATGTCACAGAACTTTACGCGGAGTTTTAGGACCACCATAAACCCTCCAAAAATCAACATAAAAGCGCCCAAAAATTCAGACTTTCAAAATGGACGATTTTGGGCAGCAACAGATCTGGTGCAATTGCAATGTAATGCACCATGTCAAACCTGGTCTCTTCATCATTCAAGAGGCACTTCCCTAAAAAAATTGGAAGTCACTTTTCAAATCCAATATTGAGGCGACGGAAAGGGAATCCTCGGTTGTTAAATTGCCTGTAACTTTCATAAGATAATTATGCATCCATGAAATAAATCCTATACTTAAGGGAAACTACGGGAGATGAGGATTGTTACAAAACAACATCAGCATCGCCCGTCATCACCGGACATAAACAACCTCCGGCAAATGCAGGTTTCAAAAAGTCAGTGCTCAAAGACACAGTTAAAAGGATATAGATAATGACAGGAACTGCTTGCGCCACTTTTCCGACTTCTTCATCTGTTTGCATTATCTTCTTAATGCGTCCCTGAAAACCAAAACAAACATGGATTAAAAAGTTGGCGTGCTATATTTCCGCATCTAGCTACGTCTTTCAAAGATGCCATAGGAATTAGCCCTTTGTTCTACATGTGATGATTGTTCCATAGATTATACAAGTTACAATTGACTTGCAGATGGTCCCATGAATGAAGAGATGTGTGATGTTTTCCAGAATTAGTGATAGTGATCACCTGGCAGATTTTTAAAGTAACCAATTCAAAAGAAGAGTGTCTCTTCCAAAATATATGTGGCTACTTAATGAAAAGTTCTGCTGTGTCATTATAAAAAAAAAAAAATCCAAGATAAAAGCTACACAGCGAGCCGATAGTTGAAACTATGTCAACAGAACAAGACAGGGCATAGACCTATCTTAACCGTGCAATGGTGCCCATTTCCATGTCTTATCAGGCTGCTTTAAAGTATCATTAATTGGCCGGCAGGTGAGCAATGGATATTCTTTAACCATGCATGGAAGGAAAAGATACTGATGTTCCACGTTAATGCTGTAGTTACTGGCTTCATTTCACGCCCTAACTATCAGTCCGCTTAGGTTGCCTGTCACTTGATTCTACACTCAAGCTGTGCTAAAAAGGAGCAAGAAGAAACTCTTCAAGTTTATGGAGCTAAAACTATTTTTCAATTTGTTGGCCACTTAAAGGAATTAATTTGAGACGAAGCTAAATAGCAAAGTCAATCTTCTACAACATGGAGTCAGTGCGAAGATTCTTACTGCATCTCTAAGACTGGAAAAAATCCCACACAGTGAAATCAACGGAAGAAGTGAAATTAAACAGAAAAAAACATGAGTTGATTACTTACTTTCAATCAGGTCTTGACAACTATGAGAGGAATTGGACAAAAAAATAAGTACTCACAGCAGGGAATCTGGCGTTGTATTTTTTTTTCTTGCTTGGCATAGTGATGCTTGATTGATGATTTGGGAAGGTAACTGGATTCAGAATTTGAAGTTGCGGGGATCAAATGACAAATTCAAAGTGGATTCGGTCAGATTTTCAAAAATTATGTGAAGTTAACTTTACAGCATCTGTCGTCTAAAAACCTAACCTAAACATATTGATAAACAGAACGTGTTGCAACGTTGCCGGATGCTCATTATTATTTGTTGATATATTGTTATCAAATTTCTTATCAGTAATCAGTGTGCACTGTGCAGTGTGCAGAATGGCAGAATACGTTGAGTACCAAAAGATTAGCTATTTCTGAAGTTGTGGGTCTACCGGAGGAGAGACTTACATTAAATGGTAAGCAAAATTTTCAGCAAATCAAGGTACTTACATCAATGTTTAGAGTGTAGGGCTAAGAAAGAGTTGAGCATAGATGACTCAGAGGGAAAAGCATTTGCAACACCACAGATTTTGTCACTCAAAACTTAATCTTATTTATGGTCAAAATAATTCTGACATTACTGTTCAAGTGTTTCAAGAAATCTGGAAATGAACCGAATCCATACCACCAATCCTTTCTTGGCTTTCTTGGCTAGTCCTTGTTGCTCTTCTGGTGCAAGAGTTTAAATTGAGATAATTATCTCAATTTCCACGCACCAATGAACCTTACACTCTATATACCCAAGTAGCATTTTTCAACGGAAAAATCGCGATATTTCGAAATTAAATTGCGATTTTTTTACTATTTTATTGGCAATAAAATCGCTAGGATCATCAACATCTGAGCGATTATCCTCAATATTTTCGCAATTTTATTGCGATTTTATCGCCCGAAAAAATTGCGATTTTATCATGATAAGTTTGAGAATAACGGCTCAGATGCTGATGATCCCAGCACATTCGATTTTATCCGATACTATTGCAATAAATTGCGACGTCGATAAAATCGCAACACATTCTCTGATTAAATCGCAATTTATCGCGATCACTGCTTCCAAGGCTGTTGTGGAAATAAGAGGAATATGTCATTACGTCAAAGGAGTGACGTAATGAGTCCTGTTCTGTGCTTGAGTCTCCTAAAATCCTACCGGCTTTGAGATTTACCCATCAATCTTTTACGAGCATCTGTTCTGAGTTCCCCAGGAAGACCTGGAGGGGGGAGGGGGGGTGGGTGACAAATTTTCATTATCAATTGACAACAAATTGTCTGCCATTTTACTCTAGAGATCAATTCATAGCACAGTTCTCCAGCTCGAGTAATAAAAAAAAGTGGCAGGGTAATGGAAGTCCTGTCTGAGTATTTCAGTAGGTATCCTCTATCTCTAAAATTTTTGCCGCAACAGCTCTCAAAAAACTTAAATCATCTTCTCAAGTACTTACCTACCCAAACTTTGAAGAACTGATATTATCAGCGCATGCGTCAAGAGTTTTAGTGAAGATAAATTTTATCATCTGAGTACTAATAACTTCATGAAAATATTTTATACCTGTTTCAGAGTCAGTTTTTATCAAAAAGTGAACCATGGTTGTCACACTATTAGATGGGGGTGTTTCCACGCAGTTAGCTAACCATGTGGACATCTCAACAGTTGAAAAGGGCGATCCCCTTTGGTGTGCTAGATTCTTGGTTACAGATAAGCAAGCTGTCATTAACACCCATCGAGATTATGTCAGAGGTAGGTAGTCGCAGTTTTTCTGGTTTGGTTGGAAATTGTATGCTTTCGTTTTTTTCTGTTCTACATTTTTTTCCTCGCCCCCCTCTTCCTGTCTTCCCTTCTCCTCAAAACTATCAATAGATGGTCAATAAAGAATGGTGTAAAGCATGCCCCATAGGACAAAAGCAATGCAAGAAAATGATTTTAACAATTGAGGCACTGGATGCGAAAAAGGCACTTCTCGGATTGCAGTGTTTCAGAATCTCTGTTACTAATTAAACCCTTGGAGAAGAATCTAACGGGTGATTGTGCTAGAATTTTTTCCACAGAAAATTGTAGAAGGAATATTCAGTGAAATTTTTAGTGTGGATGCATTCACTTTCCTCACAATGAATGAAATATTAGAGGAGACTCTGAAACACTGCAACAGAGAAGTGCCCTTTCGCATCCAGTGCCTCAATTATAAATTAAGGAAACCCTAGCAGCCACAGCCTTTTAAAACATTTTTCAAAAAGTCTCTAAAAAATGTTAAAATATTATTACTAGAAAACCTCTTTTGGCTACTTTTTTAACTAAGTTAAATTTACTTACTAGAAGTAAAATTAAAGGAAAAAAGTGTTTGAAACACTCTTAAAGGATCACTGTAGTTTTTTAAAAAAAATTCAAACATATTGAATGTTGCAAAACTACAGTTGATATCTTGAGTGATTTTTTAAACTTTTTTTAAATTAAATTTTACCTATCGTAAATTGCAGTTAAATAATATCTAAAAAGAATTTCCTCAAACGAACATTTTAACAGTTTTTTTTAAGAGGTGTCTTTTCGGAATTTAAGAGTTTTTTAACAGTTGTTGCTACTAGGGAATATCTAAAAATTATTGAAGCAACTCATCACTTGCATGCATAATTAAAATTAATTTAAATGTGTTTTGGGCTGGTAAGTGGTACCTAGACATCATTACCTAAGAATACAATTTTATCAACTATACTCGCATTAGAGTATATGTTATTCTCATACTTAAGTATGTAGACACATAGTTTTTTTTTTAATTTCTGAAAGAACTGAGAGCTTTACCCAATAGTTATAGGCTGTAAGTAAACGGTGTTTAGCTTTCTCTGTTACTTTTCAGGAATTGCTTTCAAATAAACCGAAGAACGTACAATGGAGACTTTGCACGCAAATTTTTTATTGCTTCATGTGAAAGTGCTTAAAGAGCTGATTTCACGGTATTTTTTATAATTTTTTTCTGATATGGGAAATAGTATAAAAATAGAGATAAAAGTGAAAAAATGCACCGCTTAGTGACGCCATCTGGTGGCATTTCCCATTTAAACACATGTATTTTAGCAGATTAGATCATTTCGTCATATCTTCTCCAATAATTGTTCAATTTATGAACCAAGGGTATTTGTGTTCACTCAAATATTCACTCAATAATTCTCACACTCATGTTCACTCAATAATTTCCACTTACACACGAAATTCATCAAATTTCAGACACCTGCAAATTCTCCATTATGTCAATGAAGAACCATGTGAGCCTTAGGTCTCATTGAATGAATTCCAATTTTGTACACATTTTCTGGAAAACTTGTAAATTTTATTCTTTTAATTTCTCAAAGATTTAATTTGCAACATGATTGACTTAAATGCATGACTTCCAAAAAAACATTTGTTATGAAAATGAAATGCTTTACTTTTGAAAACATTAATAAGTAAATTTTTTAAGTGGGTACATCATTGGAAACATTCAAAGGTTTGTACGACGCCCTCCCTTGGTAGTACATCAACTCAATTTTTTTTAGTTATTCAAAGACACCTAGTAAATAGATAGATTTTGGAGAATATTATTTGAATGTCATTGAAACATGTCTCTGCTTGCATGTTAATTAATTCAATTTAAATAGTCAAAGATTTCAGTCAGCTGTTTCATTGGGCTCAGCTAAATGTCTTATTATCTTATTTTTTCCGTCAAATTTTTTTTGTGTTTTTTACAGCGGGATCGGATATTATTGAAACTAACAGCTATCAAGCAAGCATTCCTGGATTTATGAAATATCTCAATCTAAGTTTTGAGGAAAGTGTAGCTCTGCTCCAAGAGTCAGTCAATTTAGCCAAACAAGCAATTGAAGAAGAAAAAAAAGTAAATCCAACCATTGGAAATGGTAACTCATATTCTGCCACTTTTAAATTTTTAATCAGACCTACTCTCCTATTTACTTCAAGTATTGCACTATTAAAAAAAAAAATCCTGAGGAAATCAAACAAACAGCAAAAACTGTTGCCCTCAAAGTTTTTAAGTACGCCTACTTTTTTTCTTCTCAATCTCTCTTTGTAATCTTATGCACTCCAGGAGTTTACGTTTGCTTCAGGTACCATTAAGGGTAATTTTCTTACTTGAGTTCCATAGGCAGTTAAATTCACAATATGTATTATCCATGAAGGAAAGTTTAAGCATCACAAATTTTTGTTTTTGAGTCGGCGAAATAAATTTGTTCTTGATTTCATGTTAAATGCAGTATGCAAGCACATATTTACGAAAGTACAGTAGCTACGACATGGATGACAAAATGCAAAAACTAAGCATCTCAATTGCAATGTTCATAAATCTCCGAATATATTTTATTTTCCACCAAAAAAATAATCAGGATGCTTCTTCCTTGCAATTTTAAGTGGTACCTTATAGAATTAGTGAAGAAAATTCACAGAAAATCAATAGAAACTGATGCTTAGTTTCCTGCGGGGGTTCATAACGGCGTAATCTGAGATAAACATATAGCAGGTGAAACTAGGAGACCACGTATCTTGGTTTGCAATGTTGCAGACTTCCTACATACTTTATTTTACAAATGAGGAACTATTGAACGGCAATTCTTGAAATTTTCCGCGGCTTTTCTGCTCTGTGTAAAGAAAACTCAGTGAAAGCTTCAAGGAGTGGTGTTGCTTTTTTTCTATCAAAAAAATAAAATGTGAGCGGAGATTTTTAAACACTGCAAATGAGATACGTGATCTGGTAGTTTCAGCGTTGATATATAAATTTTAGCCTGCAATATACTGGCATCTAAGTTCTCCTTTTTTTTAGTTTTAGTTGCTGGCTCTTGTGGTTCATATGGTGCCTTCCTTCATGATGGCTCTGAGTATCGAGGTGATTTCATGGATAGAGTCAGTCTTGAAGAAATTACATCCTTTCATGAGCAGAGAATGAAAGCATTGGTTGATGCTAATGTAGATCTATTAGCCATTGAAACCATTCCAACACAAGCTGAGGCAGAAATCCTAACTGAGCTCCTCAAAAAATTTCCGGGCATCAAAGCTTGGATAGCGTTTTCAGTAAAGGTAACAACATACTTTTTTATTCGTTACTTTAAGTACATGTTACTCTGATTGCTGTGGAGCATTTATAGAATTTGACTCAAAATTTCCTTTACGTCCAATGCGTATAAGAAAATTTTGAAGATATCAATGGTGGAAGTATTGAACATTACTTAGTTCAATAAGTGGCAGATTTCTTACCAGTTCTCACTTTTTTGAAAAATAACTGATGATTGCGATGGAGCAAAATTTTGTAATCTTTTTCTTCCGTATTTTCATCAATTAACTCTAAAAATTTCTTGCAAAAATGTTCAGTAATATTTTTCTAAAACTGAAAAAGGAGTAAAAATGTCGAAACACAGCATTGAGATGCATGTGTTTTGAAAGGTTTCCGTGGATGTAAGACCCATCTTTCCAGCATTACAACCATTTCCTTGGTTTTAACTTCTCCCCGTCTCCCTAGAAACTTACCCTGTGGAAAAATTTGAAAGAATTATTATCAGAATTAAACACCCTCTTTGTGTTTCCAAAAATATTTTAAATCAAAGTGTAACGTTCCACTTCTTACAGATGTTATTTGGAGGAGAAACCTGGGATATGGATAAATCAAGATCCATCCATACAGGTCAGTCATTGCGCAGATTCTCCCGCTCGGGGTAAGCCCCTTTCCATTGGCTCGTGACGTCAGCATTACTGCCGCGAAAACCAGAAAAGTCGGAAACAATGCTTTTCTTATGGGAGAGAGCAACTTTTTCTTAATGAATCATTTGAATTTCTTACTTTTAAATCCTTTGAAACTTTCTGAGTGTTGAAAGGAACGTTTAGACATTAGCATTCAGGGTTTCGATTTTGCCGCATTTGTGTTCTTTCATTTTTACAGTTTACTCTGCATCAGCCATTTTTACACGCGAATCTATACCACTAGATGGCTTGTTACATAGCTGACTTCAAAAATCATTTAAAAATATAAAAACGCAAATTCAGCTGAATTTAAACCCTGGACGCTAATGTCTGAACGTTTTTTTCGACACTCAGAAAGTTTCAAAGGACTTAAAAATAAGAAATTTAAATGATTCATTAAGAAAAATTTGCTCTCTCCCATAAGAAAAGCATTGTTTCCGACATTATTGGTTTTCGCGGCAGTAATGCTGACGTCATGCGCAGAAGATTCTCATTTTGGTTTCGGGAGTGACTGACCTATATGGATGGATCTTGGGATGAATGTTTGTTACTTTAAGTAGTATTTCTTATGTTCCAGGATGAGTCTCATTTATCATGTGGGGATGATTTTGTCAAAGCAGCTACGTCTGTTTGGTCCAAAAATCCAGAGCAATTAATTGCTGTAGGAGTTAATTGTCTCAATCCAAATTTTGTCAGTCCTCTTGTTTCTCCAATCGTTAAACAAATCCCAATCATTGCATACCCCAACAAAGGTGAACTGTGGGATGGTGTAAATAAAAAGTAAGCTCCATTGATTCAGTTTGATATTTATTTTTTGGTAATGCGTAAGTAGTAGGACAGAAAAATTAAGTATTCAATGTCACCAAGTGCAGGAATTACTGTTTTATGTCATAACACAAAACCACAGCATGATGTTTGGATTGCATTTAGCAAAAAGTAGAGTACCCGTATAGCGAGAGTATAGACAGATGTGAAACTCCGAAAATCCATGAGGTCTTCACTGATGTCACCGCGAATAAAGATAGGGCCCAGAAATGCAGCCAACCTATGTATCTCAATTATCCAGAGCGCTTTACTAATACAATTGTTACGAACCATCGTTTATAAAGCACGTATTTGACTTAGTTTATGCATAAATTTACTCGTTTTTGCGGAAGAATGCTCATTTATGTACATTCTTAGCCATCTTGGTTAGAATTGGAATCTGCAGACTGGCAATGAAATTTTGTGCGTTAGAAGTTGGTTAGGAGGGTGGCTGCACTTTTGGGCCCTAAGCCCTCCATGAAGCGATCTGTCCATACTCTCGTTATATAGGTACTCTAGCAGAAAGGAACCAGCACGATTACAGTGTTGAAAAACTGTTGATTCTTCATAATTATCTAAAAAATCTCTCAGAACAGCCAATATCTTCTGCTTCTCAGCAAAAAATTGTTAATATTACTTAAAGGAAAATAATTTTGTAAATTTTAATACTGTAAATATATTTAGTATTTTTGAAAGGAAAGAAGAAGTTGCACAATTTTGAAAACACTGTAATTGCGCTGGTTCCTTTTTGCTAAATGCAATCCATTTTTTGTACCTGTTTTAAACGGCTGGAGGCTAACGATCTTCAGAATACATATTTTACTTGGCTGCAATCAGTTTGCATTCATGATTCGAGTGTCACAGAGTGATAAGATATGCCAATCTTACTGTAAGTAGCTCTGAAATAAGTATTCTCATGTAATTTACAAAATCCATTAACTCATGTGCTTTAATCGGACGTATTTCTGTCAAACGGAACTATGTGCATTATGATGTGAGCCCTGTTATGCATGTATTCTTATGGGTCTCAGGGCTCATGTCTTAATGCACATAGTTCGGTTTGGCAGAAATATGTCCAATTGCTCAAGAGGCTGTCAAAGTATCATCTTGAATTATGTCCTAAACCTGGGATGTCCTTGATTGCTAGCTACTCTCAGGACCAAATTTCAGTGTGAACACAAATTTAGATCACCTTGTACATATGCTTTATCCCCATTAACATGTCACTATTATTTTCTTAACCTTCTGTTTTCAGGTGGGTCGGTCAAGATGGAGAGAATGTGAGGCCTCTGATTGATTATGTTTCAGACTGGCTTGATTTAGGCGTTTCTTACATTGGTGGTTGCTGTCGCACATCTGCAAGTGATATTGCTGCCTTCAGGCAGCTAATTGATTCCAGAATAAAAGGTTCCAAATAACTTTTAGTTTTCTTTGTTTTTATTTTTTACCACTTTTTTGTTATCTGTACCTACATGTATGATGTACATTGTATTACACTTGTTGATTTTTTATTATTAAATTCTATTTTTAATTAACTGAATAAATCTGTAAATTTTTTTATTGCGCGCAGACATATTTTGAGGCAATGCAGTAACGGTCAATGGGCATTGGAAACTAAGATGACTGCATTACTAATAACCCCTAAAATTAACCCCTCTCCTTCGAAAATCAAATTTCATTGGAAAGAGGTCAGATAAAAAGGTACCTTGAAAAGCATACTCCTACTGAGGACTCTGTCGAAGGGAGAGCAGATGTAGAAGACACGTTTTGAGAAAAACGCATTTGAAAGATCGAAATGGTGTCCTAAAAAACTGAGCAGACCAATTGGCTAAGCCAAAAACAATTTTTTTAACCTAAATCCTAAAGTTTTGAAATCCATTAATAGCTTGAGAAAAAATATTTGAAGAACCGCGGCATATTCCAAGATATGCCCTGCTTTTGGCAAAGCCCTTAGCTTTTGAACATTTTTTTTCTTACAGTTGCGAGAAAAAGGGTACGTAAAAAGGGAATGTAATGTGATACAAAGAAACACGAGTAAAAGCTTAAAAAAGAGAATAGTTTATTGTGAAAAAGTAAACAATACATAACCATGATAGCTATAAAAATGGCAAAAAGTTTACGAGAACAGATCTTCTTGTCATCTGTAGAAATAAAAATTCTACACGTGATTTCGTGACAGTGTTACCATATGAATTCTATTAACTATGGTGGTGAAAACTTTTTTATTCTATGACCCCCTGCTACAATTTTTTATAAATAATTCAGACAGGGGTGAAAGAGCTGCTTCCGTGTCTCTAAGAAAATAAAGTTATTGAAAATTACAGGTCATACTGATGTGAATATGAAATAAATTATAAAATAATTCTAAATTGGAAGACCGTTTTTCATATAACCCCCCGCCCCCCCTCCTCTTGGGGGAATTTGGAAAAAATTCAACCATTTTTGGGTGTCCCTGACCATGCCCTTTGATACCTGAAAAGATGAGGAGATTTCATTCGGGGCCCAGTTTCAATGGTAGATGGAACAACCTCTTTGAATTTTTGCATAAATTTAATTGCCTGCAAAAGTAAAACAATTTCAAGAAAAAGAAAGCAAGAGTTTCTGTTCATGGTACAAAGTGCAAGGAAGCTAATTTTTCATAATTAATGAAAAAAAAATTAAATTTTTTTTACAAAAAGATAAAAAGAGACAAACAAACAACAAAAAATGTATGTACAAATTATTCATGACAAATAAATAAGAGAAAAAAAATTAACAAGGGGTTGTAAATTTTCTTCTCTATGAAGAAATTGCTACTAATGTTTAGTAAGGGTGATTAGTTTAGTAAACCACTTCATAGATTCTTGAACAGGCTTAAATTTAATAAAAAATTATAGAACAAATAAATTTGAGCGACCCATGATAAAACTAACAGACTAGAGTAAACGATGGTTTCCTTTGGAATAGGAAACATCAACAAGTTGTGCACTTGCAACATGGATCGCACTTGAGGGATTCAGTTTCATGTAGTAATTAAAATTAAAGTTAACAACTTGGCTTATGGGGAAGTTATCTAGGGAGGTAAACATTAGGCATTTAAAACATTGTCCGTTAATTTGGTAAAATATTGAATAAAATTTAATAGGGAAAGTCTGTAACTTTTGTTTGATTGCGTACAAACAACTACTTTTCTCTTGCAAAATGGAAAAATTAGAATGGTAAATTAAAATTTAAAACATAAGTACACTATGCACAAAAGACTTGATTCTTTACAGCACCATAGTACAATATACATGGAACTGTGACAGAGAATCAATATCGGGCTTCTCGATAGCAATTTTGGCCATTAAATACTTTCTGCCAAAAATTACACAGCTGGTTTAATGATGTTCATCACAATACAATTTTTTAATGAATCTACTATAATTACCGATTAAGTAATCCGTTTATAAAAACATTGGTGATTTATAATTTAAATAAAAAATATATAATATACTTGTCATTAATGAGAAAACAAGAACAGAGTGAAAACATCGGCAGGGAAAGAATAATGAAATTTATTGAATTGCCAATTGTTTTTGTTTGGAAGGAAGAGCAGGAATGAACTTTTTAGTACAAAGCGAATAACTTGTCAGCCCAACTTAGGTCTGAGGATTTAAGCTTTAAACGTCCGTATAGCTAAAATGTAGGTGTTCATTGAGTAGCCATTTGTTCTCTCTTTAAGGTCTATTCAAATACAAACTAACATATGGATGGAGTAGGAAAATATATCAGCTTGACAATGTCTCTTTTTATTATTGAATTTTTCTGCAAAGTTGATAATAACGTCTAGAAATCTTCCAGAACTGAGTTTAAAACTAATTTTAAGAGGATGTAAAACAATAAACATGATTAATTTGTCCATAAAACTCATTGTAAACTCAAAAAATTTGATTATAAATTAAAATGAAGCAAAGCAAATTGAAGATTATGAGATGATAATGCTTTTGACTTAGCATTTGAGGACACCGCACCAAGAACAATTTAAAGTTTTGTTTTTGATGTACTGCGCAGACTTTTCTATGCAGGTACCCTGTTTTGGTGTTTTTGGGCGCGCTGATGCCCGCGAACCGAGAATGATAAGGCCGCGTGTATAGGTCGTTCTTGCACCCATCGATCCAGAGGCCTGACTTAACTCGGAAAAAAAAGGTTTTTCGACCTCGAGCCGTTACCTATCTATATTCTATCGCTACCACAGCATAGTCCAGGGTACGTAGAATCCGAAAAGCAGATGGGCGTAATAACGACCTATACGCCTATAGGCTGTTCTTGGTGCGGTGTCCTCATTTGTCTTTGCTATCAAAAATATTTATACTTGGTACCAAATTAATAATTTCACATCCTAAAAAATTTGCTTGGGTAAAAAGTAATCAATCCTTGCATTGCGATAGATGACCTTCCAATCTTTCACAAGTTAGAGTTGGACTTATGTGTAAAAGCAAACAGCATAAGTACATACCATTACAACGAATTGCAAGTTCAGATTCATCTAACTTCTAATTGATCTTCACTATGAACATCATTAATACAATAATTTTGGTGCATAAGTAGGTAAATCAGAAAGATACCAAGTCTGATCATAATGGCATAAAAATAAAAAAGGCTAAAATTTTCAATTGATAAGGATACTTAAGAGGAAAATACACTCTCTACAGAAAATAAGATTTTCTTTCAATACAATACAAAAAGACCCAAAGAGAGGGATTACCATTTTGCACCCTCCAATATGCAGAAAATTCAAATTTTGTGTGTTTTGTGGATAAGGATTTTAGTTAAATATTCTTTATTAGAAATGCAAATTTGATATGAAGAAGAAAAGGCTTACATTCCTCTTAATCTTTGTGCTTGTAATGAATAAACATGCGAGAGAATTGTTATCTAGATTATTCCTGATAAAAAAACTAAAACAGCTAAAAATTGATCAATAATATAACTTATTAAAATTTTTAAAATTTGAAAAGATAATAAAAGCGTGAAAGGTACGATATGGATTTTGCAAAGACTGAAAAATGCTTACCATTGTCGGATACTAAGAGTTCGAATTTAGTTTTGGGATCTTGAGGATACCTTTGACTTGATGCAAGCATTTAAAGAGCAATAAATTGTATTTGCTAACTTTTTTCTGTGGGCAGGTATGGAAAAAGAAAAAGTGGTAGAGAATGCAGGTAAATGATGGTAAAGATTTACAAAAGATGGGCACTGATGCAGTTTAATTTGTTTCCATCATTTGTCACCTGAGTACCTGCTTATCATTATACGTTAAGGTTGTAGAGACAATTTTGAGATAGCTGATCCAGTAATCAGATATGAGTAAATTTCAGGTCTTAATTGATGGATAAGTAAGAGCAATATAAATCAAGTTAAGTTTTGAATTACTACATGTAGTTGGAATTTCTTCCTCGCTTTGAAAAAAATTGAATGTTATTTTTAAAATTTATCGATGAAGTTACTATTTTAAAAAAATGAGCGAGAACTGCACAATAAATATCGTACTTAATCAAGAGGGTAGTATATTCCTCCATAGAGATTTTTAGACCTCCATCATTAGAGGTTGGTGACAGAATTAAATAGCTTAAACACAAATGGACACTTCATTGTTCTTACAAGAAATCTAAAGGACAAATCTTTCATGACAACTGAACTTGGTCCGTTCAGTAACAGGAACTTTAAAATTAGATGACTTAAATTACCTTAATCATTCAGACTTTATCCATCTTTGAGTCTCGAGACATGACTTTGGTTTTAGTGCGACAATTGAGGCAACTTCTCTGGATCCTCTTCAGGTGGAACTTCCTCGGGGGGTCTCGTCCATTTGATCAATGTTTCTGGAGATCGATAGAGGAAAACTAATTTTGCAAACAGATCTTCCTCCAGGTCAAGCTCACCACTTTCCCGTACTAAATAAATGTCTAAACAAAGCTGGAAAATAGAGCAAAACATGTCAAATTTTCGATTACAGCGTATGCTATTCAATTGTAGTATTGAAGAGTGGCTCAGCGTTTCTGATTATAGAAAAATCTCGCCAAGTCAAATGGGCCTGTTGCAAACTTTTGCTAGACTAAAAATAAATGTTGAATATTGTAGAAAATGGGTCAAAAATCACGATGAGCGCATCGGCAAAGCTTGAAATGCACTCCTAACTTCAAAATCTGCGTACGAAAGAGCTTGATGCAAAAACGGGTTTTTGCGCCCCCCCCCCCCCCGAATTTCGTCGAACTTTGTCTATTGATTACTCTTACTTGAGCCCTTCTCTTCTCAAATTTTCAGAACCCCAAAAAATTTTGGAGGAGCACTAGGGGGGAGGGGCTGGAAGTCAAAACCTGTGAACCCCGATATCTCTCAAGCGAAGAAAGATATTATGGTCCGGTTGGGAAGAAAAATCGTCTAAAATTGCATACTTTAAGATTCGAAAGGTCAAAATCCCAAAGTTACGTTTTCAAGATAACATATGTGCTTTTTTTCAGTTTTTGAGTCCAGAAAATTTCTTTCAAACCAAAGATACACAAAATACTCAGAGTTCCAGAGTTCTGAGCAATTGAAGTTTCCGCTTTACGCGCGCCGGTCGGTTTTCGTGCGCCAAACTATGGTTCCAAAGCCGGATTTGTGTGTTAATAAATCAGATTAAATGTTCAGACTGTGCAAAATACATTTTAGGGAGTCATGAGGGTTGCTGAGTTCAGAAATTACAGATACTTCCAAAAAATTCACTTTTTTGAAATTAAAGCCTTGGAGCACTTCTTCAGAGGCCCACTGAGTCAATCGGCCGCTCAGTGGGCCTTTAAAGTTGCGCTACAGAAAAAGTGAATTTTTTGTAAGTATCTGCAATTTCTGAACTCGGAGACCCTCAAGACTCCCTAAAATGTATTTTGCACGGTTTGAACATTTAAGTTTGATGCAGTGTCCTACTGTACAGAGGTTGGAAGGAACGACTCCTTTAACGACATGTTCACCTGTACTGTGGTATCGTTTTTGAAGCAGAAAGCTCAAAAAAACGCAAATTTCTTGCGTTGATTAGGCAATGAAGAGTGCATTTCAGACTTTGTTGATGCACTCATCATTATTTTTGAGCTATTTTCTTTGAGGAATAACTCTTATTTTTGCTCTTGCAAATGTTTGCAATAGGCCCATAGCCAAAAGACCAAAAGAATTTACGATTGAAGCAGGATTTTGTCTCATCATTAGTTCTACGTTATGAGATTATGCTGTAAATGATTACAAAAAAAAATAAAGTGGAGATCTAAAAAAAAAAAATGAATTATATTATTGTTAAATCTTAATTTGTAATTCTGAACAAAATTTCGACTTAAAAAAATGTATCAAAACATCATGACAAGTTAAAATACACAATTCAATAAAATTGAGAAAAAGGTGTGAGCAAAATTTCAGCTCAAGATCAGACAGAAGATCAAAAAGTCTCGATCAAGCTTTCACAAACAGGAGGAATACGAGGCAATTTTGATGGATATTCATTCACAAACCGATATTTTTTTAGATATTTTTAGAGATATACAGAATTTAAATAGTGAAAGATTGGAGAGAAAGATAAAAAAGAGGGTTAAAAGCTTGTTACACGGCTGCTTGTAAATTAGCTACATCAGGCATCCAGGACTAAAAGGGTTTGGAGATGTATGACAAAGAGGGGAGAAATTGATGTAAGATTCCATGTAACCAGTGGATGAAAATGCTGTCAGTTTGAAAATTAGAGAAGCAGGCTCTCAAGAAGGGAGCGAGAGAGAAACTGATGAGCTGAAACTTTTTCTGTTTTTTACGACAGTTAAAACTGCAAACTTTCAATTCTTCTTCTTCTTTCTTAGAGGTTTTTCACAATATACCCATTTTTTTTGCCTACTACTTCAAATACCACACAAGCAGTAATCCTGTGCTTTCAGTTTGAGCCTCACCCTCTCAGTTCCTACTATACAACCAGCCGTTATTGGAGACTATCAAACTCGGGTCACCCAGCCAGAAATCAAACCGGAGACCTTCTGGTTATTGAGCCAGCGCTAATTCCACTACACCATTAGAGGCTGAGAATTAAATAATTAGTCCAAGAATATAGTCAAATATTCAAGGAAATAGTTTAGAGAATTTACCCCTATAACTTTACTTTACATACTGCTTTTTTTCGGTATACTACATTCTTGGTCAAAATGAGGGAGGAGAACGGCTTCATGTTAAATTTTGTAAAGAGCTTTGTGGTGCCTGATGAGCGCCGACAAGGAGGGCTAAAAATCTGGAAAAGTTCCTAGGATGATGCCACTGGGGCAAAGAAAGACTAATTAATCATAGCAATAAAGTATGGGAAATACCTGGAGAATCCTGTCAACATTGGGAACGTCATCAAACATGATTTTGAATGAGATTCCAGTGAAAAAGCCTCTAACGAACGTATGAACAACGATGACAAAAGTCGTATACAACCCAATGATACTGTGAAAAACAAAAAGAACACAATCCCATTAATTATTAATACACGAAGATAACATATTACTGGGTCCGCGAAGAAATATGAACATGACTGCGAATATGAGAATGGGAAATGAGTTTCACAATTCCTACAGAAATATTCTTGCCAAAAACATTTTAAAAGAAAATTACTAGTGATGGTGAGAAGAATTTGTCCTGGAAATGAGGAATTCCTGTCGATTCGACTGTCAGCTTTTGATTGGTTAGATTTTGATTAGCTTTCCTCGCTATAGACATGATTTTTGAACTATTCAATGAACTTTTTGGTTTTTCTGCAAAATTTGACATACAAATAGCTGATCTAAAAACCCTGCAAAATCCCCTTGCCACCGCCCCATTTTTTAGAGGAAAAAAGAAAAAGTGAGTCCTTACCCTTTTCCGCTGATGAGATTAAGAGTAGCTGGAAATGCTTTGTCGTTGAAGGTGTACAATGTGATCGTCGCATTGGCTGAATTTGGGCAAGAGTTGAGAGGTATGTCATTGAGAAAAATTGCATCAGGTAAAATAGAGCAGTCCTCAGATGCACTCCAGGAAAAATTGGTAGAGTTATCAGGAGGCCAAGAATGTAACTGTAAGGTTATATCTACATAATTTTTCTCTGGGACATTTTCTCTGCGATCTGCAACAGGTAGATACACAATCCAATAAGACTAAAAAAAGCATCTACTAATTTAAACTTCTTTGAAGTTCATGATGAAGGAAAAACCATCTCCATTTTATTTTCTAATTTTTTTTGGAGACTAGAAGGTTCTATCCGTTGGCCGCTTTGCAGCAAAGATTAGTATCACTGCCAGCCTCAGAAGAATTTTAGAGAAAGCTTGAAGAAAATCAAAGCAAAAATTTTAAAACGACAATGGCATAATTGGACGTATTTCTGTCAAACGGAGCTAAGTGCCAATTTGAGTTCTTTTTGAGGAAATTAGAATGCCGGATAGCGCGTTTTGTCAAACGGAACTAAGCGCCATGGAAAAGCATTGCATGTATAGGACGGAATGAGTCCGACGCCCGATTCCGCCGCCAATCCAAGCCCCCCTCTCCCTTCCTCCCCCGATGGCGCTTAGTTCCGTTTGACAGAAATACGTCCAATTATGAGTAGAGGAGTGAACAATTGCAATACATTTTGCTGTAAGACTAGTATTTTACGCTCAATTTAGAATCAATGTATGTGCTATTAAAGTTCCTGGGCAGACAGGTAGAGCTTTTCAATCCTGTTCACTTTCTTCTTCCTCCCCATCTGATTCCTTTTCTTGTGTATATTATAGTTTTTCCTCATTTTCCTTCTTTGCTTGTACTCATTTTTCCTTGCCCTTTATTTTTTCTGGTTTCCATAATTTCTTTTCCTCTTTTCCCTCTTTTGTACTACACTGCTTCTTTTTTCTCTCATTTTGCACTTCTTTCACATAAGAATCCAATCCAAGATTCACTCAGTTCTGAGGAACAGCGAGATCAGTGGTACTGCAAAGTAGCACAATTTTGGCGAGCAAAGCACAAACCTTCATTCATCATCAGTTGGTTGACAGGATAGGTGCTTCCAGGCCCAGTGATTTTTATAAATTTTGGTAATATTTCAGGGATATCTACTGCTTTTTCTTGGTTTTCAAGCATCTTGGTAATGTTAATTCGCATTATTTTGTCTAACTGCACGTCTTGTTTCCCTGACACAGTGCTTGGGTGTTCGGGATCTGTGCTGAGGCGCTGAATAGTCCAAGTGAGTTTGATATCGACAGAATCATCTGAGGAGAAATAGTTACACATGAAATTAATGATTAAATAGGTATGCACTTGCGGATTTTATAAGGCTTATGATAAGATACAAATTTAAGCAATCTGATACATGTTCCTGAACCAATATTTCACGCGTAACAGGCTTAGCGTGAAGAAAATTACTGAAACTAACTCCTTTTTAAGATATTATGGGCTTCTTGACGCATAAATTGAGAGCTCATGAAGAAACAAAAGTCTTTGTGCGTCAAATTGCTCACCTGATTTACCGTTGTAGCAGTTCGTGCAGTATGTAAATAGCCACCTCACTTTCTGTGCTTCGGCTCAGCTGTTGCACGTTGTTCACACTTTGAACAACATGAGGCAGAGAGGGAACATTGCTCAATTAAGAAGACTGCATTATGACAAAAACCATTATAATGCGCAATCAATTCAAGGAGGCTATTGTTTTTTCTTGTGAGCAGGAAATTAAAATTACCCATAACCGATGACAAGAAAAACCATTGATATCAGTAATTTTTGCTGCAGGAATCATTTTCTATGTGAACTTTTTTTAAGATCAAAAAACATAAATGAGAATGCTTAAATTCGTACTTTGTGTACTGGTCCATTGAAATATTTCCACTATAGGCATTAGAGGTCAGGGGGGATGGGGGATATAAAAATATTATTACAGCTTTTCTTCTTAGTTTCATGGTTCCAGTTTTTTTTAAAGTCTCTGCCACACAAGGCAGGGCTTAAGTTCCAGGACAGTTGAATATCATTTGAATTGTAGCAGGTAGCTTTGATTTCATGCAACAGTCAAAGTCGGAATTGAATCTGCAAACTTCACACTCCATTACGCCACTAGCAGATCTGAATCAATCGGCTTTGTACCATGAAATTATAGGAGCATGGTAGTCACAAATTTTCTTTCCATTCAAAATACAAGACTTTCGGTGTTTCCAAAGTGCCCATGGGCAAAAACTCTGAAACTCAAGTCTTTTTGTTTTAAAGTAGCTTTTGTTTGAATCGTGAATCCTTTGTTGGGCTAATGTGAAATTGTTTTTGACTTATGTAGCTAAACAAGTTTATGACAACAGAGATAATTCACGTAGTATAGAGAGGTAGAACCTAGCTAGTATGTAAACTGACTAATTTGTTGATCCTCATTGTACCTAGTTGTATTGATCAGCTTAATATGCCAGGTTGGGCATAAGAGACACTCGATACGCCACAACTTCTTCAATTATTGAGTTAAAATTTTCTGGTTTGGACTGTTGTCCTAATCATCAAGGGGAAATTTGTTTAGGGGGGGAGGCATAGAGGGGAATACAGTACCAAAATATCGACATTTTTAAATGAGGAGCGCCCCCCTCTCCCACTTGTGACACATCAAGTTATGGTGTATCTAGAGTTCCGTTTGCCCGTCCTAGTATCATGGCTAAATAAATTTAATTTGAAACATACCCTTCCCTGTGAGCTGTTCAATCATTGACTGCTTTCCGGGTGGTGAAATTGTCCACAGGGAAGCAGAGTTCACACTCAACTTCACCACCCCCACATCTTCCCAGTCATAGTTGGAAAGGAAGTTCTGCGCTGCTCGAGATTTCTTGTAAACACTTGCCATTTTCGTCCAGTCTTGCGGAGTAAATCTATGGAGAGAAAGTAATTAGAGACTATAATAAATGCTAGAGCATTAAAAGAGGACCTTCTGTCTTTGACTTTATTAGTCACAAAATAAGAAAAACTTTTCAAGGGAGGATTATTGGAAGCTTCCTGAGCTAATTAATTACTTACTGAATACATCTTGTGCTGCAGGACACTGATCCTTTCTTAAAGCAACTTTAAACAATAGAATTTCAGAACATAATGTGGTAGTTAAGTCAGGGTTGCCGCAAAATATAGACAATAAAATTCTCTGACACTTCCTTGATTTTCATGATACATTTAAGTAAAATTCCCTCACAATTGAAGTTATGCCAGATAGTTTAAAATACATAATTGAAATAGTTTTCAGGCAAAATTCGTCGTTCAATACGTCAAACCCATTCTAAAGAGCAATTAAAGGTGAATTAACAAATTTTCTCCGACACTTTCATCATTTTCCGTGACATTTCCTGGTATTCCCTGATTGTGGTAACCTTGTTAAGTATGGTAGTTGTAATGCTTTGTAACAATTTAGTTTTGTAGTAGTAGCAAGGCATGGTAATTTCCTTGATGGAACATCGGTTTTGGAAAATAATTGTTATTACAATAAATATTTTTCCTTTTAAAAAGGATCTTACTTCACAATTGATCCACTTTGAGCAGACATGGAGTAAATAGGTTCAAAGGAGCCGATACGGATGTCCATCTTAAACTCATACGGGAGATTAGGTTCACCAACAGTGTTACCAAGAGAAAACAAGACCAAAGGAAACCAAATCACAGCGATTAAAGCCACCAAACATCCACCTCCTACAAGATATTTGGTAAACGCAGATGTTTTGGCACCCCTCGGTGAGGGATACTCAGCTTCAAGTCGTCGTAAACACTGAAAAAATTGACCCAGAAAATATTAATAAGATTAACTAGCAAGCAGCATGCAAGAAATTCATTTTACAGATAAAGATAACTTCTGAAATGGACCTGCAGGCAGATTATTGAAATTTTCAGTTTGTCGGGCGGACATAGATTAAGCAGCGGATCATGATTGGTTGGCTATGTCTTATCGCTGCTTCGTCGCGCCTTTGTCAGGAGGAATTAACGACAAGCTAAAGGCACCTCTTTAGTTCCTGACGGTATGCTGTTCAATGCACCTGACAAAGACATGACAATGCAGCGATATGACATAGCCAACCAATCACGCTTCGCCGTTTAACCAATGTCCATCAGACAAACACAGAATTTCAATAATAGGCCCGCAGTAGACAAGGTGCGAATTCAAGCATTATGATACATGTATCTTGACCAAACCTTAACGTGGAGCATGGTTCAAGCAACAAAATTTGCTGAATTTGACTCCTAACTGCATATACTACACATATGATATTTAACATTTTTTGATGCATAAATTCGAACTTCCAGCCCATGGAGAAACAAAAATCTGTACTAAACATAACCATAACATTCTCTGCAGTATAAAAATGAGGCAACCTCAATCTCGATGCTATAGCTCAGTTGTTGCATGTTTTTAACACCTTGAACAACACAGGACAGGGTAGGAACACTAATCGATGAAGAGGCCTACCAGGGCCGTTGTGGGGCGCGATTGATTCAATTAGTAGACTGTTGTTTTTCTTGTGAGCAGTGAATTTCAAAATTACATGGATAACGTACCGTAAAAAAGTCAATATCTTAGTTAGGAGTTGATTTCCGTAATTTTCGATGCACGCATTGTGTTCTACGTGAAATATTTGTTGGGGAACATGCATCAGAATGCTTAAATTTGCATCTTGTCTAGTGGTCTATTATGTCTAGGTGACCTTCAGATAACCCGCGAGTCCTTCTTTAAAAAAATTGAATGTCTCAGGCTACTGATACTCTCTCTGGTCTGTCTTAATCATTCGAATCATATTTCTTAGCAAAATACCCTGAAACAGCTGGAGTTTAGTTATCGTCTCTCAATGTCTGTGTTTTAAGCACGGATCTGTCATTTGTTCAGAGACATGCTCTTGAAGCTGATTTTGCAATAGTAACTTGGCCACCACAACTTGGAGGCTGGACTTTCTACATTCTATTTCAATCGACACCTTGAAAGAACATTAGATTTAAATCTATGGGAACAGGGTATAACAGTAGTAAAGGAGAGCGGTACTTCTTTAATTTTAATGATTTGTTTGTTAGATTGGAATGAAAAAGCAATGCTAATACCTTCAGTTGGAAAATATGCGCAAAAATGTCTTCAAGTGTCAACCAGTCATTGAGAGACATTGAGGTATCTGTCCAGACCCAATCCATTAGTGCTCTTAATTCAAAGACGAATGGAATTAACATAAATCTAGAATCGGACAAAAAAAAAAAAGAGTGGTTAACAGACAAAGCTACCTTAAAATCAAACTTTTCATTTCGGAAAAGGATTGCAATAGTGCTTGCATTCGGGAAGAATCTGCAAATGAAAAGAAAATTCCCTGACCATTATTATAACGAGAACTTTTCAAGGTTTATGAGGGGTGTTTAATAAGTATGAGTAAGTAACTAACCCCAGAAATTTTCACTTGAAATTTAAAAGAAAAATCCGGGGAAAAGAAAACAATTACTAAAAGAAAGGGATGAAAAAATATCTGATGATGATTCACAGTCACTGATTTTCATAATGTGCGTTTTTCAGAATGTGGTTGATTAAGTGTCTGCAACACATACAGGAGATCAAAATGAGTGAGTAAAAAACTTACATCTTGAACAGGATTAAGTTTAATATGTTGTAATTTTTGCAAAGACAGTTTCCAAGAATCCTAGTTGGATAACCACTTCGTATTTGGTAGGCGGAGAGAAGTAAATACAAACATTTAACGAGGTACCACATTTGAGGCGGAAGAGTAGCATTAAATTTTCTGAAATAAAACAATAACACCTATAAGTGATGGCAAAAAAAAATTACTGCTGAGCTTTGATATTGTATGCCTGATGTGCCATGAAAATTATTAAAACTCTACCAACGGCACAAACTCTAATTATCAGAAATAAAGAATTCTAGTTTTGGAATACGCTCAAAAATAAAAAATTGACACGGTATTACAGAGTCTGTAGATGAACGAAAAACAAGCAGTAGTATTTTAAAATTATTAAATGTTAAAATCAGTGCCTGATTAGATTCTCTTTTATACTTATTTCTTTATGCATCCCAGTAAATAGTAATAAATTAAATACTACCAGAAACAGTTAATTAAAAAAAAAAAAAAAATTAAAGCATCACAATAAGGTTTCAGAGAAAAAACTAAAACACAACAGCTACTCTGCTGCATGGAAAAATCCTGTAAGAAAATTCGAATGTTGCCAAATTTTCCGTGATATAAACTTTCTTTGGGAAGAAAATAATGCATATTTTTCCTTGAAATTTTCAAAGATTCTACATTAGATTGTAAAACAAATCCTCTGAAAAATTAGAAGATAAATTTTCACAAATTTTCCTAAGAATCAGTATTTTATCTAGGGAAATTTAGAAATGCCTAAAGGTCTATAAAGTCTCCTTTACATGGCAGGACTGGGAATCACAATTAAAATGTTCTTAATATTTTAAAACAGTCATAATTTACCTCTCAGTTACAGCTGGTAGAATGAAAAACATCCATACATGCACCCCGATTATCAGGAAATATTGGAAAATGATTTTACCAAAGATGTACTTGCGCAGATATAATGTTCGATCAACAATGATCAAACCGAACTGAATGATAAGCATTACTAAAAATGCAAATGGGATCTTGTTTTCTTGGAAATACTGCGAAATCCCACCATCACCAAGTTGAGACTAAAATACAAGCAAAGAAAAAAATTACTGAAAATCATTGAGACATTAATTCTTTTGGACTTCAAAACGGATCTAACTGTACGACATTGTTTGTTTATTATTTGTGTTTAGAGCAGATTGGTTTTCTTTTCTGTTGAACCTTTAAATCATCGCAAGCGAATTTATTTGCACAATCACTCATTGAAATCTGCTTTATCTTATTTCATTGGAAAGATACGTAGATAGGTATTTAAAATACCAATGAACAGTGAGAGTTTTTGTACTCTTCCCGCATTTTAAAAAATATAATCTGTTTTGAAATAAATGCTTCAGAATTGCAGATGTAGTATAGGTATATGTATTTAGGTTTGCTACATATTTAAAAATATAATGAGATAGAGAAAATAAAGCGAAAACTAAGACTTACCCCAAAAGAGGCAACCCCAAAAATGACTACTAAAAGATTAAAGAAATCACAGAAGAACATGAGGGTGTAAACATCGGCAGTGACTCGCAAACTTGAAGTGAGAAGTTGTTGGAAGAATATTTTCATAGGACTTAGGTGCTTTTTTAGACTGTGGAATAGAAAAAAAAAATAATCAGAAAATTAGTCGACGAATCATTAAAAGCCGGATTAAACACTATACTGTTGACTTACACTTCATACTAAAAAGAAAATTCAAAATGGTTCCACAGGTAAGATTTATACAGAGTTCAAATGAAAGTAACACATGCACGGGAGTACAAGTTTTTACATTATCAGTTGGAAGAAATAATCTACGAAATAAGTTATAATACAGAGATCAGTTGTATTTTTGGAAATCGAAAATTTGAAACTTATGCTTAGAAACAATACTGGAGCCACAAGTGAAAGGATATCCTTTTGAGGGTCCTTTCTGACCGCTATAAATGAACAATATATCTGACAGGATTTGTGACCAATCAAGGGTTGATTTTGTTTTGGAGCGGTCTCTTACATTCCTGCCATTAATTTAGGAGGTGTCCGATTAAGTTAAAAAAGTAAATCTCATTACATTTATCGCACTTTGATGATACTTACGATAAGTAAATAATCTTTGGGTACAACATGCATGGATCAGCAAAAGTATGCTTCAGAATTATGATTCTAGCTTTGGCCAGTTTGTCCTCCGCTTCCAGGAGAGCGTAATTTTTTCCATCAGTGTCAATAGTTGCCACCTCAAAAGTTTGAGTGTTACATGGGACATCTAGTAAGGCTGGCGTTTGTTGAGACTTTTGTTTGGATTCCTCTAAATTAACAGGTTTATTATCATTTTTGTCGATTTCATCGTATACTTTCTTGATGTCCATTGTACTTGTCCACAAGCCCAATGATTTTAACATCCACCTGAAACACATGATACAATCTCGAAAATAATTAACTGATAAAAATGTTCTAACATGAGCAAGGAGCAAAATAAATAATAAGCCTACAGTTAATTTAAATAAAAAATTATTTCAGTAGATTGAATACCTCTGTTGTTTGCAATAGCACTTTATCCATAATCACAAGAAAAAAAAAAAAAAAAAAAAAAAAAAAAAAAAAAAAAAAAAAAACAGGGTATGTGATTACTGATTAGGATGGGATTCACAGGGCAATAATGTGTCTTTCTAAATTCTGCATCTTCCAGCGTAATAAGAACATTCAATATCAATCAATATTGTTATAATTTGGTATCAACATCCACTATCAAGGTGGAAAGTCAAAAGACCAAAGAAATAAAGTTATTAATTAAGCATTGACAATACTATAAGAAGCTGGAGCTGAACCTTTTAAGAGCTTTAAAGAGGATGAAAACATTGACAATAGTTACCTATGAAAGAAGACAACTAGTAAGAGAAACAGATCATAAGTGGCGAAGTTGATTTGGCGCTCAATGCCGATAATTCTTGGCGCATAAAAAGGAAGATTTTCTGGTACTACACCTTGGTTCCAAGGAATTAATTCCAACTGAAAAACACTTTTGATCACTATCATCACCTGGAAAATAGAGACACATAAATTGAAACGGAAAGAAAAACAATTGGTTAAGACCACAGGCATTTGCAAACTTTAGATGTTTATGATAGCTACCAAGAGCAGCAAACTAGTGAGAAGAGGAAGGGTACAAAAAGAGAATACAAAGAGAGGAAAATAAGACAGTGAAAAGAGAAAAACAAAAAAGAGGGTCATCTCCAGAGGTGATTTACGATTATACTTCGTGGACAACTTCTTGGATTGGCAAATTTTCAATGTAAATAAAAAGATGGGTGAAATTTGGTAATAGGTAGTCTTGCCTTGACGATAAAGAAAAATGAGCCTAAAAACAGACTGCCTATGTCTGCAAGAGCTCCAGCTATAATATTCACTTACAGCAAAGGACCGATGGTTACTTTTTTTATCGGACTGATTTGAAAATCTATGATTATTTGATGATTTCCTTTGCTTTGACCAAAGTTTCTACTTCCTTTTGAGACTCAATGTGCAAAGGAACAATAGGAATAAATGAATACCTAGTAAAGAGACGGTTGTAAACATCCCGTTTGCCATCATGAAAGATAAAATAAAATCCAGGTAGTATTGAGAAAAAGTATTCAAAGAACACAAACAACATTACCTAATGTTCTGGTACTTCGTGCGCAGGAAAATAAATAGGAGATTGACTAGAAAACTAGTCATTTTACACCATAGAATGGAGGGTTTTAGCAAAAAAACCACTTACCTCTGTGTAAGCGATGATTGTGACCCAAAATGTTTTGGTGGGTCTTGGTACAGTTAGGGTGCCCCATAGAAAAACCATAAGCGGTAGAGGAAGAGACAGAATTGTTGCTGATTCAATGTGGTGTATGAAAATCATGAAATAACACACTAATTCTGAGTGAGAGATTCCAGCAAACCAAAGTGCCAAAATTAATCGTACAATAGGAGGTTGATCAGCTGCACTCATTTCTCGTTTGTTCTCAAGTTCTTCAACCTGCGCTGGCCTGCAAATAAATAAAAATTCAGGATCAGAGAGTAACGGACAGAGTTGTTTCAATTTATGAAAAAAGCGTAAAGAAAAAGATTTAAGCCAAAACAAGGTCAATCTTAAGTTGATATTAGACCCACATCTTACTGGTATTCTTGAGTGAATGCAACTTGTTGATAAGGGTAACTTTGATAATTAAAACCCAATAAAAAAAATGAATAGAAAATACATAGAAATAAATCAAGAGAAATGAAATTGGCAGTGTAAAATGATGCCTAAGTTTCACTTTGCAGTCAAGAGCAATGTAAATGAGGTCTATATTCAATTTCATGGTTAAATTTGAAAGTACAGTGGCTTTATTTAACGACGCAGGGAAGTTAGTTTTAAAGGAATAGTTCTAAAGATGATAAAAAAAAACCAGAAAATCAGAATGACTTCTCAAAATATTAGGCATAGGATTCCAAGGGAAAATATTACCTGAAGACAATAACTGTTTCTAAAATTTTAAATTTTTCATAATTAGGATTTGAATTTGAGGTGGCAGTTGAGGAGATGGAAAGAGAGGAACTTGGGTCTAGAAAACTGAAACAGTGAAAAAGTAGGAGCGGAATAAGGAGGGTAAATTACAGTTACTCAGAAAAGGCTTTCAGGATCATGACAATAACAAATGTCTTAGACTGTCATTTGTCAACTTTCATGGTAAGTACAGAACTATACTTAGATGGACCATGATTTCAATTCATCAGAAAAATGAAAGTCTAAAATTTTGTTCCGGGCTTTTTGCTCAGCGCGAGGAATGATCGCCTGAACACTCTGTCAGGACTCTATGGAAACTATCAGGATTAAAGGAATTAGACCTGAACTTCATGTCCAGGAATAAATTAAAGTACCCATGTTCTTTGCCCAGGAAAGGCCCATTGTTTAATCTGATGAAGAGAGGGAGAGATTTCCTCCACGTTCTACTTGCCTTTAAATTGAATTAAGCGCGGTTCACTTGAGTGAGGATTGATGAAAAAGCTTCGCCCATGCAAGATTTTTTCTGTACCTTTAAGTGGGATGTGAGCACTGTCATATGAGCTTAAATGAAAATATTCTGTCAAGTTTTTCTGAAGTAAAATTAATTTTTATGGCTCCAAAACTTACATGGTCTCATCAACTTTTTGACATTTTCAATCCGACGGAAAAAATAGGTATGCATACTTTTCAATCCCTATGTAATCTTCCGACAAGAGTCAAATTGAGAGGGATTCTAAATAGCTTCTTTGGAGCCTCTAAGACTACACTATGTTTTTTCTCCTGCTTGTGTTTAGTGTTTCAGCCCATTTTTAACACAATTTTGTGTAAAGAAAAATTTTGTTTTCATGGGCAATTGTAATGTGGGCAGGTAATTTTCGACGAGAAATCGAATGTCTTTGAGATGTGTGGTTTTAAACTTCAGCCATTGATATTCTTAAGGATATGTCTTTCCTACCAAAATTTAATAAACGACCTTAAAAAAAAAAATCTTACCGACTAGAAGCTAATATTCCAAGCAAAAAACCATAAACTGACCGATACATGCTCCTGCCTGATAGAATCAAAATTTGCCTCAATATAAGGATGATCTTCTGCCTACGCTGTAGACTCTCTTATCAGAGCCTTACTACCAAGATTTTAGAGGGCCCACTTTTAAATTAAAACAGTTCCATGCATGTTAGTGGCGTTAAAAATTAATAAAAAAAAAGATAGAATTGAAATCAAGATTTTATTAAGAGGATTCAAACTTTTCTATATTGATTTATATTTTTTCTTAAATATTAAGAGCAGCGATTGTTAAGAGAATGAAATGATGTTTTTCATGGAGAGGACAAGAAAAGAAAGAAAGTTTGCAGGGTTCTCCCATTAAAAATTCGAAAAAGTCATTTTTAACGGCCACCCTAAGCAAGATACATAACGGATAAAGAAAGATGGTTGCATTTCGAATTCAGCCGCCATTTTAAAGGCTGTGATGCGAAGAGGGTACATGCTTTGCCATGCTATCAGCGTGTACCCGAAACGTACCCGATGCCGTGTGACGTCAAGAGGGTACGAAATGTGACCACCATTCTTTATCCACCTTGAGCAAAAAAGAGATATATTAAAAAAGCAGCCATAATATTAAAGACCAGGAGGATATGTAGAAAAAAACGTAAGACGTTGACTGGTTTCTTTGAGGTGGACAATAATATTAAACTAAGCTCTTAAAAGAGTGCAACTTTAACTTGGGTGTAAATGAACGAAACCCATGACAGACTCAAACTCACTACTCCCAACATTCATAAATGATAAGAATATTAATTTCATTCTGGAAAGGCAAAGCCAGCTACGTCAAACCATCTGGAGACAAATAAGTAATAATCATGAAAGATATTCTTTTTATTTATGGAGGAGGACCTCTTTTGTTCTGTAAATGCCCATGCAGTGCCAAGTTCTCATGGGCTTTTCGTCTTCATAGCGCTCATATTAAAATTTGCAAAAACTGAAATTGACTTTGATCTACATTGAATTTTTATGACAAACGCTTTCTTGTTTCTTTTTGCTAACAAGCGCCAACACTGATGATCAATGAATGCCATATTAATCAGCTTTTAACGTATTTGCGTAGTACATAACATTTTTTTCCCTGGCAGTACAAGCAACCAGGAGGGCAATAGAATACTCTTTAATAATCTTTAGAACAATATGCTATCTATCTGCAATCGAATAAACAAGACCAAAACAATTTCTTAGCGATCGTGCAAGTTAATTCACATGTGCACAGTTGTCCTGGGTTAGCGATGGCAGGTACATATGATATATACGGATGATCACTTAGCACTATGCGAGTTCACTTATCTATGTATGCAAATGGGTTAAAATCAAATTTCTTTTCATTTATTCCTTTTATTTTATTTTACACACCAGCAGGGATGCCATTTTCCTCGCAACTATAGCAAAATATTCCAATAGCAGCACACACAAAATTTATAGCAATAATATTCTCGTTAAATGGCAAACAGAAATCCAGGTAGCAAATGCCGTCAAAAACATTGTGTTGTATGTACCTTTCTCCTGAGTCAACAAATGCATTCATTTCTAAAGTCTCAGTACCTTCTATGGAATTATAGCCTCTGAAAATAATTAATATCAGAGCTAGAAAAACAGTCGGAAAAAAGATAAACTGAAGAGAGAAAAAAAATTAGGGTTCATAAAAAGTAAAATATTGCTGCTAATAAGAATTAAAACATCCCAAAATTAGTAATTCCCAAAACCGTGAAGAGGAAAAGGTTAAAACTGACTTGACTACAAAATACAGTGCAGAATTGGTAAGAGAGATTTGTTTTCTCAGTGCTTATGGTTAGGTTTAAAATTTGGTCTACCACAGATTGTTACGTTCCTCCTATTTGAAATTCGGGAGTATCCTCAACTGGATGCTAAAGTACGCTGCATTAACAACATTCTAAGTATTCCATTCAATGGCTTTCCCCATTTTCCAACTTATCCTGGCATTTCCTAATGCGAGGTTTTGCAACCTTTAAGTAATGTGGCTCCTCACATAAAACAAAGGACAAAAATACTTCTCTCATTTAACGTCCTTACTTTTCCACTGTTCACGCTGGGGACGAGAGGAGTTTCCTTTGTTGATTGTTTTCATTTAGGAAACTTGTGCCACATGATGGTGATTATTTTGAGTTCTGTTTAAGATTTCCAATTTAAAGTGACTAACGTACTTATCTCAAATCACACAATTGCTATATACCCCTTGATACAGAAAGCTTAAGGGTATTCAAATTATGTAGAGTGTAAAGTTAAGAATTTAAGACTTTGGTCATGGATTTATCGAGAGTTTTTGTCGATTTTCCACAAGAAAAGATTACTTGTCTTACAGCTGAGTGGTTGATTTGTTTAGGAAGGAAAACAAGTTACAAGAACCGCTACCTGCATTATACAATATTGAATGACACAAGTAATTCTTAAACGGATACATGAATGGATTCAGAAAAAAAAATAATGGAAACACTTACGAATAAGATGATTTTGGAACTACATCAATTGCCAGTGGTTGCCACATTGTGTACTTGCCAGTTCTGACACCAATGCCAAAATTTTTCTTTTCCTGACAAAAAAAAAAAAAAAATTCAGTGCAGTATTGGGATAGTAGTTCAGGGATAGTCATCAGAAATTGGCAGGAGGAGCGATACATAAAGAGAAGTAAAGATTTGGAGAAAATTAAAATAGATTTGAATTTACAATCTGCAAGATTACTTGTAATAGCGAAGGAACTTGTAAAGCAAGCTGTCGACAGATGATAAAAAAGGCCGCCATAGATACCAGGGTGCTCAAAAAAATTTGGAAAAATGGTTTTTGTGCTTCTATTAGGTAAATAAGCAAAGACCAAAGTATAAAAAAATCAGGGTTGGTAGAGCAACAGTCCCTGGATGATTTGGCGTGGAATGATTCACTTTGGCATTGATACACGTCACCTCATACATCACAAAAAATTAAATTAAATATATCTTTACTTGAGCATTGGTTAGCTGAGCAACAGAAAAATAACAGCAATGTCATGGACTTTTTCAGAGTGAATTTAGGCTCAGGAAATAATACAATGTCACAGTAGAGCTTTGATATCAGATTTTTATGAAATGATGAGCCTTGATTGTTAACATTTTGAAGAATAAAATCTAAAGTAATTGCAAAGAAAAAGCCTCAAAAAAAAGAGAATTAAATTTACCTTCAATAATTTTTTCTCGACAGACAAAGTTCGAATGACGTATCGATAATCTCGGGAGAATTTATTCAGCCATTTAGTTAAGGAAACCATAACACTGTTGATGAAGTGCCACACGAATTTCAGATACAAGATTAATTTTTGCCCACAAGTTTGCTTGTCCCCATCTGGAAACAAAAGTGAATAAAATAAATCAGATGTTGAGATACTAACATCTTGCTGCATCTTACTGATGATCATTGTTATTTAAAATAAGATTAGCATGATTCTGACTAATAAGTACACGCGGACTATTATACGCGGATGAGAGACAGTCTGTAGAATAAGCTAAATGGCATTACGCAAACAATCCAATAAATGAAGATATTTTAAACTGGAGGAATGCAATAAAAATAAAAATAAGAAATATAGGACAGGTGCTTAAGTATATTGCTTTGAGAGTAAAATTGTATGTGTATTCATTCCTCATTTTTAAGTGTGTGATAATAAATATTTTTACTAACCATTCAGAGGTCCTTAAAATCAATTGAAACAAAGTTATTTCAGAAATGCATCACATTAAGAAAAGGGATCTTCAATTCTATGATTTTCAAACAAAGACATACATATTTCCAGAACAAAAACTACAAAAATAAGACAGTGCTGATCAATTACCGGAGGATAAACTTTTACTGGTTTCATCTTCATCCGGAGGATCTTTAGACGGCTCAGGGGGACTGCTTTTTTGTTTCCTATAAAATAATAAAACACATTTAAAAGAGTAAAGGATGAAGTTGATGGGTCAGGGGCACCCATTTTTTAGAATTCATTTCCTGAAGGAACAGAGTGAACTTAGCTTCTGGAAATTTTTTCAGATTTTTTTTAACCCTAGAAGGCAAATAAAACCAATTTTGAAACTGCCAAAAATGCGACCCTTCCAAGCGATGTTGTTAGCTTGCTCTGATGACGTATCCAGGCAAGGGAACCGGCGCTTGCTGATTAACTGTACTTAGCATCAGGCATCGCCTTGCTTTGTTAACTTGACTTTCAGTTTTTGATAAGTTGGATTTTGATTAGCTTTTCCTCCCCTTAGAAATGATTTTTGGAGCTACTTGATGAACTTCTTCGTTTCTTCACAGAACTGTACAAGAGTATTGAAAATTCTTTGCCACTGTCCATTTAACAGCTCTAAAAATTTTTACACCAAGATGGAACATATTAAATTGAGACACTGCACGCCTTCAAGCAAAATCTTTTATTGCATACCATCAAAAAGATTCATAAATTGCAAATCAATGGTGAAACTACCGGACTATGTATCTCGGTTTGGGAAATTGTAGACTTCCTGTCGTACTTCATTTTTTAGATGGAAAACTACTCAACGTCAAATCTTGAAAAATTCCTTGATTTTTCTTCTCTAAGGAAAGAAAACTGTGAAAACTTCAAGGAATGATACTAATTTGTTCCCCCATAGAAAAAAAATAAAATAGGAGCAGAGATTTTTGAACACCGCAAGTGAAATATGTGGTCTGGTCATTTCACCGTTGATATTCTCTAATGAATTTGATACTTCATAAATTGAAGAACAATTTCATTTAAAAAAATTTGACAAGATATTTAAATCAATCCAACCTTAAAAAGTGCAAGCTAAACAGAAAATGAGTAAAAATGACTGCAAGAGAGCTTAAAGTCAGCGCTATAAGATCAGCAATTGAAATTCATGATTTGTCTAGATATAATTTTTTATATGTTTAAATGGAAAAGTTCTATTAGAACTTCTTCAGATTAAGTATGAATTTTTACACTGTATGTACACTCACTTTCGTAAAAAGATTTTTGGTCCTCTTCTGTGATGACTAGTTGTACCTTTTGAAGTGCTAGGTTGTGGTTCTTCATCCTGAAAATGGAGAGAAAGAAAAATAAAAGGAGGAAGAAAAATAAAAGTAGACTCTTCCCACTCTACAGTGGGAATTGGATACGGCTTGACACAAAGAATTTGGACTCAGTTTTGACTAGCAGTGGAAACTGCTTTGCAGCATAAAGAAGGATGTTGTGGAGCTGAAACACCAATTGCGTTCTGTCAGAGCGAAAAGTTTTGTGATGATTTAGCATTCAAAGGTCTCGATACACGATCAAATTCCCGAATCAATTACCATCAAAGTGTTGGGAGTCATCAGTCCTAAAATTATTGCTTTGCTTGATTTTAAAATGAAAACTTGGCAGAAATGTTTCGTCTGGTAGGAAATGATGAATGGTGGCACTCCATTGGGATCAAAATTTGACGGCCCGTCGGCCCGTCCAATTTTGATCAAAGAGGACTGTTGCATGGTCAACATCAGTCATCAACTGGTCTACTTTGATCAGAATTTGTTCAGACTTTGATCGTGTATCTAGACCTTAAGAGTTGATTTGTCCCTGGATAGTAGTAATAGACCTCTTTTAGTCATTCAAAGAAACTAACAGAGGTTACACGTTTGTTCGAGCATGCGCTAAATGCTAACAGCCCATAATTCTGTACTGTGCCAAAAATATTTCTGGATTATAAGATCAAAGGAAAACAGCATCTCCAACTGTACTAAATTTTAATACATAAATACGAGAATTTTGAGTATTCAATAAGTCAAAGATTTTGAGCTTTTAGGGATAAATTATTGTGTAAAATGACTCGCTTTCATGGGAGATAGAATTGTGCAGTATGCTACAACATAGTAGTCTCTTAGTTGCTTGCTAAGGAATATTACTGAAGTCTCTTATCAAAGAGGACACGACATACAAGGAAATAAGAGTAATTAGTCTTACTGAAAGGATATAATTTGAAACAGCTTATGTAAGACCAAAAGTTGCTAATATAAGCTTATAAGCCACTAATTCATCAATAATTAGACCTAATATTTATTGGTTAATGTCAAAACCTAGCAAGTTCATTTTCAGATAAGCCTTGAGTTCCATATAAATGCCTGAATTCTAGGACTCAACAAATATTGGACATGTTTCGTTTTAACATCCACCAATTTATTTATCCTGTAAGCATGGAATGAACCATTGACCAGCCCAAAAAAAAAAAAAAAAATTAAACCTGTTGCAAGGATCAATCTCTTGATCTTCCGTCTATAACATGAGTAACTTGTTCACTGAACAAGTGGGCAGTTCAGTGCTAATGAATAAAATTAATGCAAAATAAACAGCGCAAGGATATAGCATGGTTCCCAATTTCTTGCGCTGTACCGCCACTGTATTCTTTTGGCTCAAAAAAAAACGGAGGAAGAAAGTCTCCTGAGTCTACTTGCCGATAGAATGATGTGTTTTTTCTTTTTTGTTCAGGAATAACGGTGTGAGGCGAAAATGAAAATCAATGAGCAAAGATTCAAGGTAACAAAACAAAAAATAACTTACAAACTGTGGATGTCTTTCAATATCTGCTGTGACAGTGAAAGTAGTTGGTTTTTTACTTCTTGAATCTGGTTTATCAACTGTGGATTTCTTTTTCTTCTCAGCTAAACATTCAATACCACCAATTTTACACTCGGGCTCTGTAGACTTTATCATTTCTGAATCACATGGTGAGCAACTGAAGACCTCTTCTGAGCTTGGGGAGGTATTGTATGAACCGGAGGGCGGTTTAGAATCATGGGATGCAGATTTACTCTGATTAGAATCAAAGTAGCATAAAAGCAAAAACAAAAAAATAATAATAAAATGAGAACATCAACGCAGCAATTAACCAAAAAAGATAGAAACAAACTGAAAAAGACATGCAATAAAAAAGAAAAATCAACATGGTGATACTTCATTCAAAGCACAGTCATGCTAAGAAAAAATGCCTGCATGCGCCTTCAGACGTAGCCACATTTCCTTCAATAAAAACCGACTTTACTGGGGAAATTAATAACATTTCTTCACAATTTTCAAACAATTTTGTCTGCAATTTAATGTTACATATCTGAAAATTTCAAGGAAAAATAAGCATAACTTTCCTCAAATGTACATGTTTTATCTGGAGAAATTTGGCAACTCTTGAATGTTCATACAGAGTTTTTTCTTAGCACAACAGAACAGCTCCATTTAAATTTCAGACTAGTGTAAGCAACAAAATAAGAAATAAGATGCTTAGGGTAGGTTAGAATAAGCCAACTTGAATCTGGCTCCATGTTCTCTGGAGTAAAATATACGAGGGTCATCCAGAAAATAAGTTTACCTCCTAAATATCTCCTAAATTAAGGTAGGTAAAGAAAATCTGTAAAAAGCATTGAAAAGCCACTACTCTCAGCTCTCTAACGCCCTATAGATTTTTAAATTTGGTTTGATGTAACTATGGAAAAGCAGGTTTTTCTGAACCCACCTCCTTTCCTCACGGGTCCAGAATTTCACTGAGCTTCATTCGCAAGTGAGCCACTGTGCCTATTGCTTACGGCAAAAAAGTGGCTTACAGGTGGTTGAAATACATGTAAAACATAGGTAAAGACTTTACTTGAGTGGGAAATAGCAGTATTAGCCGTGTTCACTTCAAAATCAGCTGCATCCAAGCAAAAGTTTGCAGAATTGTCAGTGTTAATTCTCACTAGCTATTTTGATGAAAATTACCTTTCTCCCGATCACTTTTTATCCGGTGTTCTCAGACGATAGCTATTTCGATGATATAAATCATCATCATCAGGTCTTCGACTTCGACTTCGGTAAACACTAACGGTCACATCTTAAATTGTTAAAACTTACTAAAATTTACTAAGATTTACTAAAATTTACTATAAAACACTTTAAAAACTCGTGGGTGCACCCGTCGCGAACGCGTTCTTATCACCGGCGCGGCGTTCCGACCGTTGCGTCATCGAGATGCCCGTTCGTTGTTGGTGCGTGCGCATATCTCTGAGTAGGATTGGAGGGGCTACCAGTGTTGCCACCTCACTCTCTTGTTGGTTATTGAGCAGGTTGTCACCTTTTTGGGACTCTATGTAAAATTGTTCATAAAGGTTCATTCTCTTTCCCTTGGCGCATTTTTTCTTTACTTGTACTTCCGTGGCTTCCGGGTCATGTTTAGTGCTTATTAAATGATCAAATAAGCACAATAATGAGCAAATAATGTGATTTAATAAGCACTAAACATGACCCGGAAGCCACGGAAGTACAAGTAAAGAAAAAATGCGCCAAGGGAAAGAGAATGAACCTTTATGAACAATTTTACATAGAGTCCCAAAAAGGTGACAACCTGCTCAATAACCAACAAGAGAGTGAGGTGGCAACACTGGTAGCCCCTCCAATCCTACTCAGAGATATGCGCACGCACCAACAACGAACGGGCATCTCGATGACGCAACGGTCGGAACGCCGCGCCGGTGATAAGAACGCGTTCGCGACGGGTGCACCCACGAGTTTTTAAAGTGTTTTATAGTAAATTTTAGTAAATCTTAGTAAATTTTAGTAAGTTTTAACAATTTAAGATGTGACCGTTAGTGTTTACCGAAGTCGAAGTCGAAGACCTGATGATGATGATTTATATCATCGAAATAGCTATCGTCTGAGAACACCGGATAAAAAGTGATCGGGAGAAAGGTAATTTTCATCAACATAATGCAGCCCGATAAAAATAAGTTCAACTTTAAATCTCACTAGCTAATTGAATCCATCATAAACATTCAAATTATCCTGCTCGTTCTCGAAGAAATGATGATTGAAGATGCATGATTTGGAAAAATATGGAGCTTTCACAACTTTCTTATCATAAATGATCCTGAATTTGTGCAGTTACGGTCACTTTTCTTGGCAGGAGAATGAATAATGGAACTCAATTCAGACACCGAAACCAAATTCAGGGTTACAACTCCTTGAGCTGACCAAATGTAGCTTAACATTTCCATGTACTGCAGTCCAAAGCCACCACTTATGAAAGTAAACACCGTCAATCCTGCTATTTTTTACTTGAGAAAAGTCTTTACTCATGTTTTACAAGTATTTCAACCACCACTAAGCCACTTTTTTGCCACAAGCGACAGACACAGCGGCTCACTTGCGAATGGAGCTCAGTGAAATTTTGGACCCGTGCGGAAAGGAGGTGGGTTCAGAGAAACCTTTTTTCCTAGAGTTTCATCAAACCAAATTTAAAAATCTATAAGGCGTTAGATAGCTGAGAGTAGTGGCTTTTTAATGCTTTTTACAGATTTTCTGTAACTACCTTAGTTTAGGAGATATTGAACAGGTAAACTTACTTTCTGGACGACCCTTGTAATAATAATAAAAAAAAATTAATGATCGACTTGACCTGTTACTAAATTTAGATAAAGTGTGTATTTCATAGAGGCTGAAATCATTTTCGAGAATAGAGTAAATTTAATTAAACAAAAATAATTCACAAATTTAAGAGTGATTATTTCCTGTTTAGCGTCACCATAACTAATATGTAGTTTGGTAATAGCTCTGAATTGAATATTTGGATGAATGAACTGGAATTTTTGGGAAAGTATCCTTGTTTAAATTTGTACATTTTCACAAGGTTCTCAACAAATTTTGGACGAATATTATCCTGATTTTTTCGATTTTTTCAAGCCAAATTGAAATTTTCTTCCGACTTTTTCCTGACTTTTTTCTGACTTCTCTGACTTTCCCAGGTTCTCAAGCTGTTTATTTCTCCATGACAGTTCTGGGTTTTCCAGGCTGCTGGGAACCCTGTTTTAATATTGTGGGGCTTTTTTTACTCCAGGCGATGAAAAAGAGACAAATTAAAAGAATTTGCAAAATAACGTAAAGGCATGCAAAATTGCACACATGCAATTAATACGTGGGAAACAGGAAGAATGAATGGAGCTTGATTTGGCAAAACAAATAGACTTTCTCTCTTCATATAATTTCAAATTTCTGAAAAGGTTGTAAACCCCTGTTAATCTTGATTGCCTGTCATTTCTTCATTGTCTACTTGTCCTTCAAAGAAATAATGAGTAAATAATTTTTAGGAAGATCAACATAACTTCACCTCATTATAACTTGCAAATCATAGTATAACCTTTTTCAATCCATCTGCAATTTGCTTAATTGACTTAAAACCGATTTTGAAAAACTAATAATTTAATCTTATTAAACCCTTGAAAAGCTTCACATTAAGTATAGCACAGGAAGCATCCACACACTTAATGAAGGTTAAGAAAAAAAAAAACACTAAGAAGTGGCCCGAACTGAATGTAACAAGGTGGAGAAATAGTGCTGGATCCACACCATTTCGCGGGGAAAACAAAGCCAAGAAGTTCCAAAAATTAAAATTAGAGTCAAAATTAATTTTTTGAACTCTAATGCACACCAGTACGAAACTGAGGGGGGAGAGTGTCCAGCTCAGGCAGTTTGCATCGGAATATTAAATTGGAGTCACGTCGAGAGATCCATACCGGTTTGGGCCTTTTCAGACCTCATCAGTAGATCACACTCGGCAGTGAAACCAACTTAACATGCCGCAAAATCCAAGACGGCATTAAAATGCCGGCTTGGATATGACGCGGGGCATGACACAAAAGTGTGATCCTCGCGCCATCTACCGTCGCTGCTGAACAACTCTCATAACAAAACAAGGAAAACCCGAAAAATATAATTTTGACTCTAATTTTAATTTTTGGAACTTCTTGGCTTTGTTTTCCCCGCAAAATGGTGTGGACCCAGCACTATTTTTCCACCTTGTCACTTAATAAAAGTCATTACACAAATGACAGGGGATAATGGCGGATTCCTACAAAAATAACAAAGCAATGAAAACCAGTCTGGTACTTCAAGTAAAAAAAAAAAAAGAAAAATCTTGCTTCCCGACACAGATATAACAATTAAAATTTTAAATCGATTCTTGTCAAAATCACACTGAAAGTCAATGCCATTCATGGCTCCACTCAAAGAACTCGTGCATCACAGTTTAGAAGATGGAATATCTACGAATTGAACAACTAAAGACAATTACTAAGAAGTGCTAGATATTAAGGATGGTCAATAAATGTATTCAGACTGAAGAACTCACGCATTTGGCTAAAGAGGTTAAACTTCTCCATGCAACTTTTTCATCGGAGTCAGATGGAGATGCAGTGGACATGAGAGGAACAGAATGTCTTCTGGAAGGTAAGGAGGCCTTATCAGACGAAGAGCGCTGAAGCCACATCTTCCTCTCTTTTGTGGTGTCAGAAATGGTTTTTTTACGAATTTTTTCTTGCTCAGCCACAGTTTTTTGAATATCCGTCTTCATGACAGCAGTTAGTAGCTGTAATTACAATTAACGCACATAACACCATGCAAGCAAGCAGATAAAACAGTTGTTGATTCAAAGAAATCATTGTTATTTTTTCATCATTATGATACAGCATATAAAAGAAAAATCAAGGAAATTATTTCAAACTATGATCTAGCTGAATAAAACGCAGGAAGTTAAACAATTTTATTCGGGATATTCTGGCCTGGTTTCGTAGAGAAAAAAAGGAATAATGCAGAAAAGCTGGTATGAAGCATGTAAGCCCTTTGGATTAATACATTTTTTTTTGTAATTTAAAGGATGTGGAGACTCCAGCTGAGGAAACAAAAGTTGAATTCGAGGAGGTAAAAGTTTTGAATCTTCATTTAAGCTTTCAAAAAAAAAAAAAAAAAAAAAAAAAAAAAAAAAAATGTAAATATTTTATTTGGTGGACTTTATTCCTTCTTTGCAGTTTTATAAGTAATTTTTCGTCCACAGACTTTCAAAGGATACTAATTAATACACTCTCAGAATATTTCTTCAGTATAATATAATCGTTTGTATCAATTCTTATAATACAAAAGTAATTTGTAGATAACATTTTCGCCAGATTTGAAAAAACAAAAACATTATGAAGGTGAGATAAAATACTGAACAAAAATACGACTTAGTGAATTATCTTCGATCTTGTACTACATGAAAAGTAATATGGGGAATTTGTTTTGTTTGTAATACCTTATCTTGTTTCATATTTTTCTTCCCGCCAATTTCCCGTACCTACGTAGTTATTAGGAAACTGGAGAGATCGAATATTTTCCAAAAAAATTGTGCCCTAAAATCGGATTCTTCCCGGGTTTCAAAAAAACAAATTTTATGGCCAATCCCCAGAAATCCATGAAATCGAAGTTTCATTGTACTTCCTTTTCAACATGTTCAGTGCAAAAACTGGTGCTTCTTTAAAGTCCTAGATTTTTTCTTCAAATTAAATGTTCACCATATGTCCTTGAGTATTAAAAATCGCTGAATTGAAAATACAGATAATGTAAAGGACCAACCAAATGTTACAAGGTATAAAAAGATCATGCGATTGCAAGCTCTGGTTATGTGGCAAGAAATATGGACCAAGTGCCGGCATGTATCATTACATTTGAATATCACGCCACTAGCAGTTAATTAAAGAGGTAGTGCTCACAAAAACCAAAGTATTGAGCTACCACTACTCTCAAGAAGGGATTCTATTTACATTGACAAGAAAACAGAAAAAACCAAATATGATTGGGAAATTGCTTGAATAAAAGGAAAAAAGTTACCTCTGAAACTGTAGGTTCTGTTGGTTTGCCTTCGCCATAAAAAGATTCCTTGGATTCACTTTTTCCTTCTGATATTAAATCCAACTCTTCATCAACGTCATCAAACATGTAATAATCGCCTGATCGAATAGCTGTAGGAAATATGAGGCATCATATAAGAACACGACTTAGAGGATAACAAATTATGCTTATTCCTATAACTTGAAGAACAATTGATTAAACGCAAGATTAAAAGATTTAAATCACAAAGTAAATGATGAATGGTACGATGTTATACCGATATTGTAATATACAGTAAAATGGAATGGCCCCAAGATACTGAATTACTTTTTCCCGATTCAGCAAGATCATCGCTCTTCATTTCTACCATTGTTATGTTACAGTTTGGCTTCGACAGCTTTCATTCAGAAAGGACCACTAGTCAGGTATGAATTCAAGCAATCTAATACATGCTCAACCAAAATTTTACAAAGAACAAGATTCGCACAATGGAATTCACTGAAATTTTCTTTGAACGGAGATATTCGTGTTTTTAGTTTATATTGGTCACAAAAATTTTGAAATCTCCACTCACAAGAAAAACAATAGTTTGCTTGAATCAAATCATACACTACAAGGGTTTTGGCAGGCTTCTTAATCAAGCAATGTATCTTCCCCGCCTCAAGTTGTTTAAGTTTTAACAACATACAACAGATGGCCGAAACAACAGGACAGAGGTTGCCTCATATTCATACAGCAGAGACCATCACAGTAACGCTTAGTGCACGATTTGACTCACATGGACTTTTGGTCCTTCATGCGCAGGAAGTTTGTATTAACACATCAGAAAGCGTTAAATATCTTGCTTACGAGTAAATTTCAGTGATTTTCGTTGCGCGGATTGTAGTCTGCGTCAAATTTTGATGAGATAACATGTATCAGAATGCTTAAAGTTTCACTTTGTCTTCGTCCATTACAGTGAGACTGACTAACATTAACTCACTCATACTTAAGGGTACTTGCACTTGATTGAGCACAAGTTAGGATAAAAATTAAAGTACCAAAGTACGTTTTCTCGTAGAAATTTTATGCAGAACACAATAAATAAGTTTGAAATGTATAAAATCAACTAGAGAGTGAAGGTTAGAGTTAATAATTTAAATTAGCTTGTATCAATATTTATAAACGTGTATTTAACAAGAACAATTTTCCTTAACCCTTCCGATACCAAAAAAAGTTAACCTGTCCTGCAAGTTAACATTCACTTAAGGAATGATGGAATACACTGAATTTGAGATACGCTATTGGTATTACACATATCGACCATGAAATTACCAGAACATGTACCTCAGTTTGTGACGTCAGAGAATTCCTGTGTTATACTTCATTTTTTAAATAAATAACTACTCAATGTCAATGCTTAAGAACTTTCATGATTTTTCTTTGTGCAAGAAAAACTCGGCGAAAACTTAAAGGAATAATATTGACTTGTTCTCCTTCAAAAAAAATAGAATGGAAGCAGTGATATTTAAACCCCGCTGATGAGATAAGTGGTATGGTAATTTTACTATCAACATATAGTGCATGAACTAGCATTATATTGCTGTTACAAGAGCTAAAACTCAGGCATATTTCCGACACGGAGTCATTTTCACATGTCACTGCATCAGAGAGGAAGATTCAAAGTGCTTGCAATGCAACTTTCTTTCCTTGTCTGGTTTAAAGAATTTCCTTGGAATATCTTAATTTGGTATTGGAAGGGCTAAGCATTTCTGGTGGCTGAAAGAAAATGTTACAGATCAAAAATTCTCATGCAACAGCAAACAAGACGACAAAAAATATTGTCAAAGGGCAACACTTCAAAAAAATTTAATGTGAGATAAGCTAAAATGATAGAGAAAACTTTCATGTTAAAAGAGTTTGAAAGCACAAGAATATGATACAAAGCTCGATTAATGAAAGAGTGAGCCACAAGGGCAATTAGTTCTAGTGCAATTAATCAATTGTGCTCTGCTAAAGTTTTGATAAAGGTGAATACGGTGATGACTTGTCTGCTCTTTCACAGGAGGACACAGTCACAGACACTAATTAACACGAGTTTGAAATATTTCCATTCAGAGTATTATGTGCCGCCAAAAAAAAACAAAAAAAAACATGAAATCTTGTGCAAAAACTCTTAATTCTGACGGTGTGATTCATTTTAGTATAGATAAAAATTGACATCATGAGATACTTATTTGCACAAAAAGAAAAGCAAAGAAGGAAGTATAAAAGGGAGAAATCATCGAAGGAAAACCGAGAAAACTACAGATTGAAGAGCCACAACCAGAAACATGTTGATGCGTTGGGTTATTTTTTTTAAGCTTGAGAAAAATTTACCAGCTCGATTGGTTGTGGCACTTAAACGACGGAATTTTGGCCCAGGAATGGGTCTCCATGGATAATAATGTCCTAAATAATAATGTAAAATGCAATTAAGATACACTCAAACGAATTACATCAATTATTAACACAAATAAGATACACTTCCTTTTACCAATATTGAGACTAGCCCTGATGAGATAATTGATCTAGTCAGTGTCAACCGAGCTTTCTTTGATAATTTGAATTGAGTGAACGTTCAAACAACGTTCCTTAAAATCTCTTCCTTGGATTATTCAGAGAATAAATTAATACAAATGATAGATAAGCACAGCTACAAGATGTTTATTCCAGGGTTGAATACATCTGTGCCATATAGTGCCGATCATAATCTAAAGAAACCCACATTGTATGATCTTCATGTTAAAACCAGTTAACAAAAGAAAATAAACAAATATGTAAAACCATAAAATAAGGTAAACTGAAAAACTGGAGGGAAGGGAAATACATAGACGTGTAAGAGAACAAATACTGATGATGTTAAAAAATTTGGAGGTAGAATGTATCGTTGATCTTCAAAAACCAAAATCAAAAAGAACGAGAATAGAATAACAGGGCACTAGTGGATGACAAAAGAAAATTATGAGAACAAGGGTAGAAAGTGGAAAGACCAAAGCAAGGTCATTTTTTAGCTACTGCCACTGTTTGATGATGAAGTTATACTTGAAAAGGAGAAAGGAAAACATAAACTTACAAGAATAAATAAAGACAATAAAAGTGATATTTACAAATTTTGATCTTGTGAAAACATCGAGAAGCTCAAAGCAACATGACATCTACGATAGAGAAAGGTGTCGTACATGTATGATGAGAGGAAACTGAAAAAGAGCATCTGGGAGATCTTGCAAGATGATTTTGAAGCCAAGGAGGTCCAACTCCAAGACTTGATTGCCTACGATGATGGGATATGGTCGCACCAGAGGGCGGTGGAGAAAAAACAGACAGGGAATCATCGAATGATGTGCGTCTCGGATGAAATTCTGAGTTTGGCGGGGAGCCAAAGGAGATTCGTTGAGGATCAAGATAATGATCAAGAGAAACAGTCATTATGGCGGAAGTAGGAGTGGGAGCCTGAAGATACGAATTGGGTCGCGTTGCAGCAGGGGTTCCTTCTTCAACCGGTGTGTAAAAACCTTGAGGAGAGGTAGCTGATGATATTTCAGGAGATGAATCATGCGCCAGTGGAGCTTGAGCTTCAATAGCACCCTGGTTACCTATTATGTGGTTGGCATAAAACAGAACTCTTAACCATTCTTGCCTAGGGGTGTCCGGTGGTGCCTAGTAAGCTATCGAAATGGCTTTATTGAGAAGTACTGAAGATAAGGAAACCCTGACTGATATGCAAGTTGCAGTTTTCAGAGATAGTAAAAGTGAGCTGTTGCCATGTATATCAGGTCTATAGGCCATGTAAACCGACACATGGGGGGGGGGGCATTGTATTGACCAGACCTGTGCGATTAATCGAACGCTCATCGTAATCGTGATTAATTATTTTAATTGTAATCGTGATCGATAGCTTACTGACAAGGACTTACTGCAGCAACCCCAATGATCTTGAGCATCTGTTACCATGAAAACATACTGATTGATTGTTCAGATTAATTAATATAAAACAATTAGTAGGTATAATAGGCAAACAAGTATTGAACATTCTAATCGTCCTTAATTATAGAAGCAAAATCTTTTACCTGAAAGCATACTGAATACTTGATATCCAGTCATGATATATTTGATTGAACACAATGATAAAATTGCAATTGATGAATCTTTCTAAATGGACAAAATAATCGTGCTATGCACTTTCAACTATTTCCACTTAGAAAATCCATTGAGGTAGGAATTGACTGATCAGAACCAAGAGGTAGGTAAAAATGTATAGTTTTAATTAGCCACACACAGTCAATATTAATTCACTCGCAGTCGATAGGATATTTAATCAAATGGTACACAAAAATTCATACTGCAGTAGAAACTCAATACAACATCCATCTGGATACCAATTTAGTGCAGCATTTGTTCCAAATTCTGGACATTTTCCTTTAACAAATTATTATTAGTTGAAGCTGGCGAAAAAAGTTTATAAAAAAAAACTAAAAAGAAAAAAAAAATACTTTTGAGGGTTGTTGTATTAAGATTTGACTGTACTATTTTTCAAGATATTAGTGTACGATACATACCCAGGTAATGAGTTGCAGGTTCTTTGTAATTAGGACCTTGGATTCGTTTCTGTGATGCTTTGATGCGATCCATTTTATACTTAATTTTCTCTAAGATTTTTCGCTCAGTTTCTTGTTGTTCTTGAATTTGTTTTTGACTCAATTCTTCGATTAACTCTGCCCCTCTGAGAGTCGATTAAAGAGAGAAAAAGAAAGTAATTAAATACAGCGTTACTTTTACAGTGTAGAAGTAGAAATATTTTAATGGATATGGGTGATGGTCTGGCTGAACAAGATAAGATTTTATCTTGAAGAAAACATTGAAAAAATTTCAAGATGAAAGCACAGTAGCTGAACCCACTTGTATGACATTCAAACACATAATTTTTTCTAGAAATGCAAAAAATAAATCAAATGAGAAACACTTCTGAGATTTAGGTGTTATTTTTTTAAAAAAGGATTAATCACTACAGTAACTATATTATACAGAAAGCAAGCATTTTGGGGTCCAAAAATCCCTGAAACTTTTTTTGTTCTATTCCCTGGCGAATGACATTTTAAGTTTGGCAATTCGATTGGAATACTTTAGCAAATAACAATTTCAAAAGACGTCAATTTTGCATATCAATGGCCAAGGTGCAAAACGATGCACCCCCATCGTGATGTTTCAAAATTTTCATTCCTATTTTATTTTAATGAAGACAAACAAGTCAACTTGGCTTGAAATTTAAATAGAATAATTTCTGCTAATGGAGAAAAAAAATCAAGCTGGTTTCCACGAAATTACATTCATAAGTTTTTCGAAGAGGAGATAAAGTATGAGCGGAAGTCTGCAACGTTACAAACGAAGATACATCGTTTCACACTTTAGCCATCAATATTACTGTTTCCTGATGGTGGCAAAGAGCTCCAGCTGCTTGCACTACTTTTTTTTGTTCTTTAAAACTGAGTTTATTTTCACAATTTTAAATATATATTCCTGTCGCATACTATGAAGTCTTAATAACAGATTTGACTGTATTGCTTCAATCCACCTTAGGTTGAAGAAATACATTTCATTGTGAATACACCAACTGCAGAAAAAAAAATTTGACATTCAGAGAAACATACAGAATAATATAAACAATTACCTTGAAGCCAAAATGGCCATTGCTTTGGTCTCATCAATGACATGGAAGAAATAATAACTGTTGAATAACCTGCGTTGAATGATAAGTAACAAGAACGTGAATCCATCCCAAGCTAGTCCTTCATAATTAACCGCGTCTGATTTGAGATCTCCGATACCTGGTCCAACTTTGAATTCAAAATCTGCAGCATGAAAAAATATAAAATGACATGGTTGAAATTGAAAATAAATAAAAAAAGTACTCCGTTAGGGAAAATTCATAACACAGAAAAATTACATAAAAAATAATAATTTTGCATAAAAAAACTGGACAGTGTTTAATAGGAAGGAACCTTTTCACATTGAGCCGATTTCACAAGAATTGAGGTGAAAGTTTACATGTTCTTGCTGCTAGAAACCTTTGGGATCTACTGAAGTTTAAATAGTCCCAACCAGTGTCTTTATGCGGGATTTTTATTTGAATCAAAAGAATTGAAATTAATGTTTTATCTATTAAATTAATCGTGTTTTTGTCACCGGCTCCCTGTTGCTTCTTTCAGAGTAGGTGAAATCAAATCAAAGAAAGCAATCAAGTACCCATCTGTGACAGATCATATTTAGCGAACCAATTTACAAAAATAACAAAGTTTTATCTGTTAATTCAATTTTGAATGCTGCAAGGACTCGGTTGCCAAAGGACTAAAGTTGCTTGAAGAGCACATTGCTGAGTTTTTGGCGAGGATCCAGCAGTGGAAATACTGCAATTGGCCCGAGGGCAAACAAATTGTATTCCTATGTAATCAGTTCCTTTCTGTAAATTATAAATCACCTGTGGCAGACCAATCCACATTTCAAATCGACATTTCTAAATGAAAAAATTATTTCTGCAAAAAAGGTCTCGCCATAAAATACAGAAGTACTTACTAGGCCTGTTCGGACCCATCATTAACTCAAGTTTCTCAAAAAGCCTGAACGTAGTCCAATTAATATGTTGCAAAATTTGGAACCAAAAATAAAATTAAAAAAAATTATATGATTACTGAGAAAAGAATTGAAAGAAAAAATAAACGCATAAAAAATATGATTATTTCTAAGGCAAATGAACTGACCTGATTGTAGTTTATTGATACAAGATATTTCTAGGAGCTGAGTCAACCAACAAAACTTTTCTTGCATGACTTTGATGAATAAACAAGCAGGAATTTGAAGCAAGGTTTTCGATAAAATGACTAAAACGTTGTATAAGATTAGGTAGTCCCACCTATAAAGAAAGAAAAATCAAATTTCACTTAAAAGCGTATGTATTGTGCAATGGTAGTGCGTTACAGGTCTGAGTACACAAAGTTCCTTCACACAATGATTTGTAATGTCAAAACAGTTGAAAACGTTGACGGTTTGGTCTCTGTCAAATCAAAGGAGATATCGCAGAAAGATATAGCGCGTTTCAGGACTACCCAAGGTAAATCTTGTTTGCAGCACTTCGATTAAGTTTACAATGATCAAACTGCTTGCCTCTCTGACCATCAAGACATTACTTTGCAAGTTATTGTATCCAGTGGCTGCAGTGTCTCAGGAAACTAGTGAATTCAGTAATTCTCAGAGGTAAATTTTGATAAAAAGAGGTTGCGCATAGTTCCATTGCAGATTATTTCTACTTATTTTTTAAAAAAAGGCTACCCTTGATTGCTAGTGTCATTGCAAAGATAGGACAAGCATCACAAATAATGTCCAAGGGTTTGAATTGGCAAAGTCATCATCTCCCCCTTAAAAAAATGTAATGGGCCTGTTGCAAACTTTTGCTAGAGCAAAAATAAGAGTTGTTTCTTATAGATAATGCCTCAAAAATCACGATGAGCGCATCGGCAAAGTCTGAAATGCACTCATAACTTCACAATCTGCGTAAGAAATTTGCGTTTTTTTAAGCTTCCCGCTTCAAAAACGATACTACGGCATAGGTGAACATTTTGTTAGAGGAGTCGCTCCATCGTCGGCGATATTCATCATGGCCGACGCTTGCACGCAGTTCCGCGCGTAATTCAAGGAGAGTTCAAGGTCAATCAATTCGGGCGTGGAAAATATGAACGTTAACACACCGATTGTTATCTGGTCTAATCCAGTTCAGGTGTTATCTCGTCCCATCAAACGTGTTTTGGCGGATTGGCGTCGGCTATGATGATTATTGCCGACGATGGAACGACTCCTCTTACAAAATGTTCACCTGTGCCGTAGTATCGTTTTTGAAGCGGGAAGCTCGAAAAACCGCAAATTTCTTACGCAGTTTGTGAAGTTATGAGTGCATTTCAGAGTTTGCCGATGCGCTCATCGTGATTTTTGAGGCATTATCTATAAGAAACAACTCTTAGTTTTGCTCTAGCAAAAGTTTGCAACAGGCCCATTAGCCAGAGAAAATGGCACACAATGAAATAAGTGGCCCTTCACCCCACCTACTCTGTATTTAAATTTGAAACAAACATTGACCTGATATTTCGCTCACCATTTCAGGATTATTCTGATTGGCCTCAGGTAGAGGTCATTTCCAAGCCATAGGAAAATGAAAGCACCAATCAAATAACCTAAAGAGAAGAACGTGATTCGATGGGTACCCGTTAAAAATATAAACGCTAAAGTGAGCCAAAGGAATCCTTGAACAAAAATTCTTTTTCCAATGTCAAGCCATCCTCTGTAAAGGAAATACAAAATAAAATACAGAAACTTATTGAATGCAATACATTGATAGGATCCGTTATTACAAAGAGGCAATTTGATGCACGAGTCATTTCAACAAAAATGCACATAATCTCTCTGTGGAATCTCTTTTGAAATAATAACTCAGGAAAAGCATTTTAGGCACATCTAATAAGGTGGAGTAAAAATCAAAACCAACTCCTTAAAATTGATCGCATTGAATGCATGGATCAGTATCTCTTTAAAAAAGGTCAACTTTCAAACATAGGATGCTCTCACTCTAAATGATGCTCTTGAAATAACTGATCATTACCACAAGATCGAAGATCAATTTCTTTATTTAAAATTAAAAAGAACTAGGCTTCATGGGGCATATTCTGCATACCCCCTTGTCCTCTATCATAAAAGCAACATCAGATATTATTTTAAGGCATTCGCTAATCCTATTATGAGAAGTTGTTGAAGGAGGATTTTCTGAAATAAAACACACAAGACAACGAAGATGATGAAAAATCGCATTTCAGAGCAATTGGTAAAGTTTCTCTTCCAGAGAACTTTTTCTTTTCTTCTATTCAAATGGCAAAGTCTAAAATGCATGGATTCCATTGTTATCCGAAAGAGATAAGCAAGGAAGCACAACATCTTGGAGCTTGTATAATCAATTCTCGGCTAGTAAATAAATATTTTAATAAGGAATAAATGGCTCCATGGAGTGAGTTAAGTAAAACATTTTCATTTTTTCTGTTAAGGTTTCAAAAAGAAAGATGTCATTTAGAGGCTGACCGTGCAGAGGAGATGAAATCTGGGGTAGGATTTTGGAAGTTTGGTTCGTCAATTAGATGAATGATAGATTCGTTGCTGCCGCCAACATAATCAAGGCCTTGATGTCGTTTTTCGATCCGAAACACGACAGCCTGGCGGGAGGCAATCAATAATAAAATAAAATCACCTGCGAACAAAAAAAAGGAGGGGAAATCTGAATTAGAAAAATCACACAACAGTCAAAAATTTGTTTGTGCAGTATTATTTTTCTTCTTCTTCCTTTTATGAGTATTTAGTGAATGGTGTTTTTGAACCAGGTTCATCAAGAAATTGTTTCAAAGATTTTGCAAATGCATTACAATAAAAATAAAAAAACGAAATAAATAAAAGAGAAATAGACACTAAAATGGAAAATAAAAAATGAATATGATGAAGAATGTTGAGTGAAATGATTGAGAAGAATCATTTTACATTGCTGCATAATATAAGTGCTTAGGTTCATCTACTCAGGAACTTTGGTTTGTTTAACCTTGCTACAGCTGCTGATATTGCTTTCATGAGTCGTTATATTCTCTTTTCTTTTTCTCTGGATTTAGATACAAGTATGATAATTAATAATTTATTAAAAGATTACTTTATGTCTGTTCATGTTTGCCAGTTTCCAAGTTTGTACTATTTCTTTCTTTTTTGTAAATGATGGGCTTGCCCTGACATTGTTGAAAATAAATAAATAGATAAACAAATATCACTCACATAAGACTCTGGAAACTTTTTTGGTATTACGAGATTCATCGGCTAAGAATAACCAGACTCGTAGATTGTGCAATAAGGTGGAATCAATGTTGCACCATGGAAAACCTGAAAAACAGAGAGAAATATTTTCAAATATACAACTCTGGCTCAGAAGTTAGAAGCACAAAATCGTGTTGACCCTTCAAATTTTAATGATGCATATGAAAGATATGAAACACAGACAAGGTACTAACAGATATCAAAACTTACTTTTTGAAAAATAAATTTCCTGAAAATGAATTTTCCCGACATTTCCGTGATTTCCCTGATACGCTTTGGTAAAATGCCCTGACAATTAAAGATATGCCCAATGGTTAACAAGACATAATTAGAAATAGTTTTTAAGCAAAATTTGTTGTTCGAGACGTTATATTCATTCTAGACAGGAAATAAAGGTGACCTAACAATTTTTCTCTGACCTTTTCGTCATTTGCTCTGACATTTCTAGGTTTTCCCTGACTTTATAAAATTTGCTGACATTTCCCCTTTTTCCTGTCATTCCCTGACCAAGAATCCTGTCTTAAAGCCCAATTCACAGCATTCAAATTTTCATTCAACTCTTCTTCCGCTTTTATTAAATGAAAATTTGGATCGTATGATACCGACACCAGCACATAAGAATTTGATGAAAAGTTGATCGGAAACTTGAATGTGATGATTGCTTCAACTCTCTGTTCCACTGGCATCTCTTCATCCAATTGGCAGTACAGTTTAGATGGAAAGTTGAAACAAAATCTTCTGATTGACACTAGCTGAAACTGTATCTCTGCAAACCAGTAGCTGAAGGAGATACCAAAACTCTGTTTGACGATATCACTTGGCAATGGCAGTTGAATCAAACTTTGTTGCGGTCAACTTTCCATTCAACTTTTTATCTGCTTCTGTTGGATGTTTGAAGGGCTTGAATGACAGTGTTTTGGTGATACATCATGCGATGGTGAAGTCATCATTATGCCTATGATTTGACTTTTTTCTTTGTTCAGAACTTAAACAATGTTTGAGCATTTGCTTGGTCACAAAGTAGACTTTAAAAAGATACATTTTCTAAAAACTTACCAAAGCACTGATATGGAGGTAAAGCCACAACTAAAGTGTATTGCAGTGGAATCAAAAACACCATGAAAATGATGAAACACAACCAAACAGTTTTGCGAGTATCTTGCTTAAGTGATACAAAAATTATGAGCCAAACTGAATAGATTAAAGCATATATATCCATCCTATTAGAGACAACAAGTACTATTGAGATCAATGTCACCTGAAAGAGAGAGACGTTGAAGTTTAAAAAAAATGATTCATTAAAAAATTTACTGACAACTTGTTTTCTACTGATATACTTTTAGACTGAGTTGACCAAACTAAGCCTACTGATAAATTTAACATTATACCCTGCAACATCATATTCAGGAGGAATTTTTGGAGTCAAAATAAGACCTCTTTGTCCAATTGAAATGGGTCCAAAAGTGTGACATCTTCTATTTGTACATGTGCAGAGTCGTGGAGAAGAACTGTTTTTTTCTTTCTTTCCACTCATTTACATTTCCGCTTGGGATAGATTGTGATACGATTCTTTACTGCTTCATACAGTTTGAGGCGCATTCTGAGTCTCTACAAAAAATAAAATTAGATGTATATTTTCTTTGGAAGAGAAAGGACTTATGGAGTTGCTATCTTTTGAATGGTCAAAGCTTTTAAATCTGCTGAAAAACACTGTTTAAACGACAGAATCAAAAGAACATGATGTACTTTTTGGATGTCTCTTGTGCTCTTTTAATGCGAGCAACCACTGATGAGAGAAATGATGCGAGGACCCCCAGAGTTAGGCTCTGCTGTTTTGATCTCCCTTAGTTAGATGATGCTAGCAGATGTGCACACAAGTGATCTACAACTTCTTCACAGCCAGCTGAACAAGGCTGAACCAAAAGTGCCACTTTGTGGTAATTTTCAATTTTTTATTTGATACACAATTCTCACTTTCATCTCTTACTGCTTAGTCTATTTTTTTGTCTTGTTTTTGGGTGAAATTTTCCGGCTCAAATGCTGGAAAGCAAAAGAGGTTAAAATAATTAGATACTAAAAGCTAAAAAAGCAACAAAAAATGGCATACCTCTACACCAAAACGATAGAAGAAAAAATTCAGTAGATACTTGATAAAACATGTTAAGTTACGATCTGCATCTCTGTATGTGATTCTCGGAAACAGATTAAAAGGCCGTGATAAGGGACGACCTTTCAAGTGTCTTTGGTACTTCTGTCGAATCATTACGACAGTGAAAAGAGTGGTAATTATTATTATGCCTGTAACATAAAAGAATTGATGAACCCAAGTTAATTTCATTTATAAAAAAATAGTTTTGATATAGATGGGAAAAAGCAATGATATAGCAAAAAGGGAAAGATTTTTGAGATTCCATTGACAAAACATTTATCGGAAAAATTTGATGGAGGCATTAGCTCTTTCGCTAGCCTATACACAAAAACCAAGGAATCATCTTGCAAATAGGGCAGTGGCAAGGAATTTTTACAGGGTAGTAATATAATTTTTCCTGCGTAAACTTTCATGAAAAAACCAAAAAATTCATTAAAAAGATAAAAAAATATTTTCTGAGGAGAAATAAAGCTAATCAAAATCTGACCATTCAAAAGTCAACAGTCGAGTTGACATGGCAAGGTGAAACTTGAATATGAGTTCAGCCAATCAGCAAGCGCAATTTCCCCCACCTAGCTGCATCATCAGAGCCTGTGAAAAATATTGTTTCTAACTGGTTCCATTTATGTTATTTTCAAAACGGAGGTTCTTTGCCATTTAGATTACAAAAAAGCCAGAGAAATCCCTGGAAGCTCAGTTCACTTTCCACTTTCAAAAAATGAACTTGATAAAAAATGGGTGCCATTGACTCATTGAAGTAAAAGCCTAACCTTGAGTTCAGTGTTCATGATACAGAGATCAGGTAGGTGCAAATACATTTCTTTTGACAAGCTCAATATGATGAAAGAACAAAGAAAATAATAGATGCAACTTACAAATGTAGCCTTTGAGAAGAGTGGGTAGTTTTCTAGTGGAATTTGTTTTATAGAAGCCTAGTAATTCAGCAGAGTTATACATTGTAAGGTTTCCTTCTCGCGTCTGTAAATAAAATAAAATTTTCAAGAGTTTCAAATATCAGCTTGGATCAGGATACTTGCTCATATGAACTTTTAGATCAGGGTGTCAAGCAATTTTCAAAAATAAAATTCCCCCACATTTCCCTGACAAAAACGGCCAAAAAACCGGGACAATTTTTTAAATTTTCTGACCGACAGAAAAAATGATTCCCTGACAAAAACATGGTGATGAAAACATGAGATGAACTCTAAACTAGCTATGTCAGGAATAAGACATTGCGATCTATTGTGCTCCTTTGTAAAGGTTATGCATTTCATTTTACGAAAGCAAAACTTTTTTGTGCTTCCAGGAGCAAGACATTTAATATTGGATTAAAAACCTTAAATCAACAAAGACTTGATGAACTTACTGTACAGTTGATGTTCCACGTGTCGTGAGAAATATACTGGATTTGATAGATCATCTTCAGAAGTAAGAAAACGGCAATTATAATAGTCATTATATGAATGATTAACACTTGAATCTTCCGAGTTAAAACAGTTGCAATAACGGCCAGGAGGACAAACACAAGATGTAAAGCACAGGCCTGAAAAATTCATGACAATATCATGAGCAAACATTTTCATAAATAAACAAAGGCATGATTATGAGTTAAATAAACTCCTGGCGCAAATGTAAAAATTGTATTTAATCCTCAAATTATTGAGACTTAATACTGGAGTGGTCAAAGCAACCTGCGATTTGCAACAGAGGTGGTATAAGTGTAATATAGGTTGAAATGGAAGATAGCTGGCTAAAATTTAACTTTCATTCACTATCAGTGCAGTGAATTGAATTATACTCTCTAGCTACTAATAGAAGCGTTCGATGATTTAACCCCGAAATAAATAAACTGTTCTGACACTGCTTTTAAGGGGTGGCACAGTTCAATGAAAAATGTCAAATGCTGTTGCCACTAAATCAGTTTAATTTATTATGTGGATAGAAAATGGAAACGGAAGCAAAATAATTACATCAAAGACAGCCAGGAACATGACAGACAACAAGATGATTTTGATCATGTGGAGCTCTAGATACAGCCAAAACAATTCAATGAACTGAAGTAACATTGACTTGATATTGTCCCATAGGAATCGCCACTGAAGATTCATCAAACCTGGGAAGAAAAAAAATGATTAGAGTATTATGATTAGAATTAATTTTCAGAATAAGGAAGTTACGTGTGTCTATGGTTGGCTGCCACCTTTTTTATTTGGACGCTTTCCAGTGTTGTCGAGTTTAGACTTAGTCCGGAGGTGGCTACCGCCACTCATGATACTCAAAACAAAATTACAACTCTTTTTACTCTGCAGTTTAATAAGGAAGTTCATTCTCTCTCTATTTGCTGATGAGAATAATTCAGGAGAGATTCCTTTTTGTTGCTAGTTTCAGCAACAGATTTTTTTGTAGGGTGGTTTTTTGTTAATAAAGGAGCTACAGAGAACTGGATAAGAAAAAGTTGGAAAAATATATATATAAAAAAAAACAGGTAAATACTCACTGTAGCATTGATTAATGTCAATATTGCAGACGCATTTTACCGACTCTACTCTTCTGAATCTTCTGCGCGAATCCACGATTATCAGCACGAGTTATCCTCAGAGAAAACTTTGCGCTAAGGGTGTCAAAGAGCAGAGCCGGCAAAACGCGTCCGCAATACTGATATGAAGTTACACGCAAGTAATGAACTAACTGTGGCTTACAAACTAGGTGCAGTCCTATTGTTGAAAAAGTTACGTATCCTTTTAAATTATATTCATATTATTTTTACTCCATTTTTATGCTATTAAAAATAAAAGTGTTAATTGAGATTTGAGTGATGATTTTGGGTGGTGAGGGTTTGATCAAAAGTTTGTAGAGTTCCTGAAAAAAAAAAAAAAACTTACCATTTTTCAAAAGGTTGAATCTAGGGGTAGAGTCTTTGTTTTCATCTTCTTCTTGTTCCATGTCTGTGACATGTGGTTCAGCAGAGGATGTTCTGTCAGAGAATTTTGAGTCTTCTGCATCAGATCTTGAGCGAGAGGCAACGGATCTTGATCGGTCTCGAGCGATGCTTGTGCCCCTGGTTTCAAAAGATAAGGCAAGATACAGAACATTGACAGAACATATTACTAATTTAGGAGTCATACAGAGTAATTTGACCTATATAAACACACTGGGGTCTTGACTGGGAAAATTTTTTATATCTATGTAATTTTTCAGTTCATCTCACTTTAACGTTAAATTTGTAAAATATATCATACAAAACTTGAACTATGAACACTGCACGTTTTTTCCTGCCAAAGGAATAGTACCAATTTGCTTAAAACCTACTTAGCCTACAACGTAAGAAAAATTCTGATGAAACTCAGAATAATATTAGGAACTTTATAAATATTTAAACTGATTTATAATCTAGAAGGAATAAAATACGCATAATATTTACCTGCTCTTGATATCTGAGATGGCAAGAAAGTCCTTATGAAAATAGTACAGCTGTATACAAGTTATGATGACAAAAAATGTGGGAGTCAGGAGCCGAACGAACAGTTCAGTTGTATCAAACAACTCTAATCCGATATCTAACTGCCTGCAAGAAGAGAGATTTTAAAAAAATTTAGTTCTCAACTTAAGATGTTGGTACATTAAAAATTATTATACAAGATCAGATATTACGTAAATGTTAACAGAATGATATAAGAGGCCGTTCATAAAAAACGAAACACAACATTTAGGATTTTTTTAAACCCCCTCTCCCTCTCCTAATGCTTTTGCAACACTTGCATTTGAAATATTAGCCATCAGAAGGGCACTTAACTGAATCTTGAAGAATTATCATGCCTAATTTCTGCTTGATCTTGAGATAGTTTTTTTACCTCAGGTAACCGATGGTTTAAAAAAGGCAATAATCGGCAAATCCTGATGTTTTCTGTAAAGATATAAGGCTGACAGGGCCAAAGATTGTATTATTGTGTCCATGTTGCTCTTTACATGGCTGGCGTCTTGGTTAAAGCACAAGAATTTACAGGCGTTTTGTGTGTGTTTCTTTCAACTTTAAAGGATGTTAGTTGCTCTGGCTAAATATTTTCATTTTTGGCAAGTAATAGAAATAATTTCAAAAGTGTGTAACAGAATTTTGAAAAATTCTACTATCACTTTATAGAAAATAGTCTTGCATAAATTATTTGAATGATTCAAATCTTTGCGACTTACAACTCAGGGCTGATGCCAATATTTGTCCAGTACTCTTTAAAATGATCAAATTGATATGTGTAGACAGAAACGAGAACGATCATTGAATAAATTATGACAGTTAACCAAAATTCATACATCATTTTCCGCCAAATGTGCCAAGATAGCTGAAACAAACAATTGCCATTGTAGTCTTTTGTACGTTCATTTGATAAAGATGAGATTAAATTTCTTTTTAAGAGGTAGAATTAAGGAAATATTCCATTACAATCTCTTGGATATGCCGAAAGAGGAATAGTTTATTACGCGAAATCATTCTAAAAGTATTATGAAAACAATGAAAAAGTCTGATATTACCTCATTATAAGTCACTTTTAGCGCAAGGTATTTTTTAGGCATTTTGAAATAGGGGTGAACTTCACACTTTTCCAATACAAGTACAGTGGCCGCTCGCTAATTTGAAACCCGTTAATTCGAAAATCTCGTTGATTCGAAGGCGAAGTCGATCCCCGTGAGAAAATCCCTTTATTTCGAAAAAAATCAATGTATTTGTCTCCCCTCGCTAATTCGAATTTTTCAGCGGTTAAGTTCAGCGGTTCAGCAGCTCGGCAAACTGCTCTATAATTCGAAGGAGCCGGACCGAAACACTCTGTAATTCGAAATCTGTCGCGGCGGTGTTGTTTTGATCTAAAAGCTTGCCCAGCATGGGAGATTAGACTAACGAATGACTTTGTTGACATCTCTGAAGATGAGCTGATTATCCAGTATGTATTGCATTGTGTGCCATAGAAAGTGGGTGCGTTTCACCATGGGCAAATACGGCAAGCTAAATTTTGAACAAAAAAAAAATCATAGACGCAGTGAAAGACAGCGAAAAAAAGGGGGACGTCGCCAAAAGATTTAATATTCCGGCGTCCACTCTGTCAACGATTTTAAAACACAAGCATGAAATAAAGTTGAAATGTGATAGTGGCGTGACGAAACAGTACCGGGCCCGAAATTGTGAATTTCCAAAGCTCGAAAACAGCTTGCTAAAGTGGTTCAAGCAGTGTTGCTCAAAAAACATCCCCGTTGGAGGTTTTTTATTTAAAGAAAAAGCACTTGCGTATGCAGCCGAGTTAGGCATCGTCAATTTTCGAGCTAGTGACGGTTGGCTCTCACAATTTAAAGACAGTCATGGAATTTCTTTTAAAAAAGTGTGTGGTGAAAGTGCATCCGTGAGTGGAGAAACATATATTGAATATTATTTTTTCGAGCTCTTTTTTTCGCTTTCGCATGTACAATTTCTCATATGTAATAAAAACCCCACTCTAGCGAGAGGTGGGTCCCTGTTCTTGCCCTTAAAAAACTCGTACATACATATTTTTATTTTCCTATCATCCCATAATTTCGAATTATAGAGCGTTTTGGGCCCATTACTTCGAATTACAGAGCTGTCTTGAAAACCCCGTTAATTCAAATTTTCCTTATAGCCGCACTCTATAATTCGAAATTTCGATACTTCGAAAACCCGTTAATACGAAAAAAAACGCTCGGTCCCTTGAGTTTCGAATTAGCGAGTGGCCACTGTATAAATATTTTTGAAAAATTCTGAATGAAGAGCAAATCTTCATATGGCTCTAATCAGCGATCATCATTGGCTCATTTTCAAGGCATGAGACTATTTTTCACCTGCACAGTATTGCTTGTCAACTTAACTTTTGCCGTAGATTTTGATAATTCTCAAGAAATGTTGAAATCATTTCCAACGCACACAGGAAAAACAGAAAAATTGCTCCAAATTTTTCAGAAATCAAGCGTTAATTTTCCTTTATCAACTTAAAAAAATTACCTGGAACGTGAGAATGAAAACAAGGGCAAGAGCCATATAAATGATGCGAAAAATTGTCATTCTGTCTCCCATTATACCAATGGCAAAAAGAATTTGCGCAACAACCCAGATCCAAAACTTCGTTAAAAATGAGCGAATTCTCTCTCCCACTTGCTTCATCACTTGACTTCCTTTTGTATGCACACCAGGATCCATTGCTGCAGAAGAATTGAGAGGTTTTAAATTAAACGATTAAACTTACAATATGCGCATTAGATGATGACAATAGATGACTTGGACCAGGTTTTTTCAAAGATTCTATAGAAATGGTATTTGGAGTGAAAAAAAAAAAAAATTGAATTCATGTTTATGAAGTTTCTTTGTAAAATGCTTTCCTAAAAAGTATTTAAGGAGTTAAAAATATAAAACTTAATAAATTTGACTCCTTACTGTCATGGTATTTATTTACCAACTTTTCAGGGATTTTTTTTCTTTTTCGTTCTTTCAGCTATGTATTTCAATAGAACCAAAAGCATAAAAAATAAACAAGCCATAATTTGCCAGTGCTTGATTGAAATGCTTTTGAAATTTTGCTGAATCAAGTAATTAAGTGTAACACGAAATAAGATCCAAGTTCATTGCGACAAGTTCCAATTTTTTGGGACTACAATTTAGAAAAATGTGATCCTAAAAAGTCGCTTGCATTGATAAATTTATTATAATATACATCAATGGCTGAACTTAAAAGTCATAAGTCACGGTTTGGCAGGATTCCTATCATATTTTAATACCTAAGTGGGAGATTAATCAACATGCTTTCTTTACGATTATCATAATTTTTAATCTTTGTTCGAAGAATGCTCGATGAAAATTTCAAGTAATTTAGTTAACTTGTTTCTCTTTAAAATAATAAAATAGGAGAGGAAATGTCATGATAATGTAATCAAAACACACAGTCTCTGAGCTTGACTATAGATATATTAGTTTGAATAAATTAAAAATGTATTATACCTGAATGAGTTTCAACTACAAAGTCTTGTAATGGCGCCATCATTCCTGCTACTGCTGACACTTTCTTTGCTTCACGCTTTTCTTCGATGTATTGTCGTAGAGTTAAGAGGAACATTGAAGTAAATAAAGTCTGTAAAAGAAGAAATGTATTCATCTGAGCCATTTGGAATGAGCTCTGGTATTGAGCTCCCTCTTAATATGGAGGGAATTCTGGAGGGAAATAGAATAATCCATCCTCTGCTTTTGAACATCAAAATGACGAGATAAAGCTCCTGTTTCAACTTACACCCCTATCAGGCACAAAAAACTTGAAAAATTGACAAACTCTCTTAGACTATCGATAATAATTAAGATTTGAAAACCATGAGGGTAGATTATTTTTGAAGGGAATTATAAACATTCTCAGATCTGTTAAGTTCATAATGATTATAAATTTGAAGCAATGCCTGCTAAAAAGGCTAAACCCAGAAACTCATGAGCCATGGTTTTTGTTGATTACGTAGGATGCTAGGGCTCATACATTTTTGGACTTATGCCCTTTTACAGCAACATAGCTCCATGCATAGCAACATAGCATGATGACAGCTTCTTTGATGGTTGCAAAAATGAGTTCAACACATACATACAAAAAACACCGTTTAAAATTGAACGAGTTTAGGGTCGAATGGGTTACATACTTTGATTAAAATATTTTTCACAGGGACCGGAGAGTTTTTATCTGCGTTCTTGATATTGTCGTGTCCAAGATGCTCCAAATCTAGAAAACCTAATTCGTACAGGTATTGAGACAGAAGAAGAAGTTCAGCATACAGAACGAGGAATGGCGAGGAACGTAGCATAATTTTGCGTTGGTTGGGAAGCATCCACAAAATGATTGCCCATATTAAAAGAACAAACGTGAGCCAGCTGTGAAACATGATGCTCCAAGACTGAAAATAAAATCAATCACAACATTAATTTTTTCATTTCAAATTGAAATTTTGAATTATCTAAACTAAATTTCACTGAGAAATTATTTAAATACCATAGCAACATCTGAATTACCAAGTCTTGAAGCATATAAAATACTTTCCATATCTCATTAAAATTTCTTCAAAGATCATTTTTTATCACAACCCACGACAGTTTCCAATGATGTCTAGTTGTCCTCCTCTCCTCCTCCACCATCCTCCAGTCTATTTTTCTTGGTACAAAAAACTGTACTCAATTAATACCAGGATACATCTGCAGTTGCCTTCCGGATTGATTGTAACTAGTGTAACACCAAACGGTTTTTCTCTTTGAGAAAAATTTCCGGTTTTATACTGAATTTTAATGCATGTGAGCAAAGTCACCAGCACTATTATTTTACTGATTTTGAATGCAACAAGAGAAAAAGAAAGAAAATATTTTACCATCATAATGATATTTGTAGCTATGTAGGAAGTCCGTGTAACAAAATGTGATATTGTCATTAGCGCATCCATCAAATACTCAGCCATACTCGGAGACATATCTTCTTCAGCATCTAGAGACAGCAATAAACAAGAAAATAAGTAAGAATATACGTAAGAAGTGTTCAAAGGAATCAAACTACTGTAAATCAATGCACCAGTAAGAAATAAAATAAAAGAGAACCCTCATTAGTGAACTTTTTTTTCAGACTTTCCTGTAATTTATTTTTCATTCCTTTCTTCCTTCCCTTTTTCTACTGACAACGAAAGCCCAGTCATGTTCGTCGAGCTCTTAGTTACTGAATACAATTAATATCCCAATAATATTGAATAAATGCAGGAGATTCATGAAGTATTTGTTTTTTTGTTATTACCGTTAGATATTTTAATTCTTGTAGTTTTTTGTTCTTCTTTTTTTTTAATAAAGTAGGTACTGACGTTAAAACTAAAGACTTTTAGAACCAAGTGCATATCGAAGACCAAAGTGCAAAACCACGGATCTCCATTGCAGTGTTTCAAAATATTTGTTCCAATTTTATTTTTATGACGAAAAGCAAACTAACTTTGTAGCTTGAGATTGATACAGCATATTCTGCTTCTAGAGAGGAAAAATCAAGGTTATTTTCCTGAGAAAAAACAAAGTACGACAGGAAGTGTGCAACATGGCAAACGGAGGTACGCGGTTTTGCACTTTGGCCACTGACATGATGAGTAATAGGATGATATACAATCAAAGAAATTACCTGAAGCATCTTCTGTGACAATATCACTTCGCTGCCCATCACTAATTGCGTCTTTGTTGTGAGATGCAGCAGCACTTTCTGGCCTCAACCTGGATCGAGATCTGATAGATTCATGGTTTCGTATCAGCTGTGGAGAAAATATTTGACATGAAAGATGAAAAAATTCAGTGTTCGAACGTAGGAAAACTGCTGCGCATGAAAAATTGAGACTTTTCCTAGGTTCCATTTTTGAGAGTAATTATTTTAAAACTCGCAAAATTAGCATTACTAAGGAAAAAACTACGAATGAGTATGAGCGATGCAAATGAGGCATCTAAATCAGCGTTGAAGTAAAGTTACATCAAAACTTGACAAAAAAGCACCCTAATACAGCTAGCGTGCATTTAGGTGCTGGCATAAAAAATAAAAACTAAAGAGCAAATGAACAAAAAAAAATGTGTAGAAACATGAAACTAGAAAAAGAGCAGCTAACAATATGTTTTTGTGGGACATTATTTCAGTAATTTGTTTATCTTTCATTTCCGCCTTTTTCCTTCAGAGGATTCTCAGTGAATACTGAAAAGGTAGCCCAGAAAACAGGAAATAGACAGTGAACTCTCAAACCATGTTTCTCATTTACGGCGTTTACAAATCTCCGCTCGAATTCTATTTTTTTGAAGGAAAACAAATCAACATCATTCCTTCAAGTTTTTTCAGAACTTTCTTTGCACAAAGAAGAAAAATCACGTAAGTTTTTAAAAATTAACATGGAGTAATTCTCCATTTAAAGGATAAAGTATGACAGGAAGTCTGTCGCGTCGCAAACCAAGATACGAGGTTTGAGAGTTTCACCATCAAAATGTCACTAAGTTCTGAAATTTATAATTTTTGAGAATTATATGCGGAAAACAAAAAAAGTTTTCTTCTTAGTATTCATCTCATGCAGTATTTAAATTATTTTCATCTTATTGTCCACCAAAATGCTGTGGGTTGAACATTTTGGTTTGGAACCTTTTGCCAATGAAATAATGCTTCAGGTATTATATTCAATAAGGTATTCTTGTTAGCCTCAGTAAAAACTTTCTTTTCAACCTATTATAAAGAATAATGAAGAAAATTCTAACAGAATACAGTCTCTCTTCTCATAGGTCTCCATATTTTTTGCTGGTTAAAGTAGCAATTCAAGGAGAGGCTTGGATCAAAGGGTATTTGCAGCAATAACATAACAGTGAAATAATCTAGCTGATGCTATTCACCATGCTATAACTGACCCAACGACTACACTTTTAGAATCTATCATTTTATTCTTGAACCATCACCACCATCACCATGACCAACACCAAAATTTGTCTCAACCCTTTTGAGAGCACACATTTTCCTACCACCCTAAGAATCAATGACAGAACATTAATTTAACTATGATTTAATTATATAAAAATAAAACAACCAAGGAAAAACAAAAACAAAATTAGAATTCTTTAATAAAGCTGTTTTATCTGTGCCAGTAATCAAAAGATTCAAGAGGTTACCAGAAAAATTATTTTTCCTTGAAGCATCTTAGAAAGAGAATGATGGTGTGCAAAATAAATGCAAAAGAAAAAAGCAAATTATAAAAATGTTGACAGGTGCTTTGTAAAGGGTAAACAAGTGCATCATATGATTTTCGTGCTACAAAAAATCCAAGATTTCAGGTGGAAGTACTGGTAGTCTTGGCAAAAATAATATTTTGCAAAAATCTGCCGTCTTACTTTAAAAACCAAAAAGAGGGTGAACAACTGAGATTATGATAGAAATTTTTTCTCACAATCGACTGCTTTGCACGCTTCACATACAAGACATACTGATTACAAATTGGTGGGAACTACTATGCATTGCGAGGAATTCGTTGATTCTTAAGAACCCACGATTTTCAATGACTTAATTTTAAAAGAAAAAGGTTCTAAAAGATCAACAATGTTTTCATTTGAAAGTCAGGATAGGAATACAGTTCTGAAAGAATATTTGATGAATACTTAGTAAAATGACTGTCTCAAAAGTTATTCGTGTTTCAAGAGGTAAAGGGACACTAAGAATGAATTGAAGTAGATTAATTTCATGCTACATGAATATTCAGGGTCATGGACAACCCATCATTGATAGTAGGAATATTATGGAGATAGAGGTGAACCAAGAAGTTCTAAAAAAGGTCCATAACAACTAGTTTGACGATACATACTGGAGTATGTTCAGTGGGGATTTCATTGTCAATAGCTCTGCTTGTGTGCGGCCTAAAATGAACCTCAATATCCTCGGCAGCATCCGAAATATCAGAACTCTCATCTGAATCATCTTCACTATTGATCTATAAAAAATATAGTTTCATAAAAAGTACCTACCTCTTACACAAAATTAGCAAAACAAAAAAAAAAGAAAAAATATTTACAAATAAATCAGAAAGAGTGAATACTTGCAAAAATGCAGAGGTACAAGGCATGCTGTGACGAAATTATTGATCAGGGTTGCCACAAAATTTAGAGAATGAAATTCCCTGACATGACATATTTTGGTAAGATTTCCTGACAATCGAAACTATACAAGATAGTTAAAAAGACATAATTTGAAATAGTTTTCAGGCACAATTTATTGCTCGAAACGTCAAGCTCATTCTAGAACGCTAATAAGGGCGATTTAACAATTTTTCCCAGACACCTCTGTCATTTTCCCTGTCATTCCCAGGTTTCCTCTGACTGCGGCAACCCTGTAATATGATATGAGAGGTGCCTTTGTTGTACTGATGAATAATAAAGGGTGTAAACACACATGCGGTAAAACTTCAGGCATTTAAAAACTAAGCAGCAAAAACTAACACTGATGCAAAAAAGGATAATTTCTCACTAGTCAAATTAAAAGTTACTGAAGCAGTAGTGGAGAATTTTTTAGCAGAAAAGAATGATGAATGATAATATTGATCGTTTCTTTTCTTTTCCTTCCTATTATTTATTTTCTTTTTCCCTGCAGGTTGACTTACAAATGGAAAAATTCTTGATACAACTTCTGATTCAACATAAATAGGTGAGCATTTAATTAAGAATCATACGAATTTTTTCTGTTCAGGCTGCTTGTGCTCACAAAAAAGTGTAGCAGATAAATTAAATAATATTTGCAAAAATCTTAAAATTTGATAAATTAAGAAAAAGTCGTTGAGTGTAATGAGTAAACATTAAATTACAATCAGTTACTTGTTCAGAGGGCTGAAAGATAAGTTAAAATGAATTCATGTGCCATCTTGAGCTATCAGGTTTCCAAAAAAATGAATTGAAATCCAGAAGGATAGCTCACGAACATGGGTTTTCATCACCTTCGGTTTTACCTTTTTTGTCAACCTTAACCTGACTGAAACTTTCAGCACAAAAAATTTTATTGCTACTTTTTAAATTTCATTCGAAGTTTATGAAAAGATAATCTACCAGTCTTACAAGCTATTGCTGACGATTACAATTAGAGTTTCGAAGTTATATCTTTTGATGATAAAAAAGATAAAAACTTGGATAGAGTAGACCCTGAATATTCAAAACATAAGACGTTGAAAATCGTTTCATAGTGGTCTGTGTAAGTACTACATACACCTTTTTAAAAGAAAGTATTTTTTATTTTCCAATACTTAACTTACTGAGAAAAATGATTGAATTGGACCTAGGATTTTAACAAAAGAAGAGAACACTCATAAGATTTTTTGTCGACATTTGTTTTTTGTCTTTTCTTTTGTATGGTTAACGATATCGTGACTTTTACAAAAAAAATAAAATTTTGTAAGTTTCCAGCTCATTGCGCAAAAGTTTCTTCATTTATGAATAGTACTTTTTCCTCACTCTCTTAAACAAGTCCTGAAGTCATCAAAAGATCATTTTGAATACTCAGGCTCCGAATATCACACTTAGTAAAAAAAATAAATTAACTTCGGGTTCTTAAAACTTAAAGAAAAAATAGCTATACCTACTCTCACTTTTCGAGTAGCTGACCGCCACCGATTGGTAGAAATGCGATGTAAAGATCCAGGTTTTCCTGAGAGTTTATATTTTTTTGCTTTCTCTAGTTTCTGTAATTCTAATTCATACTGAAAATAAAATGTAACAACAAAATTGTAAAGATAATTCGACAAAATTTATTTTTCGATTTGTTGAACTTTTTTCCTCTAGATTAGAGAAAAGAGTGATTAGGCCTCACATAATTCATGACCAAATTGAGGTGAGCGTCTACGATTTGGACTTAAACGCATATTTGGGTATTACATTATCAACTACATTATATCGATAAAAATACTTATGTTGAAGAATGGATTGGTATTTCTGGATGTAATGTTGAATTTCCGACACTTAGACCAATGTCACATGCTTATTTTATTAAAAAATCATTTCTGAGAAAACCAACCTTTAAAATTCATCTTTCAAACAGAACTTGGATGGAAAACGGCATATTACAAGATACTGAGAGATCGTAAAATATTTTATTCAGGGGTTCTGAGATACAGGTATGCATTCAGTGATTCATAAACAGCAAACAACTGATTAACTTTCAATGGCACTTGCAGTTTTAAATTTAAAGCTTAATGGAAAAGTCGGGGGAGAGTTAATTTAACATCGTTATCAAACAAAGACAGAAAAACAACCAGTGATTTATCTACTTATGAGGGGCATGAAAGAAAAAAATTATGAAATTAAAATAAGTTTGATCAGTTATTTCCTTGTGTAACCTTCATCAAAATAATTACTTGATCGTTAGGGAAGGTTTATTAATAAATAGTGCATGAAGAGGTAATTGCACAGCAATTATAGCCAGTTAATAGTCTCACATGAAAACAGAAACGACTGCGCCTTTACCAAGTATTGCACAAGCAAACGGAAAGTTAGGTAGATTACCGAGAAAGACCAAAAACATTTAAGTCCATCCCTTTATATGCTTGGAGGTTTTACATCTCAAAAAAGCTTTTGCATTAAGAGAAAAAGAGAACATATTAATAAACACTCCCAAAATTATTACATGTAGTATATACAAAATAAATAATTTCAAAAAGAAAAAAGGAGAACCCTGTGATCAAACTACTGAGGTTTCAAAGTTGCTCAAAAGAGTGGAGGCTTTACTAGTAGTTACTAGGAGTGTTATAGGCTTTGCACTGTCGTTGAAAAGAGGAAAAACCTCCATAATTTCATGAAAACCATAAATTTTCATGCTAAACGGGTTGAAAAATAACAGTATGCACCTGACACCAGACATGACACCAGATTATAATCTGGTGTCTTTTTCATTTCGGAGGTTCTAAGAGTTTAGCAGATGCACACAGACATAAAATCTGTAGTAGATTTCTAATATTGCCTTGATTTGAATGTTGTGCAAAGAGAAAAAAAATAAGTTAAGACGGTTCTTGAGCACTACTAACTGAGCAACGTGTACATCAGAGGGTAAAAACTAAATTATGAAAACAGTTTTGCTTTTGAGAATTTATGGGTGCTTTTCATACACACCAACAGTCAACATGCTCTTTCAAAGAATATAAAATTAATGTAACAGAACAAATCATCATTTTCAGACATTGATCACCAGGTGAGATGAGAGATTTGGAAAATTAATAGACAAAAATCAAATATTCGCAGCTGATTATTGTAGAGAAAGGTGAATATATGTATAGATTCAGGGAACCAAAAGGGGAAAAAAAGTAAGAAAAAACAAAAAAAGAAAATTTCACCCCAGCTGCAGACAATTAGATAGGATACAAAGATGCAGGATCCACTTACCTCTTTGCTGAGTAATAGCGATGATTCAAACCATAAAATATAAAACAAAGTGACTAAGACGAAGGGTAATGCAAATGAGGGCCATGCTTCCGATGTACTAATTTGATATACTCTGGGATCCGAACAGTCCGTTACAACCAGTATATACAATCCAGTCAGTCTGCACACAAAAATGAAAAAAAAAAAATAAATGTAGAATATTTTACCTCAGAATCAAAATTCAAAAAAACTTAGTACTAGGTATTTAATTGTTTTATATGAAAGATACAATTGACAAAGAGCCTCAAAACTAGTAGTTTCTGAATTCTAAATACCATTCCAGTCTCCATTGAACTAACAGCAGGTTTTATTAGTTTTTTTTTTTTTTTGGTTTATTTATTTCCTAGTTATTTCTTTTACTTTTTTTTTTAACTGCAATGTCCTTTGTGGAGCGGTTTACCTTTTTTTAGTAATGGCTCAAAATTTTCGAGATTGTCATTGAATCTCTTCACCACAGAAAATAACCAGACGATTGAAATTGTAAATACTCCAGAAGGGGAAAGAAAATATTAAACTTCATAAATCCTAAATATTATTGCAAGTATAGTTTAAGATGTTTCTGATCAAACACTTCTGCTACATTGGCCCTGAATTGTTCTTGCAACATTCCCCATGCAACATGATAGATATGGCGATTCATCGTTTGAATGCCGTACACAATTTTAAGTAAATTCTAGTGTATGATGCCTTCTATGCTAAACATTTTATCTGTAACCTTGACTTTTGTATTGTATCTACATTCAGTAATGTTATCAAAGGTGGCATCTTGTGGAATTTCTTCCTTTTATAAGTTTTATTTTCCTCTAGGATAGAAATTTTGGGATGATCAAAAAGGCCTAAAAGAGCCATTGGAGGATGTTACTATAAGATTTTAGTAACATCCTCCAAATAGTTAGAAAGACACTAAAAACTATTCTATTAATGAATAAATTGGGCACTCACTTGGCTAGGAGAGTGTCGACTGGAATTTGTTCTTGGAACCAAGGAATTTGATAAAAATATACTGCTAATAGCTGTACAAATATACACAGCATAGAAAATCGGCATAAAACAGCAAACAGCTTTTTAGATTCACGGTTGAAGGCCCACCATGTTACACAAAATAAAAATATTAAAAAATAGATAGCATTGATGACAGTTGGTCGGAGGATTCCAGCCAAACAGAGAAGTAGGAGACATAAATATTTACCTGCAATAAAAACAGGGGAAAACATGATTAATCAGTAAAAATATTAAATACTCCTGCAATAATGGTACACAGGGAGATAATTCCACCATATTCATGCATGTTGGAAACTTGTGTAAATCTCCAATCTTCATTCATGAAAACTGGAAATAGATTTTAAGAGAAATAAATATTTCAAAATTTGATGTCCCTCAATTGGTGAACTTTCAGCATTTATTTTGAGACTTGGATATGTTTTTAAAGATGAGAGAGGAATTGAAATACAATTTTGACTTGGGAAAAATAAACCTGCACTGTTCTCTTTGAGCGGTCCAAAAAAACAAAAATTTGTTAAAAAATTAGATGTCAACTTACCTATTGCAGTAAGGAAAGTATATTTGTTTCGTTGGAAAAAACTAGAATTAGTGCGTTCATCTGTTGTTATTGAGTCTTCTGGATCCGATTTATCAAAAACTAGATCTTTGACATTATTAATTTTATGACATAGAACCTGAATTGTTATAGAAGAAAAAAACATTATGAACTCAGGTGATACCCTGATAATAAACTGACTTAAAGATAATCCGTTCAGTCTTATGAATCCTATATAACGAAATATTGGTTCTGAGCCTTGACCTGAAATCAAACGAAAAGACGACTTGATTACAATGTTAAACAAACGGATAGTTACAACGTTAATAAGTTGAGTAGTCTCAACAGAGTCCCTTGGAAAGGTGAGTTACACAGGACTTCTGTAAAAATTTACAGGAGTGGACGACACCAAAGTATTTGCTCAATAGCATAAGGTATAGTGAGTTTTTGCTCCTTCCTCTACATGATTAGAGCTAATTTGAATGAAGCATCACAGTTCAGCACAGAAATTAAAAACAGTGTCCTTTTTTCCCGATATGGAGTCATCAGAAATTTCAAAAATGTTATCGAATCACTCACTGGGATTTTATGTAGCACAAGTCAGATTTTTCTGAGATTTTTGGTTCTTCCTCTTATTTTTTGAAGAGATCCAGTAATGTAGAGGTATATAGCACTAATTTTTGGGCCCCCTAAATCCTGATGTTATGGCAAAAGTTTGAAATTATGTATCTCTTGTAGACTTCCTGTCATACTTTGTTTTTTCTCAGAAGAATCAGCCAACATAATTTCTGTAAAACTTCCTTGATTTTTCCTCTCTGTCAGCAGAATATTTTATATAAATTTCAAGCTATAAAGTGGGCTTGTTTTTTTAAAAAAAAAAAAAATAAAATAAAATGGGAGCGGAAAAACTGACATACCGCAACGAAGATATGTAGTTTTGCACTTTGGCCATTGATATGATCAAACTGAAAAGAAGTCTCAATGGATAAAGAAATTTGAGGCGGCTCTCGAAGTGTTTCATACCTCAAGAGTTGCCAATATTCATTTTTTGTAGCATTTACCATTTCCAAATTTTAAGTGTTGGTAATGTAACCGACACAATTTGATAGTGTTGCCATATTTGCTGGGCCTACGTTCCAAAGGAGTCCAGATCTGACTTAGTGCTTTGTTAATAAACAACATTTATTTGTTGATGAAACAAAATGTTTGTGCTACAGCTAGAAAGAGGAAGTTTAATACCTTCAGGGTGAAATAATAAAATTAGGTGAGAATTCAAGAGCTCTGATTTTTTAAGTGTGGTACATCCCAACTATTACTGCTATTGTGAAATCATCCATAAAAAGTAGTCACACGGTGTAAAAAAAAAATACTCACAATTTTTTTCTATGATGCTTCCATATGGAACCATAATGAGGAGCACAACTTGAAAGGCTAGTTGAGCTAACAGCAGAATCACGCTCAGCACTATTACTAGTTTTAAAAACCAGCCGCTGTGTTCTGTTTCAGAAAATCAGAAAAAATCAAATTAGAATATTTTAAAAAAAATGTTGCATTAATGAAAGAGGGACTAGGAAAATTTTTCAAATTTCTCTGATATATAAATCCACTAAAGTAAGCACAATAATTCTCAGACTAGCTGAATTCGTTATTAGTTTTTACCCTTTCCCCCCAATTCTCTTGTAGGTTTCAACGATTGCAAGGAACAAATTGCTTATTTGTAAATATTTAGAGTATGAAAATCAAGAAATTTTTGACACTCGTTTTCACAACATTTCCTGAAAATTTGTTCCCGTTGCAGGGCAAATTAGGCATTATACCAAATGTCTAACCAGGTGGTAAAAATGAATCAACATTTTTTTTAATTCTTTCTAATTAGCCCATAGGCTTCCATTAGTGGCGAGGTGTGAATGATCGAATATCGATATCTCCCCATCTGTGCTATGGCAAACTACACCCTGTTCATCGATCCATCTCCATAGGTTTGAATGGCAGATCAATCGATATATCGCAAAGAACGCCATGCCACTGGCTTTCACCCAGATACCTGATTCGCACCTCAACTTGTGATATGTACATTATACCACCTTTTATAAATGAAGGGTATTTTTGGAGGCAACTGGTCAGGATTCATGCCTTTCAGACCATAATTTCTTGTTTAACCACCAGATTGCAACACTCGATCGGAAAGTCCAGGCTCTCCAAAAATGAAGGTTCTGCGCTAACAAGGCCCCTAAAAATTGTCCCCCCCCTCCAAAAAATCCTAATTTTTCTGTATAGTAATTTTCGAAATTTCCCCCGATAAGTTACAGCTACTAGTTCTGTAACTAAAACATTTTGCATCTAACTTTTCACTAAATGCGCCGTGATATATAGGCAAAAAGTAAATTTGCCCCCCAAAAAATCTTTAGTGGCCCCTAAAAATCGAGCTTGATGCGCCACATAGCTCCTGAAACTCAAAGGTGAGTTTTGAACACTGGTTCAAATGGATTCCTAATTTTTTTGCTCAAATATTTTTTATTTTTCATTCAGGTTAAAGGAAAGGTATCAATACGGGCGGTTATTGAGCCCACCCTTAATTTCTCAACGCTATGATTTTTTGCTCATTGAAAGTCAATACTCTACGAAATGCATCATGATTTGGTAATTTTCAGTCTCTTTACTGGTCTGATTGGCCTACACTTGGGTCCGAAGGCTCACGATTTTGGCAAAAAATGTGAGCTTTGCAGGTTTGCGGTCAAATGTCGAAAAATCCACATTTTTCGCCAAAATCTACCTTCAAACGCATGTTAAGACCAGCAATATACTTGAAAAGCGACTGGAAATGACCAAATTATGATGCATTCCGTAAAATAAAGACCTTCAACGAGTAAAAAATCGTAGAGCTCAGGAAATTTACCTAACATGATCCCCAAAGCGGCCCTCGATACCCCTCCATCTGGAAGGATTTCGGTTCGAACCCAGAAATAATTTCCCTGATTATTTCTCACATTCAAGGAAAAATTAGCGAGGTTTTTAACATACAAGTATTAGTTCGATTCAACACTTACTTCTCATGGAAACATGAGTGGGGACCGGTATAAAAGGTATGACTAGAAGAATGAGCAGGTAAACAGTGCATAATGCGTTCTGTTTCAGGCACACACCTAAAACAAAATAAAAAAATCAAACTCATATAAATAGCATTCAAAAAAACGAAAACAGGACACTTCCAAATGTAAAAGGTACAGAACAATATATGAGATAGGATACTAATAATTCTGCGCATTTTATATGTCTAGGTCAAATTTTCAGGTCTACAATTAGAGCTAGGTTTTACTGGATTTTTAGTTAGACCTGGGATCTGCGGGCTGATTGTTGAAACTGATATCAGAACAATAAGACATAAAAAATAGAGACATTACACGGTACAGATAGGGCTAAATCATGTCGACGGTGAAACTACCAAACCACGTATCTCGTTTGCGGTGTTTAAAAATCTACGCTCGCATTTTATTTTTTTAAAGTAGACCAAATCAATATCATTCCTTGAAATTTTCACAGAATTTTCTCCACAAGAAGAGGAAAAATCACAGAAATTTTCAAGACTGGACGATAAGTAGTTTTTCATTTAAAAAATAAAGTATGACAGGAAGTCTGCGACGTCGCAAACCGAGATACGTGGTTTGGTAGTTTCACCGTCGATGTATTCTTTAGGAATGCAGCAAGAAATAGTTTCAACAAACGGATTGCAAAGCGCCCCAAGTAGCACAAATTGCAGTGAGAAGCAATTACATAATTATGTACCTAGTAAAAATATTGCAATTCAACTGAGTGTTGTGTATGTTGCCTAGCTCCGATTTGAAGGGGCCCCATTTATTAAAACTAATTGCAATAAAATTCAAATAAGTTGCAATTTTTCATTACATTACATATTGCCTATCTTTCTGACACATTTAGCTCATTTAGTTGATTGTTTAAAATCGGCATAAATCGACTGAATGATGTAAAAATATTGCAATTTAATGGCAAAAAAATTGCGATTGTATTGAAATCACATTGCAATTTAGTTTCAATATTTTGTTGCACTGTGCTACTTGGGGCCTGGGCAGGTGCAAATAATCGTATCTGAGTCTAACAAATAGCTCGTCCAAATAGGTTGGACACAACCTTAGGTACGTGTCACTGCTTGAATCTATGGCATCTCTTACGTCTGATACTTAGCTTCTAAGTCAAGCCTAGGTTTGACTAGAAAAAAATATGATCAACAATTTTGTCAAACATTGGGTTGCTTGGTTTTCCGGCTTTACATATCGGAATGCTAAGGACCATCCTTGTCCAGTGGTTCATTGACGCTAACGAATACATATAAGAGACGAGAAAGTGGGGCACGAATGGAAAGGTCAAATAGAAGCCGGTAAATGCGATTTTTCACCCGGTGATCTTTAGAAAAGGTTTTTAGTGTTCACCACTAAAAATCAATGGCTCAGAGCTCATACTGCATGAGCCCTGCCATTTTTATGAGCGTGAAAATCATCTGCCATCCCTTCAACACCTCCTCCTCTCAGCAGAGGCGTTTTCCCACTGAAAATGAGGGGCTTGGAGGACAAGCAGGCGCATAAGTGCAGTTTTTGCTATTTCCCCAAATACGTATTTGAAGTTTCGAAATTATATGGATCCTTATGGCGGAAGGAAAGTTAAAACTGATTTTTGGATAGTATGTTGAAGTTTTTTGCCAACGTGCGTTAAAAATTCAGCATAAAGCTGAAAATCTCTATACAGAGGGAATGACCTCTCGAGCTAGTTAAAACCAATCTAGTAATTCTTGTAACAGAATTAATTAAGTTTAAGGCGATTAGAAGAGGTCATGGACTATATTTTACTAAATGGAAAAAATGGTTGTCTATTATCATTTTTGCATTTTAATCTTTTGATACAACAAAGCAGATTTTTCCAGCTTAGCAGCTGGAAATTCAGCAGGCTGCACTGCACTGAGAAGTGGCCCAAAAAGGCTGAAATGCGTCTGCAGTTGCCTTCCTGAATGGACGTAACTTGTGTTGCACCAAAAAGCATATCTCTTTGAGGGAAAACTGTGCTCATACGAGCTTTTTCCCTCCGTATTGAGATTTTCAGCTTTGTGCTAAATGTTTAACGCACGTTGGCAAAAAACCCCAACATACTGTCTTACGACCCGTGCGTCCACCGCAATCAGTTTGTGACTTTCAGATGCTTAAAAATTGGAATTCGGGAGTGAATTTTTCACAGAATATGCATTAAGACTAGTTTTACTTGAAATCATTAAAGTCTCAATTTCTTCAAAGACTGCACTCATGCGCCTTGCCCTCCAAACCCCTCAACTGCCTCATTTAGTGAGAGCAGAGTGCATCGCTCCTCTGATGCAATGGACATGAAAATAATTCATCTATTGAATTTCTTCGAGAAACGGTGTTTCTCTAATTTATATGCAGAGAACGCCACTGCACTTCAAAGTTGGCTGTGCGGAAAATAATATAAGACAGTTATTAGCAAATAACCAGCCAATGACCTAGAAAAAACGAATCGGCAAGTGCAGAAGATGACTTATATTATATTGGCTCTGCGAAACAAAACTTTACGATTTAGAAAGATTTCATCTCGTGAACCGAACGTTCGGTGTTCATCAGAGGCGGATCCAGCAATTTGGCAACACCGGATTTTCTCCATTTAAAGCTATGTTAAATAATCGATTCTTGTCGGAGCACTTGCGCCCTCTAAGAATCGATACATTTCCATATAGGTTTAAATGGAGAAAAGCAACGTTGCCAATTTGCTGGATCCGCCAATGGTGTTCATATCATCAATTAAACTATTCAATTTGTCCAACCGAACTTTAGGACCGTGTAACTATAAGTTAGATTCGCACAATCGAACTTTCAAATTTTAACCGAACAAAATAGAGGATGGTATTACAAACAGGACGTTTGGTTGTAAAAACCGAACATTTTTTTCTCATGATCGGGCTTTTTCATTAATGTGCCCACGGAGAGATAATTTTTAGTTTCCATGTTACACTGTCCAACACACAAAAATGCCTTCACGTTCTGATGACTGAACTTTGATGATTTTTAGTCGCCAAGTCCGCAGATGACCTCCGTTTTTTAATTATCAATTTTTTTATTTTTTGACGGCCGTCGGTTTCGCGTGCTACCCCTATGAACCGCGGAAAAACGATTTCCAGCATTTTCTCAATTGCATCGCTATGCAATCCGTCGAGGTGTTAAAAGGAACAGAAAATATAGGAAGTACAAAAAAGTGATAAGGACAAAAATTCATCTTATTTTATTAAAATAATTATTTTTGTGTGAAACTAGTTTGGTGTCTTTTTCGAAAGGAGGTCATTGTCACACTAAATATTTAATTTGAAGGGGGAGGGGCTGTAATTAAGACTTTTCCGCTTATTTGCGACGTCTTTTGCTCTTACCTAGAAAATCGTAGTGATTAAAGAATAGCCTACGTTTGTGTTCATCGTCGGAGGAGGTTCCCTGCGTTTGCACACGATATCTAGTTTCATCGAGACAAAAATAGCCTAAACTGAGTCGACGAACCACAGGAAAGCGCCGAATAAAATGATGTGCAAATTTTTCGAATCTATGTGTATAATAACGAGACGCATACCTACAGCAAAGTGCTACCCTGGTAAAAATTGGCTATAGAAGCTGCGTCCCAAAATACCATAGGAATTCTTATAGCCGGCTACAGAGGGCGATAGAAAATCATAAAGCCAGGCTATACGAAGGGATAAAAAAATATATAGCAGGGCTATAATTCTTATAGCCGGGCTAAATAGTTAATCGCCTGGCTACAGCTAATTCTACAAAAAGTTGTCAAAAAAATGTAAAATACTTGTAAATTTTAAGAGTTCGTAAATTTTAAGTACAAAACTCTTAACATTCAGGGTTTCAGGAAACCCTTTTGGGGAATTCTTTTGAATAAAAAAAACTGTTGTTTTAGTTAAAAGAAAACGTAAAATTTACGTGAAGATCAACAAACTATATCCTCAATTTATATGAGCTGCAATTTTTCCTTTTATACTTCTATGTTCACCACTTTTTTCCTTCGTTTTTGCCTGCAGGAAGTTTATAAAGAAAAAAAATACGTAAATTTTACTTAAAATTTTTCTTCAATTTTATGTAAAAAAAAAGCTCCAAAAAGGGTACATGAAATATTTCACAGCCTCGTGAAATTTCATTAAATATTTCACTGAAATTTCCCATCATATGTTTCTTTCTTACATTTCATTCCATCCTGGCTCCACTAAGAGCGGGCTATTTGATGAAATCAGCCTCGAGGTGAAAAACAGTACTATATGTCCGTTAAAAATGCCGGTGTTCAGGAGGATTTTTGTCATTTTTTGAGGACCTGAACAGGAAAATTAGCGACTTTGGGGGATATCGGGGACACCCTTCCAAAAGCGGGGACATAAGGGACTTTTGGGGAGCGGTAGACACCCTGTTCATGAAGCAGTGGATTTTGGTTCTTTTGAGACGTTCCGCTGGTCGAATCACTACTTCATTATGTGCGGGGGTTTAAAAATACGTGCACCGATTAAATGGGACGGGAGCGTTAGTCAAAAATTCAGTCCGGACGTAACGTAAACTTTGCGATAAATTTACACGAGCGTCGCATTTTTTGTTTACCTAACAACGGGAGCAAAACATGTCCATAAAGGCAGGGGGGTGTGGAGAAAAGAAATTTCCCTGCTATTATTCATGTTGCAAACTGAATAGCTGCACGTTTATTTTAATGTTGAGATCACGATTGATTTGCTTTGTTGGAGTCATAACAGTAGTTATAAATTCTTGCCCACAGGGTTCGCATCGACGCTCCATCGGTTTTCGAGGGCCACTCAGGCAAATTACATAGAAAGTCAATACTGCCGTTCAAAGTAAAAACGCCGTATCTCCATTCGATCCATTTTTTCGTTTTTTTTCTGACAAAATGCTATTTTACAAGAAAATCAACATATCGACGGTGAAACTACCAAACCACGTATCTCGGTTTGCGACGTCGCAGACTTCCTGTCATACTTTATTTTTTAAATGAAAAACTACTTATCGTCCAGTCTTGAAAATTTCTGTGATTTTTCCTCTTCTTGTGGAGAAAATTCTGTGAAAATTTCAAGGAATGA